ACAAACGAGAACTGAAAAAAGTTAAAGGAGACCCTAACGAAGCAGTAAAACTCAGCTCTCTCTCTAAAGAAGATGAAGGGGAGGAAAGGAGAGGATGGAACTCAAACTTGCAGTTTCTGCCCGATTGATGTTGGCGTCGTAAGCGATGCTACGTTTGGCCGTGAACCACTTCGATGAGGGGCCTCTGAAGGCAGCCACAAACCTGAACGCAGGTATACAGTTTACGCGCATCCCCGTATCTTCTCCTCCTCTTTTTTTAAATCTCCCGTGCCTTCGCTTCGGACGTCACACGCAAGTCGGTTTAACAGTTTGTCCCCCTGTCACATCGCACGAGGAGACCGCAGCGAAGGCTCTTCCTGTTAATATAATACAACGGCGTACCGTGCTCACTGCTGGAAGCGGAGATTTTTTTCTTCTTTCAGGCGTTCCAGCACATGCTTTCAGGAGGCCCGTTTCTCCCGTTTTGAATTCATTATATGCAGTTATATTTCCCTTTTTTTGCTGGTGCTTCGTGAATATGTTTTCCGCATTGCAGACCTCAACGCAGGTGGACGACCAGGCGAGCACTTCGCCAAATGCTGGGAGGACGAACGTGTTTTCCTCCGCCTCTGCCGCCCGTGCGGAGGAGTTGCAGCGCACACTTGAGATGCTTTACCGCGACATCCTCTTTCCCTTCTTTGAACCGGTGGAGCGACTGCGCGTTGTGAACAATCGAGCCATTCGCGTACAAGACGTGGTGGACGCTATTGCGAAGGAGAGCGCTGGTGCCGGCGCAAAGGAGCAACCGTGACGTTCCTCTCGCTTTCCTCACAGATTCGCGTTGGGGCGTCTCTTGAGCGGCCTTCACTGAAGCTGGAGTCATGGCGCAGTCTCCGATTTCCTGAATTCGCACTGCTGCGTGCTTCTTCCATCGCGAAGACACTAATCACTCTCGTAAAAGAAAAGAAAAAAATTCAATATCCCATGCTACGTTACGGCATCTTCATTGACAACACATACATACACGAGGCAGTCATTACTGATTTCTTCACGCCTCTAAACTCTCTGCATTTTCAACGGTTTCTGTTTTTTTTTTTGTGGCTGTTGCGGGTCGATGACGCTCCTGGCGCGTGTAGCGTGATGCCATTCTTCGCTTCGTTTCGTTCCGCTTTCTTCTCTCCTTTTCTCTCCTTTTACAAGAATGTTGACCTCATCGTGTTTACCTGCTGGTAAATGTTGCGTACCAACCACATTAGAGAAGAGCGAATATCGCATTTACTGCTCACGGCTTTCAAAACCAATTCCAGCCGAAGCTAGTTTTTTCCCCTTTTAACGTCTATTAGGGAGACAGTTGAGCATACTAGTGATCATAATTGAGGTACTCAACCGCTGCTTCTTTTTGGTGTTCTCTTTCTTTCAAGAAGCGGCGGTTTTTATTTTCATTTCCTGAGCAGATGGACTTTACGGAATGTGGAAGCCACATGCACTAACGGCATCCATTGCCCACTCCAGTCGTCAGGTGCGGCGGCCGCTGACAAGCCGTGTCTGGAGTCCTCATATTTCTACTCCTTCGTCACCCTCGGCTCTTCTCTGTGACGCAGAGGCGCCGAATAGGGATGCGCCTGCACTGGTCATTTCGTCCGCCCCCTCTATTGTCCACGTCGATCAGGTAGAGAGTGGAGGAGCGGCGGTGGCATCGCACCTCTTCAACCTTCTCCAGCTGCAGCTTCGAGCTTCTTTAATGTCTGCACATCCCGTTGATTCGATGACAGCACAAAATCATAGCGCTCGTCACACCCGTTTGATCTCCTCCTCTGCGTTGAGGAGCGTAGCACCGCTCCACGCTGCACAGCAACGGATGATGCTGAGGCAGCTTCGCAGTGAGGTTCATTCTCTCGGCAATTTGCTGGTGTCGCACCATCAACGTCAACACCGACTTGGCCCGAGAAGCTCTCAGAGGGACAGCAAGTTACAGGTTTCAGCAACGCAACGTGCATCGCATCGAGTGCGCAGCAGTAGCAGTCTCAAGAGCAGAGAAACTCGAATACCCGTGCAGCTCATTCCCCTCCCGACGGATGCAGAGCAGACGTGGGTGCAGCCGCTGCAGTTAGACGTTGTGCAACAAGTGCTGTCTCAACTGACTCTCGCCGAGCGACTTTATCACGTGCTTTTGGGCGGAGACGGTAGCAGCGGGAGAACATGGCAAACATCATCAGTGCCGGCGCAAGGTCAGTCCGCCTCGCCGTCGCGTGCATCGAAAAGTAGTCACCGCGTCGACTTCAGCACCCACGGCGAGGCTCAGCTCTTCTTTCAGGAATGCACACGCGTCGTTGCATCCTTAGCTGCACTTCGGGCTCCGCACGAGAGCGACGCGCAGCCGCTGGCGTATCTCGCACACGTGTTGCAGACGTCTGCCGCCGCTGGTGCACCCGTGCCCGTGGCGACGCTCATCGCAGCCGTCGGTAAAATACAAGACGAAAGTTCAGAACGACTTCCGAAAGGCAACTCCGTCAAAAGCTCTGCTTGCGATGGGCCATCTTCGTCTGAGCCGCTGTTTAATTGGTGCAGCTGTGTCCCCTGGCTTCTGCACCGCTACGCCGTTGCGCTTTCCGGCGCGGAGGACAACGTGGATTGGCCGGCTGCAAGTGCGTGGATGACCGCCGCGGCAGATCGCGTCTGCGCCACCCAAGCCAACGAACTGCTTTATCTCTCCTCTGCATCCAGCGGCGGGCCATCCTCCACGGCCTCTCCGAGACCTGCGATTCTGAAGGACACGTCAGCAGGGATGTTCGGGCCGTGGCAACGCGTGCTCGATCGAGAAAGGAATGAGGCGGCGCCCGCTTGCTCAGGAAACGCAGTGCCGTTGAAGTCTGCGAATACCACTACTCCTTTCGCAGGGGGTGATGACCAGCTGTGGTCTTGGCTTGCGGAACGAGGCCAACCGGGTCGGCAAGAAGTGGAAAAGGATTCGAGAGATGGTAGCCTGCGGCCATACTGGAAGGTGGTGATGCGCGAGATAAGTCGGAGTGGGGCGCAGGCGGCTGCGATGTTGATGTCCATCGTCCTTTCTCGAAATACTGAGGAGGAGCGCCAACACGCGGGAGGACGTACCGGCACTACTCCTCCTTCAAACACAAAGCCACAGCGCCAACACCACGCGCCGTCGACTTCCACTGCGACGCTGCTGCAGGACTTGCAGTTTCACGCAATCGGCTCGTACGTTTCGCTTCGTCGCATGACGAGCTCTTTGCAACGTCATCGTCGTCTCGTCCCTCTCCTGGAGCTTCATTTGCTGGTGAGCGGATATCCGCAGCATCGTGAAGGCGAACCCCGACAAGATGAGGGCAGCGGAGGGCGTACTTCTCCCGCTGCGGATGACGCAAAAGTATCGAAAAAGGCGTTGACGACACCCCGAAACCACGGGAAGCTTGAAGCGCCGATGAGAAATGAAATGCTGGCAGCGGCGCACCGGCGGCATCGAGTGCTGACCGGTGAGTTGATGGGCGTGTACGCGGGGCACAACCAGAAGCACCACCGCAACAGCCACCACCACCACCACCCGATTGCTTCTTACTGTCAACAGGCACATCAAGCAGGTGCCATGCTGTGGCGCGAGGTTGCGTTGCTCGACGCCTACACCTTAATCACAGTTGGCCACGTCAGCGAACACGCCGTGGACGTTGCGGCGCTGGACAAGCCGTCGGCGCTGCAGCAGCTAGCATGGCTTCAACAGGAGTGCCTCCAGCACCTGCGCACTCTGGAGAAGCCATCACAGAAAAAAACGCACATCAAAAGGCCTGAGTCAGCGGCGTCCTTCGTGGCTCGTCCAGACGTAAATGTACGGACAGGCTCGTACGCGCTCTCCTCCGCACGTACACAGGTACTGCTGAGCAGCCTCACCCCCCGTACTCGTGCCACACTTGTTGAGAAGCTGCGCGAAAGCCTGCGACTCAGTGCCAAGGTGCTCGCTCGATGGGGCGAAGCAGAGATGATCTGCAAGCTATATCAGTCCTATCCAGGCATGGGGGCGAGCTGGGAGGTTGGCCGCGCGCTGCTGCAATGTGGACACTACGAAGTCGCCGTTGAGGTGCTCCAGTCGCTGCTCGAGACCTCCCCTGCAGCAGGACGGGGCTCGTCGTCCGCCGCGTCCCTTCTGTCATCGAGTGCGGTCGCCATGCGTCAGCTGCTGTTAGAGGCGATGCAAGGCGCCGCCTCCGCTCTCGTGGCGCAGCAACACTGCGAGCAACAGCAGGAGGAGGAGCAGAAGCATGAGTTACCTTCCACGTCTTCCCCATTCGCTGCGACGCTGCCGTCTCTCGACGACGCGCTCGCCGATGCTTCACGGGAGCCAAGAGCTGCGCAAGAAAATACAACCAAAGACAGCGCATCTGTCAGCGAAAACGAAGTCGATGCACCACTGCCGGCTGAGCTGCGCGCGCAGGTCCACTCCCTCTACACCCATTCCGCGTCGCTTCCAGTGCCCCTCCCGATGTGCTTGCACGCCGTCATTCAAGGGCTTACGGAGGCGTTGCCGCTCACCAAGAACGCTTTCGGTGCGCCATCGGACGAGCAGCTTCGTAAAGCCGCCGTGCTCTGCACCTACGCACTTCGCTGTCACCTTGCGGAGCAGCCGGCGCGTGGGTTGCTGGGCAAGACAGTGGAGTTGTGGGTCTCGTGCGTAGCGCCCTATCTGTGCCGTCGACGAGGAAGCCAAGTCAGCACCGCGCGGAGCTCTACTTCGCTTTGCTCGCCAAGGCTGTCGACGACGGATCGCTACCTGCGTGAGGTCTCACTGCGGCTCCTGTACGGCTATCCACACGTGCCCGTTGCCCGGTTGCTCTTGACGCGGCTGCTGCACGAGTGGAGCATCATGACTGCCACAACCCTCGCCCTCTCCTCCACTGCGGACGCCTCTGCCATCTCCGGCACGGCAAGTCGCAGTGGTCACGAAGAACGGGCTGCACTGACGGTTCAGTGGATGCTGCGCCACCTCTTTCGATACGCCGGACGCACAGATCTACGAAATGACGAGCTGCAGAGGGCGTACCCTGTCTGCACCCCCGATGCGGCCATTGCTGAGGACAACAGCGAATGCACGCGTTGGTGGAACGCGGACTTCACGGAGCGTTACACGCAGGACACGCTGCGACTGATGCCACGCATTGCGCTAGAGAACCTCGCGGAGCTACTGAGCGAGGATAATGGAAGGGGTAAGGTGGGCGGGCTGCAGCACGTTCTCGACCGGGTACAGGTAGCGCTGCATCGCCGTGTATCCGCAGACGGCACGCAGCACCAGCCCTGGCAGTGCATAACGTGCTACTTATGGAATGGTCGTTACACCAGTGAGTGCAGGCGGTGCCACACGCTCGCCACGTCGCTCCTGCAGTGCCGCTCGTGCGGTTTTTTCACATCTTCGGCCGGATACCGGGCGTCGCACGGTTTGAGCTGTGAGGTGTGCGGCACGGTGCTCGTTGCGCTAACAGGCGCGAATGCACCAACGCGCAACGGGGAAGCCATCCGCCGAACTCCCCAGGAAGTTCCTGCATTTGACATACCGCAGTCAATGGAGGACGCGAACAGCGCATCCTTGAACAGCTCTCCCGAAGCGGTAGATCAAGATCAGCGCACCGAAACGCAAAGCACACCCCTCACCCCGTCTGCGTCGCGCGGTGAGCAAACGCCTGTGGGAGCGGCCACCGTGATAGGCAGCGGACGGCCGGCAAGGCTTTTCCGCGACTCTCCGCATGTGCTATGTGTGGTGCCGCTGCGGCCGTGGTCGTGTGCGCACTGCCGCACCGTGAACGAGGCACAGCATGTCTTTTTCTGCCGTGGCTGCGGTCGGCCGGCGCCGGCGACAGACACGACAACGCACGCCGCCGTTTCTGCCGTGTCGCAGCCGTGTGGTTGCTGCGGTCATGTGCCCAAGACGATGGAGGGCCGCCTGCTGCCGTGGTGCGAGCGTTGTGGGGCGTTGCACGAACGCGTACAGCGCGTCTTCACCGCTGCGTCAGCCGCATCGACGACGACATCGGCGCAGAGCGGTGCAGCGATGCCTGCGTTGCCCGTCGAAGGCGGGGAGAGGGGGAGTGGTACTTGTGGTCCGCTGCGATTGCCGACGCTGTGGTGGTGCGGTGAGTGCGCCGTGTCGCTGAATCCGTGGGCTCGCACTCATTGCAGCCTGTGCGGTGCTGGGCGACCTGCTGGCGGCTTAGCAAGTGCGCTGCCTCACGCATCAGACTCCGCCTCCGCCAGCCCAAGCACAAATGCGTCTTCTTCTTTGCTGGATGACATAAGGCAGCTGGAGTTGGGACCCAACGCGGCGGTTCCTTTTATCACCGTTCCGTGGTCGATGCAGCGCTGCGGCGGGTGTCGGGCACTAAATCGCGTGGGTACGCACCGTTGCTGGAAATGCGGAGCGGCGCAGTCGTGGCCGGCATCATTGCGGCAAACGATATCCACGCAGTGGCAGTACTGGCTGACACAGGTGACACACGCGGTAACGGTGACGGGTGGTGCGCGAAGCGAGCCGGAGGGCACAGGCTCCACAGCATCTCTTGCATCACAGAACACCGCCAGCGCAAGCGCACCGCTGCTGCTGCTCGCACGCACCGAGCACTGGATATGCCTGCGGGATGGCTGCCTGCATTTGAACTGCACGGATGTGGCGCAGCACACCGGCGAGCTTGGTGAAAGGGGGAGTGCGTTGCTTGTGCGTTGTGCAGCGTGCCACACACCCCGTCGCCGCGCGGAGGTCTTTAACCCCTTCCACGACCGTCTCTGCTGGCGGAAGGCGGGCAACGCAGACAAGAAGGTCCCGCTTTCACCTGCTCACGCCGTTGTGGGGGCGCTTATATTGCCACGAGCTGCGCCGCTCCTGACCAACCCGCTCGTCGGTGCGCCGACGACGTCTTCTCTAAGCGACTCAGCTGCACGTCCTGTGCGGGTGTTGCATCGCGCACGAGTTGCATCTGCCGCCACGCCTGCGTGTGCGTGCTGCGGAGCTCTCGAGCAGGAAGAAGAAGGCTCAGCGCCGACGTCGTCGTCATCATCGACGCTGCCTTGTCCGCCGCCGACACCCCTGCGGCCGCTCTTTTGGGTACACATGTGCAAGAAATGCGGCCATTGCTCCTGGGGTCCGTCGTGCGTCGCCTTCAAGGCAGAAGCCTCCGCGGCAGACTCATCGAGCTCCGCCACTCCCCGCGGCCTTCTCCCTGGTGAAGAGGCGTTGGCGCTTCGGTTGCTGCTGCGGTCGCTCGCGCAGAGCGTGCAACAGGCGCTGGCGTTGCAGGCGGAAAGAAAAGGCAGAAGCGGCAGTGGAGTCGCGAAAAGCTCAAGCTCGCACGTGGACCATACAAACTCCTATGAGTCGTCTTCCAGTCGCGGAGGAACGCCGCTTATGGACTGGGCTTGGTTTTCGAGGCACGTGCTCTCCGCCGTGCAGCTGTTCACTTGCAGCAGCAGCAGCTCTAAGGTGAGTTCTGCAAAAGAGTCCATTGACGTAAAAGCAGAGGGGGATGCCGCCAGATGCACGCTGCAAACGGAGGAGGAGGTCGCCCGCCGGCATGATGCGCTGCTGCCGTGGTGTGGCTGCGATGTGGCCTCGGCGGAGCAGCTGTGCTCGTCGGAGCCGCGTGTGGCGGTGCTGTCGGACACGGCGGGCACCGTGCACTCCGCGATGATGGAGGTGTGCGAGGTACTCGAAGGCATTTGCGGTCTCGTTGAGCTGCGCGTCTCCGAGGTGGCTGCAGTAACGGCGCGACGACGACCTTCTCCTTCTCCGCCGACGGTCCCCCTCTGTCTGGAGGACGCGTGGACCCGTCGCCTCCTCCTCGCCGCGCTCGACTTGATAGACGTTGTGAACCGCAGCACCGTGTGTGATGAAGTTGGGTTTGCCACGCTGCGCCGACTCTGCCGCCTCCTGCGTCCGCACGAGCTTGACCACATCGACACGGAGACGAAGTGGAGGTACCTGCAGGACATGAAGCTGTCGCGCTCGTCCATACTGCATGGCTGTGTACGGTGCGAGCACTGTCTGCGGAACCACATGCCGGGACGGCAGTGCTCGGCGCTGTAGTGGCGACGGTGACGTGCGCCAGTGTCTGTGTTCGGCGCCGTCATGGGGACTGCAACGAAGTGCAGAAGGAGCGTCGTGTCCAACCATCTTACGGCGTGCTGATGATGTTGTTGCCGAGGCTGCAGAGGCTTCGTGTATTTGGGTGTATTTGCCTCTTGTACTTCGTCACAGGTCGAAACACTTGCTTTTCAATTTGGCTTTCTACAACTACCCGTAGAGAATGAAATGGCGTCGTTTCGGTGGTGCATCTCACCTCGTGCACCGACACAACGATCGGCGTCTCTTGTGTCCTTCCTTGTGGCCCCACGAACGAAGCGGCGTTTGTCGACCACAGCGGCGACAACCACGAACCTCTTCTTGAAGGATCGCGGCACCAGCGGCACCAAGTGCGTAGAACGTTGCTCGTTTCGAACTCCTCCTTCTCTCTCTTTCCATTTCCTTCTCTGCTGCACCGTCGGTCTCAATTATTCTACCCTTCAACTATATATATTCTCTGCCCGCGTAGTACACTCACCATTTGAGCACCGCACCTTTCACTGCTTGATAGTGCAGAACGAGGGGGGAAAACAGTTCAGGGTGAAAACAGGCAAGATTGAAGGACCGGCACTTCGCGAAGATGCTTCGACGGAGCGCGCTGTGGTGTCTCAAGGCACGGCCCAAGACGGTGAGCATCGAACCCGGCAGTAACCGCTTCTTAGATCCAAACATCGAGGCAAAAGCGAAGGACATCTTTGCCGTGCCGCCCTTCCCTAACAAGTCGGTGCTGCACAACTGGCGCTTCTTCATTAAGGCCGGCAAGGCGGCAACGGGGCCGCCGGTGGGGCAAGAATTCTCCAAGCTCGGCCTGAAGGCAATGGACTTCGCCAAGGCGTTTAACGACCGCACGAAGCCGCATTTCAAGGATGATATCGAGTTGGTGGTGCGCATTCAGGTGTACTTTGACAAGTCGTACATCTTCCGCATTGAGCCGCCTCCGACGGCGTGGTTCCTGATGCGTGCGGTGCGCAAGAAGCGCGGCGAGACCGGCTCCGTCGTGCTGCGGGGCCACTACTGTGCCTACGTAACCTTAGAAATGTGCTACGAGATCGCCAAAATGAAGCAGATGTCGTGGGGGAAGATGGAGTACCCGCCGATCGAGGTGCGCGTGCGGCGCATTGTCGGCCAGGCACGCCGCATGGGCATTGCGATCATCGGCGTCGACACTGCCCACAGCTCCCCGGTGAAGGGGATGACGGAGAAGCAGTACCTGGAGGAGGGGGAGAAGTACCGCAAGGTGCACATGGCGCAGTACGAGGCGCTGAAGTCGAAGGAGTTGGCAGCCGCACCGCTGATTGAGCGGCTGCACCGGCTCAACATGGCACCGCTGAGCAACGCGCAGTTGGAGGAAGGTCTGCAAGACGCCGATGTACTGCACGCGCTGTGGAAGTCGTCGCACCCGAAGAGCCTCTATATGCAGGACATCCGCAATCGCGAGATGGCGCGGCGCTACGTGAATGCGCGTGGCTGGTTTAAAGATATGACACCGGAGGAGATGCGAGTGGTGTTTTTGAACTACCGCCTGCCAGAAGCGGAGCGCCAGCGCGAGCTTGGCCGGTCGGACGCGGAGGTTCAAGCGCAGGGGTACTGGACTCGTGATGGGCCGCAGCAGTAAGGCGCAAACACGAAGAGAGGTCGCAAAAAAAGGGAGGCTTTGCCGTTCTGTCGATCTGGTAGTGCGCATTCGCACCAGATGTGCGTCTTTTTGCCTTGTGCTGTTGTGGAAGCGTGTTTTGTTGGTGTGTTGTACCCCAAGACAGACTGGGTGAAGGAGGGCGAAGGCGCAGAGGAGTAAAGGAAGGCCACAGAGGTGAGAGCGTGCGAGAGCGATCGATTGAGCGAGAAGTTGCGTCTCAGGCCGGCAGAGAAGCACGGCAACGCTTTTGCTTGTGCTTCTGCTCTCCTTACCCCCCTCTTAGATCCTTCGTAGCTCCGATTTTCCTTTCCTGATGCCGGCGATGAAGTATTTTGTTGGGGTTTCTTTACTTGTGACGCGAAGGACTTTCGCTTCTTTACACAAATCTGGCTTTTAGAAAAAAAAAACGAAGAAGACGATGCGAGTAGACGCCGACGACCAACGGCGGACCTTTAGCGGAGGGCACGCCGCAATGAATGTACTCTTCACTGAAATATGCCGTATATCGTTTCTCCATCTCTCTCACCGCCATGCACGTTGCTCCCTTTTTTTTCCAAATAGTGGAATGGGAGGCGGACACTTCGATTGCTGGAAACAACAAAAAAAAACACACACATGTGAGGGAGGAGGACCACAACGATTTCATTGGCGCGTGTTTCTGCCCGCCGCAACGACGGCCCTACAAACTCTTTGTTTTCTTTTCTTCCGCAACTTCACTTCCGTCGTACTCTTTGTTTCCCTTAAACACCATTGTGTGCGCGCAGCGCCGCACGCAACGAACGTTTTCACCCGTCGGTGACAACACTTCTAGAGTTGGCTGAATAAGATACTGCAAATGTCACAGCCAAAAGCTGCGTGCGTTTCTCGCTGCGGACTCACCTACCGCCCCAAAGCCGATGTCGCGGTGGTGGATGTCAACACGTTTTTCCGCATCCTGCGCTTCATCTCCGCCAATCCCCAGCTGGCCACGTTAACGGTGGCGACGGAGCAGACTTCTATTGCCGAGTCGACGCAACAGGGTCTCGCCCCCTCGTCTGCCACCGAAGTCACTCCGGCGTCTCTGACCACGGCGAAGCCTTCGCTGATGGGCACGAGCGCCGCGGTGGGCAATCGAATCCGCATTCCAGCGGTGCTGCATGAACCCCTCGAGAACTATCGACGGATGGCGACGACGTCGCCCATCGATCAAAACGGTCTCGCGATGGCGCGGCAGCGTGTGCAGAGTCTTCTGGAAGAGTTGTGCAACGAATTAAAAGATGCGGACGCCACGACAGCGCTCTGCAGCGACGTCTTTGCGCACACGGAGGACGACATGGTTGAAAGCGATAGCACGACTTTTATGCACAGTACGACGACCACCACTTTTGGACCGAAGCAGAACGTGGCCAAGACCAATGTATCGAACAGCAACGAGATGCAGCAGATTGTACCTGGACTGTGGTGCGGGTCGTGGCACCAAGCGAGTAACCTTGCGTTGCTAGAGCACTACGGCATCACACACGTGTGCTGCTGCATCGATACAAAGCCCTTCTTCCCCACCAACTTCATGTACTTTCAGATCCCCGCCGCGGACACGCCGACGTACCGGATGCAGCCGCACTTCGCGCAGGCCTTCGAGTTCATTGAAAACGCGCTAGTGCGGAGTCATGGAAACGTGTTGGTGCACTGTGGTGCGGGCATTTCACGTGCCCCGACGATCGTGGCCTCGTACCTTATGAAGAAGCTGCACATCAGCTCGACGGCGGCCATTCAGCTCGTGCAGCACCACCGCTACGCCGCGTCGCCCAACGTGGGCTTTCGCGAGCAGCTGCACCTGTACGGAAAGAGTCTCCAAGTGGATGAGGTGTCAGCGAGCGAGCGTGGCAAGCTGACGAATGAGGGGTTCATGCAGGCGGCCGCGGCGGTCAATTCCAAGTAGGAAGGGAAGCTTGCGAATGCTCAATCCGTGCTGCAGCACCACCGATAGCGCACCGTCGTCCACACACATAGACGTCTTTGGCAACAGAGCATGTGCACAGCTGCTTTACGATGACAGTGCTGGTCGTGCAGCTGAAGAAGATCGCCAAAGGGAGTGAGCGCCGAGAGGGTAGAGAGAAGCAACATACTGGTGTAGATTGCCGTGTACAATATTCAAGCACCCAAGGGTTGGTCTTGGCTGTCTTCTTCACTACTTTTGATTATTGAAAGCGTTACAATTTTTTTTCCGGTTTCCATTGGCGGTTTATATATACTACGTAGTAATTCATACATTTCCGCATTTGTACTTCTATGTTTCTTCTTCTTTTTTATCTGTTGCGACAAAGGAAGCTCGCTTTGTTTCCCCTCCTCCGTCGCCCCGGTGAAGCAATTCATTTGTTATGTGTCGAGTTGACGTTATGGCGAGAAGGACGATGTGGATGACGCTCTCCGGTTATTGGAAGAGATGGTAATGAGTCGCCCTGGTGGCTTACATGCTTCTTTTTCTTCTCTCATTTTTTCTTTTGTGATTCCCGCTTGACTCTGCGTTGGTGCCCAACATTCCGTAACGGCATTCGCCACAGGTTTCCGACAAGCCGTCAAGGAAACAATGTGAAAACATTCTCACAAACCGTGTTTCTCTTCTATTATACGGATGCATACTACCGTCACCAGACAAACAGCAAAAAGAATCTTGAGTTAGTACCGAGGGAAGAAAGGAGACGTACGTTGCCTCGTGTTTTTTTTTCTTTTTCTGAGAGCATGTTTCGCCTCCCTCGCTGAGGTCATTATCCTTCATTAACTTGCAGCGACTCTGCGATGCACATTTAAGACTTTCCTGTCTACGTGCATATTATTTTCTTGCTTTCTCTTCCTCTATCGTCTCTTGATCTCTCCGCGGCTCTGCCGCTACCTGCGTGATTTTTTCAATTCACTGTAACGCTGCGCAAAGCTAGAACACTTCTCCTTCCTTACTGCCAGCTGAACTGCACCACTGGAGGCGCATTCGACTAGTCGCTTCATTGAATACGTGAATATACATACCTCACCCCCGTTATCTTACCCCGACAGAGCGAGAGCGAGAAACGGCTTTAAGGAGAGAAACGAAAAACCGCTGTTAATTTTTCTTCTGCCTGACAGATCCCTGACGCGTCTTCCTTTATTTCTAATACATATATATATTTATTCGTGCAATAGGAAAGCGAGAAGATGTTAGGCTCAGGCAAGTCGAGCGGTGTGGTGAACGAGGCCAGCAACCTCAAGGCCAACGAGAACCTCACCTCCACCATCGAACAGATGAACACGAAGGCATACCGCCAAAGCCGCGACATGAACGACGTCATCCCGACCCACCGACGCGCCGTAGCAGAGGCGCCGCGCGACAACGGCGTCCCTGTGTACGACCCTTCTACCGAGAAAGCAATGGAGCAGGTGGAGCGCGGCAACGCGGCGGAGTTGGCGGACGACGACGAGGACGATGAGCTAATGGCACTGCGTCGGATGCGCATGCAGCACCTGAAGGCGACACAGGAAAAAAACGCGGAGTACCGCAGTAAGCAGCACGGCGAGTACCGCGAGATCGCACAAGACGACTTCTTCAACGTCGTGGTGCGGGAGAAGGGCGGCAGCGATCGGGTGTGCGTCCACTTCTACCACAAAGACTTCGAGACGTGCAAAGTGATGGACAGACGCCTTTCTGAGTTGTCGCAGTCGATGCTGGCGGTTCGGTTTGTCAAGATCGACGCGGAGCGCTCGCCTTTCTTGGTGGAGCGTCTGCACGTGTCGACGCTGCCGTGCTGTCTGCTCTTCTTGAACGACGTCTGCGTCGATCGCATTCTCGGCTTCGACGGGTGCACGTCGGAGGATGGCACGTTAGATGCGGATCTGCTGCGGGAGCGAATCGCACGCACCCTGCAGATGGAAACGGAACACTAGGAGTGGTGCTGGGAGCGAGAAGACAGAGGAGGAATTCTGTTGTCGTGCGTTTTCGCAAACTATCCTTCATGCGGGCCGGTTCCTTGGCCAAGGAGGCCGTGCGACCACAGCAACGACCTTGGAAGAGGTGAACGGAGGGGTGAATGACATGGACGACCTGAGAGGCACGGTGTCTGCGATGCAACCAACACCTTTCTGATTTCTCTCTCTCGTTTCATTGGATGTGGTTGATGTTGCCAACACTGTTTGTATTCAATTTTGTTTGTAATCTGTGTGATGTAATCAACGGGCGTTGTCATCAACATGGCAACAGTCGTTAAGAAAGACAGCCAATAAAACGCGGCTACAATACGTAAACTTTTTCCAATTTTCACGTGACGCATCGACGCACCCACACGCTTGCTGTCCTTTACAGTGCGCTTCAGGAGCATCCTCTTTCATATGCAACGTCCTTTTCGTCCCTTCTCCTTTTAGGTGCCGCAATTATGCCGTGCCTGGACGAAATGCACGACTTTTGGGGGGATTATCACTCTCATAAGCTTTTTACAGCTTCCGTCACTGTCTCCTTTCGCCTTTTCTCCCTCGTTTGCGTTTGCGTTTGCGTTTGCGTTGCGTTGCGTTGCCCCCTCAGCACCATCGGTCAACGATTTAGCTCTTCTTTCTGTCTTTTTCCCTTTTTAAACCATCGTATATTTATCGTTGACAGGGTACATTGCTTTCGTGTATACTTCTCTGTATTAAACAGCTAGATGAAGTTCAACCTCGCACTTGTGGGCGTCTGCCTCATCGGCTTTCTCCTTTCTAGCTACGCGTACACCGTAGAAGTGCACGCCGATCGCGCCAGGCAACTCGGCGTCCCGTACCGCGCGTACTGCGACATCGGTCCTTTTTCGTGCACAAAGGTGTTCTCCTCCGAGTTCGGGTCCGCCACGCAGTTCTTCGGCCTCCCAAAGACCTCCAACGCGCTCGTGGGGATGATGTACTACTTCGCCGAGATGCTGTGCTGCTGGAACCCAACGTTGATGCTGCTGACGAGCGCGCCAAGTCTCCTTGTCACCGTGTGCCTCGCTTTCGTCCTCACCGTCGTGCTGCGCGATTTGTGTGTTGTGTGCTGCTCCATCTACGTGGTGAACATTACCACGGTGCTCCTGTCTTACCGCTGGTGGAGGCGATCGCGCGCCGCCAACGCTGCTCGCAAGCGGAGCGGCGGTGCTGCGAAGGCCCCGAGACGCAAGTGAGAACGGCGGCGGTGGCGTCTTCATCCGCCTCACCGCGTCTCGCACCGGAATCCGTTTAGGAAGGGGCGTCAGGCAAGTGGCGGGAACGTGGATGAAACCACAACTGACTTTGCGGTGAGGGCGAATCAAGATTTCTTTTTCCCTCTTTTGAAGACTACAGACTTCCGTTTCCCGTGTTGGGATGGTTCAGATCGTGAATATATATTCCTTTTGCTGCTGCCATCTTTCTTAGTTCCGCTTCATCAATGTGCACGTTAGTTTGCGTGTCGAACAACGTTGGAGTAATCAACGAGATAGAAAATAACGAATGGTAGTTTGCATCCAAGTGGCGGCATCTGCAGTTGTTCGCCCATTTATCCTAACAGCGCCGTGTCGCTGGTGTGTTTTACTCGCAGATGAAAAAAGGAAATGAAAATTCCGGTTATTGCTACAACTCATATTATTGTTGTTGTTTTCGTGTTTCTCTGTCATTGACGATCGCGCAAAGTGATTCCTTGCTTATTTCTGCGTCAGCAGCCGTTTCGCACTTCCTTCCTCTCGTACCTCGTCCAACGGGCCGTTTTCTCCCGTCTCCTTTACTTCACCCTGCCTCACGCGCGGTACACTGTAGTGGTAGGCGTGCTAAAACGCCGCCGATCGAACTCATCCTTTTTGTTTTGTGTTGAAAGTCTGTCCGTGTAGTTTGTACTGGACGTTGATATAATACACTGGCTGCAGTTTTATCGCTATATACGTAGTGGTGTGATGTATCGACGGTCCTTCATCCTACTCGCGGCACCGTCGTCGCGGGTGTGGTGGTCGCCCTACGGCAAGCCAGACCGGACGGGGGAGACCACCGGCACCCAGCCAGACTTCGGACACTCCGGCAGCGCTCCCCGCGATCTTTTCCAGCGCACCACCCGCCACCGTCAGTCGCACTACGCCGTGTCGGCGGGTGGCCGTAGGGTGGCGGAGCCCTCCTCTTCCTCTTCGCCGGATTCTTCCTCCGTGGCGTCGGCGGGTGCCGGGCGGAAGAAGAAGTCGTACGCCGAGGCGGCGGCCGGCCCCCTCGGCACGGCGGGCAGCGCGGGACAGCAGCAGGCGATGCACATGTACGCGAACAAGGAGAACGCGTGGGAGGGGTACACGGATGATTGCTTCTACGGCGCAAAGCGGTTTCGCGAGTACTGGCACCGCATGCTGGCCGACCGTGGTGTGCGTTACTACGTCTTCACGGTGGTGGTTATGGTGATGGCGGCCGGGGCGAAGTTGTGGCAAATGCAAACGGCGCAACGTGCACAGAACGGACTGCTCGGACCGCGCAAGAAGAATTACCGCAGTCGCCTTACCGTTGTGCTTGACGTCGATGAGACGCTGTTGTCGTACGGGGATAAGGCGTTCCGCCTGAAGGCCGGGCTCGTCCCGCGCCCGTACCTCGCAGAGCTCTTGGACTACCTGACCTCCATCGACGCCGAGGTGGTGCTGTGGGCGGCGTGCAGCGAGCGGTATATGCGGCAGGTTCTCGGCATCATCGACCCCAGCGGCGTACGTGTGACACAGTACATCACACGGGACAAGGAGTGGTTCTCGAAGGACAACTACTACGAGAAGAACGTGCTGTGGCTGAAGCGCCCGCTGGAAGACACAATCATCATCGAGAATCGCCCGCTGAGCGTGCGCAATTGCAACGCGAATGCCATCCTCGTCGATGACTTCATCCGTGGCGAGTACATGGACACCGGTCAAGACCATCCTGCTAATGATCACGCGTTGCGCACGATTAAAAACATCATCGAAGATCTGGAAACGTCCGGGATGCCGGTGCCGGAGTACTTGGCGAACGCGAAGGTGCGCAACCCCGAGATTAAGGAGATCCCCTGTCACCTGGCCATTCGCCAGCTGCCGGACGAAATTGCTCGCGGCGTTTTTTACTTTATCGGAGACAAGATGAAGGCGAAGCGCACCAACACGTCGAGTTAGGTGGACGACCGTCCCTCTTTATCTTGCTTTCCCTTTTTCTTCTCTGTTGCCGTAGGAGATATTCGTTCGTTGAGTTGAGAGCCTTTAATGCGCGCCAAAAATAGTACCCGTAAACAGCAGAAGAGGAAAGGAGGAGAGAACTACAGCAGCGTAGTCTTAAAATACGGCCGCTGATCACAGGTCGTTGGGGGTTACCGCCTCGTCTTACAGCTTGTTCTCATTCTGCTAGGACAGAGAGAGCGGTGTGGAGCTGCGAAGTACCTTCACAAGCAATTGATAAACACGCACAAGGCGGTTTGCAACGCCCGATGCTATGGATCACAGTAAGAACGTCAAATAGCTCTAAACAAGATGAAAGGGTTGTTTTTGATACCAACGCCCGATAACGCCAGCCTTTTTTTATTTCTTTTCTGTTCTTCGCTCAAGGCGACGCCTTTCGTGGAGCTTCCGCAAAAAACGAGATGAGGCACGGCGAACTAAATGACGTGAATATATGTTTGCGTCATCACGTAGAAGCAGATTTGTTGATAACTCTTTGGGCGTATGTACCTGCCTGTGCGATGGTAGGGCAGGGGCTGCCCTGCGCTCTACCAACGTCGTCCTCTTCCTCCTATTTTTTTTTACACGTCTTTCTCTTCTTATCTCTCCCAACACGCGTGCGTTGAGTGCATCACACCGCTGCCTGCAGCTTTCGCTCATCTTGACACTGAAAGCGGGTAGAAAAAGGAATACACATCTCATCCTCCAGATTGAAAGCGCGAAAAGGCGAAGGCGGGCAAAAATGGAATCGAAGCGTGCGCTGGTGAAGCGGTACGTCTTCGGCACCAACCATGACGGTGAAAACTGTCTCCACTGGATGGACGACGGCTCGCTCTTGTACCCGGTCGGCAAGACCGTCGTCCTGCAGCAGCCTCACTCCTGCCACCAGCGCTTCCTCGAGGCCGCCTACCAAAGCACTGCGATCACCGCCGTGGCGATGAGTGCGAACAAGAAGTTTGTTGCCATCGCCGAAAAAGGCGAACACCCGCAGATTCAAATCATCGACACCGTCACCCGGAAGCGGCGCAAGATCTTGAGCGTGTCGGAGCTGGACAGCGACCACTACGTCGCCGTTAGTTTTAGCAGCGATGGTCGACACCTGGTCACGCAGGGCGGTGCGCCTGGGTGGAACCTGTACTACTGGAACTGGGAGCGCTCGCAGCCGCTCGGGTCTGTCTCGGTGGCCCAGCTGTACCACTCGAGCCAGCAGGCGCAACGCGACCAGCCCGGCCCGGACGCGCGAGAGTCGGAGACGAAGCGGCAGCAGAAGCGTCCGCAGGAGGGGACAGACCTAGACGGGGCGGACCCAACAAGCCGCTCACGTTCAGGGTCGCGTGAGGCCACGATGATCGTCTCGAGCATCGGCGTCTGCCCGCACGACCCACTGCTCGTCAGCGTCGCTGGCAACGGGTTCTTCCGTTTCTACCGCTACACCGAAGGTCTGCTGCAGCCGCAGCCCAGCACCGGCATCCCACGGGAGCAGTACGAGGTCTTCTCTACCCACCTATGGATCACCGCCCACAACGTCGTGGCGGCCACCACGAGCGGTTACATGCACCTCGTCCAGGACGGCCGCTTCGTCACCTCCATGGAGCTGCCCACGATGGGGGTGCGGCTGGACGACCGCCCGGTGAATGCACATGAGTCGATGCTTCCGTCTGTGACGGCGGTGGACATCGTGACCTGCATCGCACCGACGCACCCGCCAGGCCCGCAGCAAGGTCCCCGTCGCAGCGGCTTCATCGCCGCCACCAGTCGTGGAAACGTATTCATCTACGAGGACGTGCAGACCGTGCCGGGCCGCGGCGGCAATAACGCCGCGGATGTCCTACCTGCCGCCGCTGCCAAGGACGACAACAGCGGCGATGCGGTGAGCTATCGCTTTGTGTGTCGACTGGAGGTGCCGGTGTACGAGACGGGAGAGCAGCTGCAGACGGTGCCGCGGTCGGGCTCGCTGGTCGTCACGGAGGCCAACCAAGGGCCGGGGCAGCCAGCGAACACGGCTTCTGGCATTAGCGGCCCTCGTCGCCCCGTCGATGAACGAAGCGACGGCTCGTCGAAAGGCACGGGCGGCGGAGGGGTTGGCTCTGGCAAAGGACGGGTCGGGAAGTTGTTCGAGCTGCGGCACGAGGCACAGGGGAAAAAGAAGCCAGCCATCACGAACGCGGCGGCCGGCGGTGGCGTCGGAGGCAAAGCAGCGGTTCAGCGGAAGGCGGCGGGCTCCGTGCGGGTCGACAAGGCCGACCGGTCGCGCGGCAACGCTAAGCGGGTGTCACTCAATGGAAACAACAACGGCCAAAGCGTGTACGACGAGAGCTCGGCTGAGGCAGAGGAGCAACGCCGTCGTCGCCGCATCACTGCCATCGCGCTCGACCAGGCCGAGGAGCACCTGGCCGTGCTCACGGCGGCAGGCAAGCTGAACGGGCTGAACTTCCAACAGAACTGGGACAAGCGGGAGGAGATGTTCGCCACGGCGGCGCTAGGTGGAGGCAGCGACGCTGTCAGCTCCGCCTTCGCTAATCGCTCGGATTTGGCAGCGGAGGCCAGTGCTGTGGTGCCGACGTTTCTGCCTGCCTCGTCCGTTCGGCAGCAGCAGCAGCAGCTGCAGGCGTCGTACCTGCCGCCGCGCGCCTCTCTTTTCGAGCCGCTCTATCCCTTCTCGCATAACGGGCGTGTCAACGGAATGGATTGCAGCGTGCGCAAGCCGCTGCTCATCACGACGGGCAGCGACTGCAGCGTGCGGGTGTGGAATACGCAGTCGGGCCAGCTCCTCATTCGCCAGTTTTTTGCCACCGAGCCGGGTGCGGTGACCATTCACCCCGACGGCTTGGTCGCCGTCGTGTGCTTCCCTGAAAAGGTGCATGTGATGAGTGTGCTGAGCAACGCACTGCGCGAGCGACGCAGCATCAACTTGCGGAACGCGACGGACGTGCAGTTCGCCCTCGGCGGTCAGCTGTTCGCGATTGTGCACAACAACCTGGTTGATATCTTCAACTCCAACACGTGCGAGTTGCAGGGCCAGCTGCGTGGCCACCCGCAGCGCATCAAGGACTTCAAGTGGTGCTCCACCACGCCTTACCCCACCGACAACCGCGCCGTGACCTGCTCGGCGGATGGCATGATTATGGACTGGAACATCGCCGAGATGCGCAAGCAGACGGAGCACACCGACAAGCGCTTCCAGTACGTGGCGGTTGCATCGGATGACCGCAGTGTTTGGGCAGTGGCCGTGCCGACCTCCGCCACAGCGATGGACGTGTCGTGGAAGGTGCTGCTTCGTGAGATTGACCGGCAGAGCTTAGGCACGGCGGGCGTAGGCGCCGCAGCAGGGGCTGGCGGTGGTGGCGGTGGCGCCGGCACCGCTGCCTTCGCTGGCGGCATGCAGGGCAACAGCGTCGGCGACTACGAGTTCACCGAGACGGTGCTGACGAGTCTCGCCGTGGCGCCGCATCAGCGCGTGCTCGTCGCCGGTGCGGAGGACGGCTCCATCAAGGCGATTACGTTCCCGTTACAGGCGGGGATTCAGGAAGCCCCGCTCACCGCCCACGCGCTGCCCGTCACGCGGATTGCGCTGTCGTTTAACGAGACGACGCTCTTCACCGCCTCTGCCGATGGCACGATGATGATGTGGGAGGTGTACCCGGAGCGGGAGAAGTCGAAGACGGCGACTGCCGTGGCTGCAGGGAGCAGCACCACCACCGCCACCACCGCCGCCGCAGGAGCGGGGGCGTCGTCGCAGCAGCACCAAGACCCTTCCTCCCGCCAAGTCATCGGCGGCGGCGAGGAGGTGCTCGTGACGCGGCAGGAGATGGAGGAGCGCAGCATTGAAATCGAAAGCCTGCAGCACTACATTGAGAAGCTCAAGACGGATATGGAGAGCGAGGATAAGCGGCGCGCGCACGAGCAGGGCACCCGCACCCGCGAAAAGGCAGAGGAGCTGCAGCAGGTGGCGGTGGCCCTCGCGGCGGAGTACGACGCGCTCCACCACGCGAAGGTCGATCAGGAGCGGACGTTTCTCGATGTCAAGACGGAAAAGGAACGCGAGGGGGCGGGGCGGCTGGAGGACTTGGAGCTGCAGCGTCAACGCGAGGTGGACGACTTGGAGGAGGCGTGTGCGACGCTGCAGCAGACGCTGGAGGCCACCAAGACGGCCGACGCGGCAGAGGTGACGGCGCTCAAGGCGCAGCTCGCTAAGGCGCGGAGGGAGGACGAGGCGCACTACCAAGATGTTCTGGCGCAGCGCACGGAGGCGGTCCGCCGTCTGCGCCGTCAGCTGGAGCAAAGCCGGGAAACGAATAGACTCACGCTGCGGCAGCTGGAGTTGGACACCGACGCAGAGTCGCAGTCGGTGCAGCAGAAGCACCAACAGACGCTGCAGGGCGTGCGGGAGCGGTTTTTACACCTGAAGGGCGAGGGGGCGGTGATGCGCAAGAACGCGACGCGCCTCGAGCGCGAGATTGAGGTGCGGACGAACGAGCTTCAGCTGCTCGATGGTGCGAAGGTGGCCCTGCAAGGTCAACTGGCAGCGCTGACGCATCAGGTGGCGCAGCTGCACCAAGACATCGACGAGCGTGATAGCGTGACGGAGAAGAAGGAAAGGATCATCTACAGCCTCAAGAAGCAGAACCAGGAGTTGGAGAAGCACAAGTACGTTCTGGATCACCAGATCCGTGAGTTGAAGGGGCAAATCGAGCCAAAGCAGCGCGAGATTGCGGAGCTGAACCAGGAGACGAAGAACCAAAACGCACACTTAGAGGAGCAGCACACAAACAACATGACGCTGCGCGAGAACACGGAGGAGCTTAAGAAGGACATCGCAGAGCAACAGCAGAAGCTGCAGGCGCACCTCCGTGAACTGAAACGGCTTGAAACCTATCGCTCCCGGGCGGAACGCGACATTGGCGAGCTGTCGCATCAACTGCAGGACCCGGCTGCGCTTGCGGCGGCCATCACACAGCTGTACGAGGTCCACGTCGCACCACAGGACGTGGAGCAGATCGCTCCGGCGGACCCGCAGGTAAAGCACGAACTGCAGTCGCAGTTGGAGTACCTCGCCACCTCCGTCGACGCGCTACGGCGCAAACTGAAGGCAGATCAACAGCGCCACAAGAAGGAAGTGTCCGCGATGATGTCGGAGAACTTGTCGCTCATTCGCGAAATCCACGCCTTGCGGGCGGAGATGGACCACCTGCGTGCGCGCGTTGCGGCAGACACCGTATTGAAGCAGAAGCAGCAGCTTCGCATTTCGTCCGCTGGCCGCGGAAGGCGCGGCGGCAGTCCGGGAGAGAATCGAAGCACCGCCACCCGTCGCGCCAGTGCGGAGCGCGGGGCTGCTGATGCGTCGCAGACGGCGGGCGTCGCGGGCACAGGGGGCAGCAGCCGCGCCGTGGGATACCAACAAAGCGAAGTCGAAAGCAACACGACGGGCGCAGCTCGACGGCGGGCAGGCGGCGGTAGCGGTGTAGGCGGGCAGCGTCCCCCGACCCCGCCGGCGGAGATTGAGATGAACAGTAACGAGCTGCGCGCGCTTCGTGCGTACATTGAGGCGCTAGAGCACACGTTGGCCGACCACGCCGCGGCCGCGGCCGCCTCCGCCGCGCCAGTGGTTCTGCCGCGAGTAGATCCTTTTAGCCAAACCTAGAGTGCGGTCGCACGCTGCGGGTGTGTGAAACGCCAATTTCGATTATATCTGATCTCTCTAATTGTTGCTTCAACGTGTTGTTAGTTGTCTCCAACCTCGCATCATTTTTCTTTTTTTTTGGTCATCTCGTTCTCCTCCAATGATCGCCGTTGTTCATGTACAGATGTATTTTACGTTTATTTATTTATCCTCAAACGAGGAGAAACGACGGTGAGGAGCTGAAAGGGCCCACGCCGTGCGTGTCTTCGGCGATGTAAATAGCAGCACTTCTTTTGACCCTTTCCGTGTTTTTTTTTCTGTTTTTGTCTGTTCAATTCTATGTGGTTGCGGTGCCGCTTTCTCTCCCTCTCTTACGCTCACAGGTTCAACCAAACGTTGGGGTGCATGTATGCTGAAGTTGTAACGAAATAATAAAAAAAAACCGCAGATACAAATATAGCTGTATCACGCTCCGCATTCGAGCACTGCATGAAAGACGGTCATGCCGTAAGAAGCTCGTCCGCGTTCGGCGAAGTCTGCCGAGTGACGCGGATTTCTTTTCTCCATTTATTTACTCGATCTACGCACACTGCGCTTAACGACGTGAGTAATCAGGAAAGAACACCGCGCTCTCACTTACTCCCTTAATTTTTTTTCGGTCCAACGTGAATGCGCTCTTTCCGTCTCGAGCTACGCCAGCTGCACACACGCAGGATGCCTTCACGATTCCGCAACCTGTTCATCACGGTTATGTCACGGAGAACGGTTCGATAGCGCAATACGGCCCCCATGTGACTCGCTCTTCTGCTTTCCCTGCCCTCGTTTCATCTCTACTCTTTTTATTGTTGTTTCGTCCCCTCCTCAACCAGCCTTAGTACTCTCTTCTTCTTCCTATTCCTCCGGCTCCGTAGAGCGGGACCGTGCAAAAGATGCTGCGACGTTCTGCGCGGTCGCTCGCAACGGCGCTGGGAAGCGCCCTCCCGGTGCACCGCGACACGACCCGCAAACCCACCATGTCGACCGAGGTGGGGAACTGGCTCTACAGGAAGGAGACGATGCAGGAGTTCAATCGGTGGTGCCGCGCCCACCAGGTGCGAGCCTACGGCAACGTGAAGATGACGTCCACCATACACTTCGCGCGGTGTCTGCGCCTGACCAAGAGTATCGCGCCCGGCGAGGCCATCGTTACCGCACCCCTCTCCGCGTGTTTTAACTTCCTCGTCGTCGCGAGGGAGATGTTCGACAGCTCGAACAGTACCTTTCCGCTGCAGCTGAACTGGATGAACTACAATGAACGGCTCAGCTTCATGAAGAGTGCGTCCATCTGCGAGTTTGCCCAAGCAGGGTGGATGGGGCGCATCGCCTCCCTCGAGGAGTCGCCCTTCGCGCCGTACGTTCGCTACCTTATGGAGGACACCCGCGGTCGTGAGGGTATATCAAATGGGATGGCGAGGGAGCGCGAAGAGGAGAGCGGTATGCTCGATCACTACTTGTCAGAGATGGCGACGGACGCCTGCGAGGAGCCAGAGGTGTTTCTCGAGCACTTCTTCCGCGGCCTTGCCTGTCTGCACCTACGTTCGCAGCCCATCGAAGCAGAGGCGGTGCAGTACTTCATGCCAGGGACGAACTTCTTCAAGGTAAAGGCGAGCGAGATGTATGTGCCGACGCTCGTGCCGCTTGTGGACGCCGTGCCGCAGCTAGAGGATGGCAACCACAACACTGTAGTGGAGTATTTCCCGTACAAGGATGTGGAGACGCTACGGTCGCAGTGCACAGAGCTGGGGATTCGCTTCTTTGAAAAAGGCAAAGAGGCCCCGATTGTAACGGAGGAGGCGCCGTCGGGTCAGGGCGTCATGCAGAAGATCAACGTCGAGCATGAGCTGATGGACCCGGCTCTGTTGCGGGGTGGTGGTTTTGTGGCCCTGCGTGCGCTGCGGCCGCTGGAGGAAGGGGACGTGCTGTACCTTCGCCGCTTCCCCGACTCGTTGAACCGCGCCGATCAGCGCAAGATCGATGCGCAGATGATGGATGCAAACCGGCTGCTGAGTCGTGACAATTGAAGATATATCGATTATTATTTTTAAAGATGTGTTTTGAACTCCATATCGCCTTTGTTTCTGTATTTGGTTTCTGCTTTCGACAGGACTGATCTGCAGTGACGACTGTAGTACGGGCAACGCCGCCCTGATAGTGCACGTACATTTACTTTATCATTCACACACAGACATGAAATGGAGAATTTGAATAGAGCACATCATCAAACTGTAGGATGGAGCACTGGCGATTGTTTTGATGGCGTCCCAGTCGTCGAACGCTGCCGCACGCTGGCGTCGTAAAAAAGGAAAACAAACATGCAAGCAAACACCTAAATACGATGCTGATGGGAGCAGGCAAAGATTCAAGATCTACGCCAACGTATATATATATATATTTATATATATGAAGTCCAGGTGAATGGATTTCCTTTATCAGAGCCCTCGCACGCTCGTTCGTCTTTGCCGCCTCCAACTCTCTTCTTTTTTGCGTTTCGGCCCAACAAACTGCCGACTCAGGAAAGCTACATCAAATCAACACGATATCTTTCACTTGTCTGTAACTGCGTAGCGCAACAACAGCGAAGGAAAAAGAAGAAGGGTACCCATTATTCCGTAAGGCGTGCGTGCGCTTCTGCTATTTACTGCATTGGCTTTGCTATCACACGGTGGCACGGCGTCTCTGCCCTCATTACAGAGTAGAGCGGCACAATTCTTTACTCTTACCGGAGGAAAGAAAAACCTGGAGGGAAACAATACATCATAAGACCATCGCACACGCAGCCAAAAAAAAAAGAAAATGAAGTGGGTCAACTACCAGTCGAACATGTACAGGTACGGTCTGGTGTTCATGTGCGCTGCTGCCGTGTTGGCGATGATGAACGACGGCGGTGGTAGCAAGGCGCAGTGGGAATGGATGAACCGGCAGCGCGAAATTCAGGAGAGCGACAAGAAGAAGATTCTGTAGTTGCACTGCCCTTGTATCGACCTCGGAGAATCAACAATGCCGTGGTCGTTCATATATATATATATATATATATATATTTGCTTTGTTCTCTTCTTTTTGGTTTCTTTGCGTTTTATTTAGTCCTTTGCGAGTTTTCCCTGCCGGTTGAATGTCCTGAGCCATCTTCATCGAACGACTTCGCGGTTTATATACTCCACTCATCACCAAATCAAGAAATCAGGAAATGAAAGAAAATGCTTCCGTTTCTGGTCTTGCGCAGTGCGCTTATGCCGATGCGTCAACGCTTGCTTTTTGTCGGAGAAGGGTTAGCGCGTCTGGCTTGATGACGGCCGGTGCTGGGCGGGAGCTTCGTCTTTCGTCTGCGGGTTTACCTGTGCTTATCGGGTGAACCGTGACGGACGATGGAGGACGAACAGTTCTCAGCTCTCTTCATCTGATATATGTCTGAGTGTAACTTCCCCTTCTCACTCTTCCTCTCACTTCCTTTGGATTTCCGTTGCTGAACGTACCGCGTACGTGGCCCATGCTCCCTCACACACACACAACGCGTCTTTTACAATCTTACGCACATGATAAACGTCGCTTATCTCTTTTGTATCTACGTGTTTTTGACGGCATGAATCTAAAAGAAAAAGAAGGTGAACGCCCCATACCCGTTACAACGCCATCAATTTTCTCCTCACCTATTTTCTTTTCTTTTTGTAATAGGGAAGGTCTCCTCACGCTTGAGCAGGAGAGACGTATCCGTGTTTCTTTTTCTCCTTTTCTACGTTCACGTTGAGAGCTCTCTTTGTTTCTCTAGTGCCCTCTTCGTCGCAGTACACGCCACACTGACCGCGGACATCCATCGCGTCTTCAGCTCCGTGCGCGCAAGCGGGTATTCCTAGCAAGAAGAAAATAAGGTGCCTCCGTTGTGAAAGAGGAAAGAAAAGAAGAGCAGAAGATGCAAAATAGCAGCTAAGCCGGAGGCATTCGACTCGACTTTTATCTCCGTGTTGTAGGAGACGTGAGGCACTCTCTGAGCAAGCAAACGACCCAACACACACACACACACGCCCTCGTCTATCTATCTCTTTTTGTTTTATTTTTCGTCGACGCAACGTGTTGTTAGAGAGAAGCAAGAGGAAGTTTCGTGTCAGCGGCGATTTGGCAGAGTAACACCTGACCAAACGTCGAAGCAGGAATCAGCCGCCTTTTATCTTTTCAAAAAAAAAACCCAACAAAAAACTTTTTCTTTGGCTCCTTCTTCTTTTCTGCTCTAAGCATTCCAGGCGTTAAGGAAGAGCAACAACAACCTACACAAACTATCAGCAGGCAAAGCACCTTCAAAGGTACGACTCTACAACCACTATCAGTTGTTTGAAGAAGAAGAAAAAACCCTGAAAAGTGAAAGCGAAGCAGCAGCCATCCGTGTAAGCGCCTGTGTGCAAAAACAGGAAACAATAAAAAGGAAGCGAACACGACGCCGCCACGGCAGACGGCTCTTCGAATACGATGCGTTGCATCTGTTAAGGCGGTGCTTTGATCGTTACAAAAATAGCAACCTCTTCTCCTTCCCAAGCCCTTTGTTTTCTTGCCATTTAGTCGTGTTTCTCTCTCTTTTTGTTTTTCTTTTGGTTCCTCCTGTTCACGCCGTCGTTGGTTTCTTTTTCCCTTTACCTGAGATCCATTTTTTGTTGTTTCTTCTTCCTCTTCTACGGCGGAAACGACATATCAACAAGCTGCGTGTGTAATTTACGCTGTATGGCGTGTGGCCTTTTCCACCACATTTGACGAGTCCCCATCCGTGTTCCACCCCCCTCTGAAAGAAAGTGAGAAGGAAAGGACGAAGGAACAGTAAATTCTCCCCTTTCTTCGTCTTGTTCTTTTTCCTTTCTTCTTTTTTTTTTGTGTTTTCGTTCTGTCTTCACTGTTCTCCCTCGCCTTCTTATTTGCCAGCCACTCCGCACGGGCAGAATTGTGAAGACCGATTACGCGATTACCTCGCATTCATTATTGCCTTCTTCTTTTATTTTGTGTTGTTTCCTCTGCCTCCCCTCGTTCTCGCTCCCACTCACTCTCCGCATCGTGTGCAGAGAGCGAGAAGAGAGAAGCTACTGCATTCATGAACCGATACCGCGATCACGTTTGATTTGTTTTTTTCTTTCTTCTCTACGAATCACAACTCTTCCGTTTTGTCCCCCCCCTCCCCACACTATTTCCCCCGCTTTCAGCGTTGCGCTCTACTACAGCTGTGTTCAAGGATTCTTTATTTCATTTTTTCGGTGCAGTCTTCTTCTTCTTTCCCCCAAAGCACCCACCTCGGAGACTGTGATTATCTCAAATCTCAGCCAAGATAAGCAAGAAGAAAGACACGAGGCGTGCCTACACCACCAGCCACGACGACAATACGAAATCTGTGCAAGCGGCGAAATCGTACACCGGTTTTTTTGCTGAAGGCTGGCGCTCAAGAAAAAAAGAACCCCTTTTCTGTCTCGCGTTTCGCTCACCGACTTTCTTTAAAAAGAAGAAATCCTGCTGGAACTTTCTGTTTCTTCACCTTTCTACGTCGAGTAGCCACTTTAATTTAGAGGGAGACCGGAAATATTTTTTGTATTGCAACGGACCAAAAACGCCGAACCCCCCCCCCCCACCCCACACAACACCTTTTTTTTTTCCAAGAGCAACTCGTTAGGCGTGTGTGTGCGCGTGTTGCTTTCTTTCCTTTCTCCTCTTTCGTTTTTTCCCTTCTTCCGACGTCGAGTGCTGTGAGTACGAAGCGTGTATCGACACCTGATAAGTGATCCATACAACAGTCCTTGTTTGTGTTTCTTTTTGCGTGGTTTTGCCGCTTTCCTTCGCCTCTTTTTAATGAAGTCGTAGTCCCTGCGCACTCCTCTCTTTCTTCTTCTGCTTTTCCTCTCTTTACCGAAGGTTCGGGAAAGTGGAGAGGGAAACTGTCAGGGCAGAAGGTTTTTGGTACAGTGGCGCTGCAGCGCAGCGAGGCGCTACCGTGCAGCGCTATACATATGGTATATTGGACAGCTTCTTGTTGATACAATCTTTCACCTTTTCCCTTCCTTTTCGTGTGTTGCCGTCGCGAACTACAGACGATTAAAATGCGGCGAACGAGTTCCACGGTTGTGTTCTCAGCGGCGATGCCGCCGACTTCACGGGTGGCAAGCTCCGTCTCTGCGTCCTCCGGCGAGGATGAGGTGAAGAACACTCGGCCGGGCGAGAAGGGCACCGAAGTGACCGAAGACTTTTTGGCGAATGAAGCGGTCCAGCCGAGGTTGTTTGAGCTGCCTCGCTGCAGCTACCGGAGCAGTCCGATGGAACTCGTTCTGGCAGACAGGAGAAGTGGGCATGTGAAAACGGATGGCAGCAGTGAGAGTGGCCAGCTGAACAACACGGACTTCCCGCTCTCCTACAGCTCCCGCGGCCTGGGCTCCACCACCTACACGGACGACGGCGACGACTTCGATGCCGCGGAAGATGACGGCAATGTCGGAGATGACGTGACGCATGAGGCTGCGGTGACACCGCGAGCTGCAAGAGCCAAGTCATCATCCGGTCAGCGGCCAACCTCCTCTATGGCAACTTCGGCAACCGTAACTGCCATGGCGGCAGCAATGCCGCCGCAGACACACGCCGATGCTGCCGTGTTTTACCGCCCCTGCTCGTCGCTTGCCTCACCGCCTCCGTCGTGGAGTGCGATGCGGAAGCTGCGGCGGGCGAGTGCGCCAAACACTCTGACTGGCCTGCGCAATGGTACGGTGTCCGCCAGCAGCGATGAGCTGCGCGGCTCTGATCGGTGTCGGCTGTCGTCGAACTCGTATAACAACAATAACAACGAGGTGAACAGCTGCAGGAGACCGACATCCACCGTTGCCACCTCTGCTGGCTTCGTCTCTTCCTCCTTCGGCGCAGCACGACCGGAGAGCACGACACTGCGTCTTGCGACTCGCGAGGGCGAGAGCATCCAAACCTCCAACCGCCACCGCCACTGCCGTGAAGGTGGATACTGGACCCTCGCTCCTCGACTTCGTGGGGTGAACGAGATCCTGCTCTCCACGGGCGACTCGCGGCTCTTTCGCGAGGCCGTGGAGGCGTTGCATGTGTGGCGCACGGCACTGCAGCTGGACCTGCACCGTAACAGCGCTGGCGGCACCTACATGGTGCGCCTGGCAGCCACCGACCCATCTTCCCCTGCTTTTGAGTCCGTTGGCTCGCCGCGCGAGGTGCGGTGTGTGTTTAAGCCCCGCGATGAGGAGATTGGGCAGGACACGAACCCGCACGGCAACTGTGAGAGCGACCGCACCGAGGCTTTCGCGCCTGGCAGCGGCAGTCGACGCGAGGTCCTCGCCTACCGCCTCGACCATGCGCACAACGCGGGGGTACCGCCTACGATTGAGGTGGCCTCGAACTACGCCGCTGGGGTGCCCTGCCGGGCAGCGAGTCACGGCAGTGAAGCAACAGCGGGTGCGAGGTCGGGACTGCTTGGCGATGCCACGATAACTCTTGCGGCCACCCCTGCAGGACTGTCTGACCTGTCGACGCGAACACTGGGCACGGTACATGGCGGTGCGGACGGTGCGGTGAGGGGTGGCGTACACGAGCTGCATCGCGCACATCACACGGCGGATGTAGATCAGAATTATCACGATAACAGAAGCAGCGGCGCCGTTACAATTCCGCAGATCGGCAGTTTACAGATGTTTATCCCGGGCTGCCAGGAAGCCGCCGACGTCCTGCCTGGGCGCTTCGACACGGACGAAGTACACGCCTTGGCCATCTTTGATATCCGCACGTTGAACGGCGATCGACACGGCGGCAATGTTCTCGTGCAGAACTACCGTAGCAGCAGCAGCAGCGGCAGAGACCGGTGGAATGCGAGGAGCCGAAGCAGAGGCACATCCCAGAAGCGCAGCGAGCCGATCCCGCACCTTGTTCCGATCGATCACAGCTACATCTGTCCGAGCGGGTACGCCGATCCAGACTACGAGTGGCTGTCGTGGCCGCAGACGAAGAAGCCATTTTCGCCGTCCAACCTTCGGTACATCGCCGCGTTGGATGCAGTGGCAGATGCAGAACTGGTGCGTTCCGCACTGCTCGCCCACAGCAATGCAGTGCCATACGGCAACAACGGCGGTGCAGACCCTTTCGACGTCAGCGCCTACACCTTGGTGCGCGCGGACGGCGACGTCGACCCGGCGTGGGCGACATCCTTTATGCGTCGCAGCGAGTGTACGAGTGCGCAGGAACGCGGCGTGGCGCACGACGCGTACTTCTGCCGGCCGAATGCAAGCTGTCCTGCAATGTCGCCCCTCCAAGGACTTTGCTGCGACAGCTTCAACGAGCTCACCATCTATTCCCCGGTGCGGAGACCCAACCACGGCGGTAACGGTAATAGTCATTGCGCCGCTGCTGCTGCTGCCGCGGATGACTTCGATGCGAAACAGGGATTCTCGCCGACCGCGCTGCCGGGCCACCGTGACGACGACGCAGGTGCGTGGGACCAGTGGGAGATCGCCACGACGCAGCTGCTGGACGTGTGTGACGGCGTGGCGCACCCACGCGACGATGGCAGGGCCGCAGAAGAAGATGACGCCGGCGCGCACTGGGGCACAAAGCGCAGCAGCTGTCCGATGCGTACGCCGCCCATGTCCACCTCCCCTACGATTTCCTTTCCCGCGTACGGGGGCGGCGTTGTCGAGGCTCATCAAACTGAAGCTGTCAACGCAGTCACGTACGACAGCGGAGCCGCGGACGCGGCGGCGGAGGTGGTGCGCTGCACAACGCGGCTGCTGCAGATTGCGGCGCTGGAGTTTCACATGACGGCGTACGAAATTGGATCACTGTGTCGTCGTCCGCGTGTGGCGCAGGCTTCCTTCTTGGAGGAAGTGATGGAGGAGGCTCGTGATGAGTTCTCGTGGGAGGTGGCGCCGCCGTCCTTCGACCTCCTCGTTCGCCAGCGACTTGCTGCTGCTGGTTCTGACGCTGCTGCTGCTGCTGCGCTGACGGAGAGGCAAACGTGCGGTGCGTAAATGGGAAACTCCTTTCGCTACCTTTTTTTTCTCTTCCTTTTCTCCCTTCCTGCAAACGTTGTTCTTTGTTTTCAACGATATATACAGGAATAGCCACTGTCGCCTTTCTTACCTTTTCTTTTGTTCCATCTATTCCTCTTTAGCTGCTTTCACGTCTCTTTTTTGTATATAAATATATTTTCCGTTGTATGTTTTCTGGGTACATCTGCAACCCATTTTTCTTATGAATCGCTGACGAACAAGGGCGCTGATGGCTTGCATCGGTGCTTCGGGTTTCTTCTTCGCACTTTTCACGTATTACTCCTTTCTTTGTATAAAGCACCACCTGTTCGTCTCGTTAGGAGACATGTTTTCTTTTCCAGTTATATATATATACTTGTGTGTGGCTATGTGGCGCTTCACATCTGCCGCGTCGCATCCTTACGTGATTTTTGTTGCTTTTCTCGGTTGAATCTATTCTCTTTTTTTTTTATTGCTCCGCTTTGTTCCTCTCTCTCTGTCTTTGCTTGCTTCTTCTCTCTCTGTAACCGAATTGTTGTTGTGAGTGCCCGGGTGCCTTTTCTTCTATTTTTGTATGGAAAAGGATTTGTTTTTGCGTGTCGCTCCTCAGTGCCGTCGCCCTGCCGGGGTTTCTGCTGTACCACACGTGGCAAAGCGCTCCTTCTCGAAAGCGCGCCGCAAGTCCGACTGCGCTGAAGTTGGCGAGAGCTTTTCTTTCCGTCTTGATTTTCATTTTAGCATGACCGGTCGGTGTTGTTCGCGATTCATGTTCTGTGCGCGACGGAGCGAGCAACAACAAAGAAAGGTGCAGCTGCGAAAGGGCGATGGTAGAGTGCGGAAGAACCCGTCCGTTTCACCTCCTCGATGTTCTTTGCTTATTTTCTTGTGCTTGCTGTCCCGGTAAGTGCGGCGCTTTGCGACGACAAAACTAGGACTTACAAAAGAGAAATATAACGATAAACCAACGCTGGACTTTGCGTCGGCAAGGCGAGTGTGGAGGACCATTGTTGGCTGTCTGTGGAGACAACATTCGAAAAATGAGGTGGAACGCGCTGCTGTGCCCCCCTCACTGGCGAGGTCCTATCACTCGGCTGAAACTCCAACTTGCCAAATGTGCCCTTCTTTGACAGCTCTCCCACGCGCGCTCGTCATCGGCGCAGCAAGTTTTTGGTTCTCCGTTGAATTAACGAGAACTGTGTCGTGTGGTACTACGTCACCATGTCCAGTGACCGACCACTTTCTTTATCTCATTCACCTCTTCGCTCGTTCTCTCGTCATCCTCTGTTTTTTTTCTCTCTTTTTCCCTTTATTGCGGCAATGCATTTGAAGTTGCGTGCGTGAGAGTCCAAGTCGAAGAACTACGTTGTGCGCGCCGCCCTTTGGACGTGACGGTGTGCGTGTGCTACACCGTGTCACAGCCCTCGGAGACGCGACTGTTTCCCTGCTTCTTTCTTTCATACACATATATATATATATATATATATATATATACTATATATATATATATACTACTTACTATATATATATATATATATACTTTCTATACACATATATATATATATATATATATATATATACATTTTCTACAACGTGCTTTTCTTCTCTCCTCTCTTCTTCTTTTTCCTTTTCGCCCACGTTGTCTTGAAAATCGGTCAACAAAGCGACACACGGGATTTCGACTTCGACACCACTCCGCTGTTATTGCGCTTGTTGTTCTTCGCGAATGCCGGTTGATACGGTGTGCGAGGGGCCGCGCCCGCCAGGGCGTCGCTCCATCCACCTCTACGGCCTACCTCCTGTACGTACGTACCCCGCCGGTGCAACGGATGCCACCGCGCTGAAGTCCACCGGCATTGGCGTGCTCGACTCGACTGGCTCGATGACGCAGCCCAGTATTAACTCGACCTCTCCTCGCCGTCCCGTGGCTGCGGTGCTGTCATTGGACGCTGCTGCTGCTGATGCTGGTGGGGCGGAGGCGCGTGCTGGGCGCCCACACAACGGAGCCGAACCCGTCGTGACGACCTCGCCGCGACACCTTCGTGGTCGATTGAACGAAGGGACGGTGCACCGTGCCCCACACGTTGTGTCCACCGCCGCGAGCTACGCCATCCCTCGCAGCATGGCCGCCACTCGAGCGCAGTCGCGTGAGGCGAGCAAAGGACGAGGTCCCACCTTCGGCCCCTCCGTCGTCTCATGGGTGCACGTGGCGAGCGGGGAAGCGGCACAGTTGAAGCGCAACACCGCGTCGAGGGACGATAGCAGGAACAGCAGCCGCAACGGAGCTTCACAGCCGGCGTCGCGTACGTCGCGCGCGCCGAACACGGCCGCGGCGGCTGAGATAACACAGATGGTAAACGACGCTTCTATGCGAAATACGTGGGCGATGCGCTTTGCGAACACGGCGGTGCTGCGCCAGGCCGTCAGCACCAACACGGACACCTACACGCACTTCGAGGAGGCGCTCCTGGCGGAGCTGAACACGCTGCGACGGGCGCCAGCTGAGTACGCCGCGGTGGTGGAGCATGAGGCGAAGGTAGGCGTCCCGTACGTGCGGGAGGATGACATCTACTTCAGTAGTGAAGCCGCCGCGGAGGACGCGGGCCTCAACCTGCGCCGTCGAATGGAGCTCGAGGGGTCGCAGGAGGCGTCTTCCACCGCTGCCACCGCCGCCACCGCTGCGGCAGGCGCTGGTGGAACGCCGGCACCTACGGCTCGTTTCACAAGGACGTCGTCCAACGCCAGCAGCGTGTCCTCCAGAAACGGACCGTCCACGAACGGCCCTGCCACCGCCACCGCCGCCGCGTCCGCCGGATCAGTCGCCGCCGCCACATCGCCGACGGGGAATGAGCGGAAGAAGATGAAGAAGCGGTATAGCAACAACGTTGCCGCAGGGGCAGCAGCAGGAGCCGTAGGCGCTCGTGTCACCGTCCTCGCGAAGGACGGCAAAAGCGCCGCGGCCGATCCGAAAGACGCTGCGTCGAAGCTGAAAGAAGGGGAGAAACCGCACACCACGGAGCAGCAGCAGCAGTCGGAACAGGAAACACCCGGGAAGGTGACCCTGCGCTCGCCGTCGCCCACAAGAGCGGGCCCAACAGAGCTGACACTGGCGGAGCTGCGGCACCAATTCCGCTGTCAACAGCGCTACCGTGCCGCGCTCGAGACGTCGCTGAAGGAGCTGAAGGCGGAGCAGCGGCAAGTCGAAGCGGCGCAGTTGGCCACCTGGGCAGCCGAGGATGAAAAGGCCCAGAAGCGCGCACGTAGGTCAACGGGAAACACGCCAGCTATGGGGACCGCTGCAGGTGGCGGTGGTGGTGTTGGCGGCAGCTCCGCCGCTTCGTTCCCCGTCGCCGGTGCGGCCGGCGCCGGTGGCGTACACAAGAATATCAGCTCCATCGCTGCTGCCCGCCGCGGCAGTCCCGCCGTCGACGAGACGCTCGCGCTGCGGCGCGGCGAGGAGGCGGCGTTGACGCACCGGATCTACGAGGAGCGGGTTAACCGACTCGACGTGGAGCTTCAGCGGGCCCGCAGCGCGTGCCAGCGCAGCCTCGCCGGTGGCAATCTGATCTCCAGCGCGGTGCGCGTACTACGCGAGGCCCGGCCTGCGCCCCCTCTGAAGTGCAGTCGCGGGCTATCGCTGGCAGCGCGGGACACGGCAGAGGTGTACTACGGTGATGCGGAGCGTGTGTCGGCGCTGAGCGAGTTGTATGCCCTCTCCCGTGCCACGCTGATTGGGTTGTGCGAGGTGACGGGGTCGTCCTCGCCGAAGGCTGACAGCAGCGGTGTGGCAGCGCACACGTCAGCGGCAGCCACTGCACCCCACACGCTGGAGGAGCTGTCGCTGCAGGGCGGGCGGGGCACACCGGATGATGTCGATGCCGCCACCGTGCCCCCCTCCGGCGTCTTCCCTATCCTGTCGGAGGAGGCGCTGCTGCTGGCGCAGGTGGCACAGCGAGCATGCACGACGTACGGCTACATCTCCGACGAGGTGCGCGGGGCTCACCTGCAGGGCATCGGCAGCCCTCGCACGTTGCTGCTGCAGTTCATTGTGGGGTGCTTCACGCCGGTGGTGGACATTGTGCACCAGCCAGGCGCGTCGACCTCTCCGCAGAGCCACGGCCACAATAAAGACTTCGACAGCAGTGGAGTAGCGGCTGGGACGGCAGATGCCGATGGGGCGGCGATGCGGTGCTACGCGGGTGTGCGCCTTCATGGCAGCGTCTATGCGGCTCGTCCCGATGTGCTGTCGCCAAACGCGAGCGGCGAGGACGTTTACACCGCCGTGTTCGGTGCCAAGAGCGACCACACGAGCGTCTTGGCAGGGAGTAAGAAGGTAGACCACACAGCGGTGACGGCGAACGCGTCGCACACAAGCGAGGCTGCGGAAGACGCGATGCAGCGCCTGTGGCCTCTGCTGTGGTCCGGCGCATCGACCGTTGGGTGTGGCTGGCAGCAGGTGCGGGGGTGGCGACACGTGCCGACGTACGCGGAGGCCCGTCAAATGATGGAGGCCGAACAGCACGACAGCTCGCTGATGCAAAAGCACGAGACAGCCGTCACGGTGACGACACCGGCAGCAGGAGTGTTCGATGGCGCATCTCGCAATGCGAACCACTACGTAGAGCACGAAGGCCAAACGGCGGTAATTTGTTCTACGCTCTTGTTGGCCTCTGGTTTCGAGGAGTACGAGGTGGGCCGTGCGTGCAGCGGCATGACCCCTGCTGCCACACGCCGCGTCTTTCTCGAGCCCACCAACGACGCCGATGAAGGAGTCATGAGCAGCGGTGGCAGAGCCAACGATGCGCGCCGTGCCGCGGTCGAAGTCCACAGCGCGTTGGGTGTTACGCTGCTTACCCCTACGATGCACCCCGTCATCGTCCCTCCCTCGCCAGCACCGTCTCGGCCGCGTCGTACGGACGGCAGCGGCGCGGTGGTCTGCGTGGCGGTACGCGTGCCCTACGCGGATGAAGGCGGCAACGAGGAGTCCGCCGTGACAGCGCGATCGTTAGCGTTGATGAGTGGAACGTCCGTGTCAGCGGCTATTCGAGTAGTGGCGCTGATCACCCGGCAGAGCGATCCTACGCCGTCGTGTCCGAGCGTGAACCCCGCCGAGGTGCTCCTCGAGCGCAGCCCGGCCGATCCGTCGGTGTGGCTCGTTCTTGTGAACACTGCTGCCGCCTTTGCTCATCACGGCGACGTCGACGGTGCCCAACCTGTGCCATTGGCTCTGCATCTTTTTGCGAAGGACATGCGGGATGCGACGGGCGCCTACGAGCACGTCGCGTTTATTCGGTTGCAGCAGGGACACGAGGGCAGCGCATCGCCCGCGGCGGCGCGTGACACCTGCCCCTCCGTGTTGATCGCACCGGAGTGGCGATACTTGTTAAAAGGGCTGTCCTGCCTGCCTTGCACGATGACGCCACCACCAACGACGGCCACCCCCGCAGCCCTCCAGAGCACAACATCCATCTCGGCAGCTTCATCCGGCGCGGCCACGCCGGCTGGATGGGCGGTGCTGCACGAGCCGCTGCTGAGCCGCGATGGAGTGTTGCTGCACCCGCTCTCCTCGAACCTCCGCGCGTCGTGCCGCAGCGACGACGTCAGCGCCGTCCGGCCGAGCGACGCACGCGATGGGAACCCCCTCACCGACCGCACCTGTTCGCTCGTCAGCGCCACGGAGAATCGGGACACGCGTACGATCGGGACGGGGGAGGCCGTTCACGTCGCGATTCAGCTTCCCGCCCACGCTAACGCGCTGTGGTGGGGGCGTCGGGTGGCCGCGTTGCGTGCGACGCGCCAGCAGCTGGAGGCGGAGGTGGCGGTGGAAGCCGCCGGGTCGGAGACGGAGGACGCGGCGGCCGGTAGCATGTCTACCACCAACCCAGGGAATGGGGAAGGCAACAACGCCGCAGTGGACGGGCCGGCGGATGCGGCAACGGGCGTCGCGGCCCGTAACGAGCAACCCGCCGCCATCGAGTCGGTCGCTCCTTCCGACGCCGCCGAGAAGGCGGACTCGACTGCCAATGCGGCTTCTGCCCCCTCCCCCACATCACCGCTGTCCCTGTCCACCACAGCAGCCGGAACATCAGCAGCAGCGGCAGCCGCCGCCACAGCAGTCCATTCAAAGAAGGCGAGCAATGGTTGTTCTACCGGGAAGAGAGGGGCCAGCAATAAAAATGCTGCTGGCGGCTACGAGGAAGGCGCTTCGCCGGAGAGGAAGGGTGCGCGAGGAAACTCCAAGGCGCCGACTCGCGTGAGCGCCGCTGCTGCTGGCGGAGGTACACCGTCCGCCCCCCTTCTCAACCCCCCCACAAAGGGTGGCGCCCCGTCTTCCTCCGCTGGACTGATGCCATCCCTCGGCAATCGCCACACCTTAAATCTCTTCCTGACTGTTGAAACACCTGAGAGCCCTGCCTTGTGCGAGTACGAGGCTCTACTGAAATCGCCACCGCCGGCATTGCCTCCACCCACCACGTCGTCGTCGACGACTCCTCTTTCCACGGCCAAGGCGATCGGTGTGCCGGCGTACCTGCAGGCCGCGTGCATCTCGCTCCCCGCCCTGCGCGTGCTCAGCGAGCGACTTCGCGCCGACGCGCAGATTTGGCAGGCGCACCGCAGCCGTGTCCAGCCCTTCCTCGACAACGAACGGGTGCGGATTGCCGGGGAGGCGACACGGAAGAGAGGAAAGGAGCAGCAGCGGCTGCAGCACGACCAGGACGACGTGACGAGCGAACTTGCCTCGATGCAGCGGCGCGCAGAGGTGTTCCAGCAGGCGGTGCAGGGCACCTCCGAAGCGCTGCGAAAGCGGGAGCGGGCACAGGTGCTGCGTCGGGCGCGACTGTCCCGGGTCACGGCAGAGCTGGCGCACTTGGAGGAGTTTCTGGGCACGGCAGAGGACAACGCAGGAGAGAAGGGGGCGATGCTGACGCCTCCACGAGTCGCGCTGCGGCTTTTCAACAAGGCGGCCGTGGCGGCGGGCAGCGGACGTAACGCTGCTGCCGCTGCTGCGGTGGCGGCTCAAGCGGCGACGCAGGACCCGCCAGCCGTGCACGATGTGACGGTTGGGGCAGAGGGGAGAAGTAGCGGTGCGGAGTTCGTGTCTTCGTCCTTTTTTGGTGCTGCTGCGGTGACGACAGCGTCTGAGAATGAAGTGGTGCTGCAGCCGCAGCCAGTGCTTCCGTTGTCCGTCTCCGCAAAGTCGTCCTCCTGCGACAATCTGCCGGCGGTCGTGTACGCAGCGTCCTGCACCGTGCCGCCGTCCTTCTCTGGGCAGGCGACGCTGATGATCGACGATGAGGTGGCTGTGACGTGGTCGCTATAAAGGAGGTGATGTAAAGGTATGCAAAAACAAACACAAATGATCTATATATACATTAACGATGAAGCTTTTTGTTTTTCCTCTTGTATTGTTGTTGTCGATCCCCACTCCGTCGTGCCCCGACCTACTTCACTGTTGCGTTGTCAGCGATGGAGGCACGTCGGGCGGCAGCATCAACATGTATGTCTGCATTGGTTTGTATGGATATGTATTTAGCGTGAATCCGGTCAACAACGCGCACCATTGCGCGCACACCCTTGATAAAGTGCATGTAAAATAGGAAAAACAACAACATCAACATCAAAACACTCCTGTTCTCTTTTATGTTCAATGGTTGTCACGTATGCGTTGGCGGGCTTCGACGTGCGTATCGAGTACCGATGTGTCTACCCCTTCTTTGTTTTTTTCCCGGTTTGTGTTTCGCGTATGTACAAGAGGATGAAAGGAGATCAACGACAGCAGACGACAACGCGCCTCGCAGCGAATACATCGTTGAAGAAAGCGTAACTTGTGCTTCTCAAAAAAAGAAAAGGCAGAAACAAAAAGGAGTACAACGGCAAGACGAGTGTTACCGTGAACTGTTTGATTGAGGCTGTGTTTGTGTGCCACACACTGCATCAGTTGCTCTCCTTCCTTTTTTTTTTCGTTTGCTGCTCCTCTGTGGCTTTGTGTCCATACGTTTTATGCCAATGGGATCTTCCACCTACACAAAGGATTTATTATTTTCTTCATCTCTCATTCCTTCTGCCTCTTCTTTTGATTGAGTTGGATCAACCACACACACACACACGCCAAACAAACAGCATTTATTCTGATCCACGTATTTTATTCCTTGTTCTTCTTACACACTTACGCAGTAGCATTTATACACCTACTCGAGTTCACCATCACGCACACACACACGCACACATACAGCGCTCTGTCCTCGCCGTTTCGTTTGCTCCACTCCAGCACCGCTACTCTCTCTTCTTTTCTCAGAAAGAAATCATTTCATACACATACAAGGTGGCACTTCCGCTGTGTCTTTCCTTTTTTTTTTAGGTTTCTCCTTCTTCTTCAAACGGCCTATACACATTTTGTTTTGTACGTAAACACAAACGATACGTTGAAGATCAACAGCAAAAAAACAGCACACACCCAACAAAACGAAACATCCTTCAAGTTTTATCGACAACAACAGCGGAAGAAGATGGCGGCTGGTGCTCTCCAGATGAAGCTGTCGCAGGACAGTCTCTTCTTCCCGCTGCCCTTCACCAACGCCACCATCGACAACGTTGTCCAGATCCACAACCTACTGCCGGTGGTGCCAGGGAAACCCAAAGCAAACGTGGTGTCGTTTAAGATTCTGAGTGAGGTGCAGCACCGCTACTCCGTCCGTCCTCCAGTCGGCTTCATCGGCGCAGACGATCACATCACCATCGTCTTCTCGTTTAACCCTGAGCAGGTGAAGGCAGCGAAGAATCCGGCGGATCGGGAGCTGCCGACGGAGGCGACGCGTGATGCTATTCACATCGACTTCGCCGTCGTCGACGCAGACTCGATCGACGCGGCGCTGGCGCATTGGGTGCCGGGCAGTAAGGAGTCGAAGCTCGCACGCGATGTGATGACGGATGCGTCGGCCTTCTGGAAAAAGCGAGGTCAGGTCACCAAAAACAACGCGACGATGCTGCGTTTCAAGCTGCGCTGCGTCTTTGCACCGCGCCACACCGTGCCAGACAGTCTCGTGATCAGCATGAAGGAGGGGGAGGGGAAGGGAGTCGACCCGAAGAAGGCGGCGGAGGTGAACGCGGCGGTGCCCAAGACGCGACCGACGCCGACCTCCACGACGGACCCACGCAGCACCGCCCCGCCGGCAGTGCCCCCGCACCGGCACTCCGAGACACCGCGGGAGTCGACGCCGCGCAATGAGCTGAGCCCGACGGCCCGTGCGTTGACTCCGCCGAATGCCACCGCCACCGCTGCTACCTTGGCAGCAACAAAAGCAGCAGCAGCAGCAGCGGCAGCACCGACGGCGCGGTCCGTACCCGTAGCAGCCCCACCGACCTCATCTATGCCGGCGGTGAGGTTACCCTCGTCGCGTAGTGCCGAGGAGACCAAGAAGAAGAAGGGCTTTGTGGGTGCCGTGCTGAATTACAAGCTGTCGTACGCCGTGGTGGCGGTGTTGCTGGTGCTGACCTTCTTCTGCGGCCTGTGGGATCACGGGAATCTGCTCACGTGGATGATCTCCCAGTAACCGGCAGCAGTCGAGTACATGGTAAAGAAGGGAGAGAATGGATTCCTGTCTTCCTTTTTCGTGAACCGGCGACGCAGGGCGTTTACGAAGCGGCGTTCAACCGGTGGTGTCGATCCTGCCAGGCACAGACACACTCACACACACACACACACATACAGAGGCGGCCAGTCAGATACACGTACCAAAAAAGGCGCTGTGGTTCTATCGCAAAAGGGCGAGCCTTTTAGTTGATTCCCTCCCTTCCCCTTCCTCGAAGCAATTTGATGGGGCTTGTGCGCTCCTGTCGGCTGTCGCTTCCTTCTCTCTCTGGCTTGCATCGGGCTCAGTCTTCGTTATCTTTTCATTTTCAAGTTCTTATAAAGTATTTATTTATTTATTTCTTATACATCTTGTTGATGTCGTTGCTGCCGTTGTTTTCTATCTCTCCGTCTTTCTCGTTGCTGGGCGTTGAAAAGTCGGAGAGGAGAAGAAAACAATAAAGAAAAGAGGCCTCTGTGTTACCTGTATCGCCGCGTTCACGCGTGTGCGCAGCGCGTCACGCAGAGACACTTACACACGAAGAAACACGGAACGTCGAAGCGGAAAAACGAACGTGCCCGCTAGCATTTTCGGTCCGTTCTGCGCCGCCCAGACGCCATTGTGAAGGTCGATGCATGTGCTTAATACAACGCATAGGAGAGCATCCTCTAGGAAAGGCTTTCATGAGCTTTTTCGTTTTTTGCAACGTGTGAGAATAAGGTGAAAAGACGGAGATTTTGTGTTTGCTTCTTTCCATGCTCACCTGCTGGCGAGTATCTCCTCTTTCCACCTCCTCCCCCCGCCTTTACATCCTTGACTTGGGGTTTGCCAAAGGTACATATCTTTTCCATCTTGTCCAATTCTTCGTTTCCCGCGTGTGAAGGTGCGTTTGTTCGTGGGTTTTTTTTTCGACTTTTCAGGTTAACGGTGGCCCTCCGCACGGTGAGAGAGGCCTCTTCTTTTCTCTTGTGGACCTGCCTGTCGCACCGCCGTTGTTCCACACTCGTCACACAGAGGCATACACTGCCACCTCTGCACCTTTGGTTTCTTCACCAGCTTTTATTGTTATTACTAATGCCACTTTCACTATAACTGTTTCTCTTTCTCACACGTGTGCTGTTTTCGCTCTCGAGTACATTCGCTTTTTCTTTTTTCAACTTTTTTTTCTCCTCTGCTGTCGACACGCGCGTGCTGTTGTTCAAAAAAAAATATCTCGCCAATACACCGCCGTCCTTTCTGATGCATCTCTTCTTTCTCTTCGGTCTGCCTCCGCAAAAATGGATAAAACAACGGACGTGGACGCATTGACTGACCGTCCTTCTCCCTCTCCCTTCTCTGCGACGGCGGCAGATGTCGCTGCGGCACCTCGCGAAGTAGCCGGTGCGAGAAGCTCTCCCATGAGTTCGCGAACGGCGGTGACCGGCGGCTCACCCGCGGCCGCGTCGACGACGAACGGCGCCCACCATGGGACGGCGGTCCCGCCACCAAACGCGACGGCAACGAGGCAGGAAATCTCTTCTGCGTCTTCTGACTTTTTCAAACTCTTGAATCAGCAGAAGGAGTCACTGATGGCGCTCTTCAACAGCAGCGAAAAGAAAGAAAGCACCCAGACTACCGCTAACGCTCCTTCATCTTCACCGAGCTCGGTGAACGAAGTGCCGACCGGCGGATCACCGTGCTCCGCCACACCTGAGAGTAACAGCGCCGTGCTGAACGATGCTGCAACGCAGATGTCAGCACACACCGCGTCAGTGACACAGGCAAATGTGGATGCCCCTCCTCCCGCCTTCAGCGATGACCACTCCGTCGAAGACTTCTTTTCTTGCTTTGCCATACCAGGTACGTATACAGATGCGGACACCGTCCTCGAGCGTCACGCTGCCCGCCTGGGTGCGACAGAACCTACTCACGACACTCCGTTGAAGACTGCTGCCGATGCCGCGGCTTCCACTACTGAAGCAACGACTTCGCCTGTTCTGCCAAGTCACGTCCATCAGCTGCGACCCACGCAGTTCTTCGTGCCCACTCTGTGTGAAGTGTGCCGAAGGACGATGCTAGACACGAAGGTGTGGCCGCCTCCCTCGTCCTCTGCCAAGGCGGCCCCCTCCTTCTTTTCCAAGCTGCTGCGGTCCCCGACCACCGAACCGCTTCCGGCAACACACGCGTCTACGTTAAGCGCTGAAGCGCAGAAGATGTTTGCCACACCATCATCAACAACAGCGGCGACTACTGCGGCCTCTCCGGTGCAGCAGCCGTTCCTTGGCTTTGGGTCAGAGGGGTACCACTGCGATGTGTGCGATGTGGCGTTGCACCTGCAGTGTTTACGGACGATGCGAGAGACGCAGGCGTGTGAGGTGCTCGCCCCTGCAGCCCACGCCATACCCGAGGCGACGGCGAAGACAGATGCAACGTCGTCAACTACCAACGACAATAGCAGCAGCAGCAGCAGCTCCTTTACGTGGGACAGCGCCAAGGCGCTGCTGGGGGGCTACCTGGACCCGAACGGCGGCGCCTACAGCCGCAAGGACGCAAATGTGAGGTTTGTGCTGAGTGGGGTGTTTGGGCTGCTCGACACGGTGGCCACTCGCTACCCGAACTTAACGCCGCTGACGTTTGTGAAGCGTCGGCAGGCCATTCAAGATCTCAGCGAGGCCCATCAGGTGCTCTACGCGGCCTGCACCTCCTCTTTGCAAGACTCGGAGCTTATGCAGGCCATTTCGTGGGACACGATTCGGGACAAGGAGACGCAACGCACCGCCGGCAGCAAAAACAAAAACCAGAGAAGGCACGGGGATGACGCAGACGATGACGGGGCGGCGGCAGCAGCAGCGGAGCAGCTCCCTTCTGTGTCCATGCTCACACGTGAGATGCGGTCCCTCAAGATGGACACCTCCCTCCTCTCCCAACTCACCTCCAGCCTTACAGGCACCACTATCAGTCCCGCAAACAAAAGCAGCAACAGTACTGCACTCAACCTTAACAGCTTTCTGCCAGGATTTGCGAAGCTTCGAACCGAAGAACCCATCGGACGTGGCGCGGCCTTTCCAGTGCAGCTGCTGCTGTGGCGAGCGTTGCGCTACGCGACCGCTGTCTACGGCGAAGTCTACCGCCGCGGCAGCCTCTCCTCCACCGTCTCCGCTGCCCTTCTTTTCACGGTCAACCGCAGCAGCGTCAACGTGTCGAAGACGGCGAACGACGCGGCGGTGACCGCGCTGCTGGAGCTGCCTGCGTCCTCGCTGAGGCTCTCACGCTGGGCCTCCAAGGCAACCGAGCCGAGCTACGTGCTGCTGGTCGATCACGGATTGGGCCACATCGTTGTTGCCTTTCGCGGTACGCTGAACACGTACGACATCATGACGGATTTGGCAGCGGTCGGTGTGCCGTTCTGTGGGGGGTATGCCCACCAGGGGGCAGCGCACGTGGTGAACGCCCTCTTCGATCACCGCGCCTCGCAGCGCGCCACGGGGCAGCCGTTGACTCCCGCCACAGCTGCAGCGGCGACGACGACGAGTGCCACCACCACCACCACCACTAATACGACGTCCCCGCCGTCATCTTCTTGCGTTACAGCGACAGAAGGGGTGGAGGTCAAAAATGAGAAGGACAGCACGGGGAAGGTCAGGGTCGTCCTCAAGCCGTACGCACTGCGGGCGCTCGAGACCCCTGACGGTCTTCTGGACGGCCTTGAGCAGCTCGCGGAGGAGTACCCGACCTACTCGATTCTCGTCACGGGGCACTCGTTGGGCGGAGGTGTGGCGGTGCTCTTCGCGACCCGACTGCACCATGATCGTGCCTTGCGCGAGTCGTTGCTGCGCCGCATTCATGTCATCGCGTTCGCACCGATGCCCACGCTGTCGCTGCCGGCCGCGTCGTGCTTCGATGGTGTGAGCTGCGAGTTGGCCGACGGGGGTGTCAGCCGCACGCCTCCTCCGTCGAATCCGCGACAGCAACAACAAGCGGATAGGGTGTGCGTCGGCGACAGTTCGCCGCAGCTGACGCACGCCACCGCCGGCACATCGTCCACATTCTTTCAACCTTCTTTATCTTCCTCTTCTTTTACGCCAGCTGAGTCACGCGACGGCGTTCGTCAGGCGTGTTTCCCCGTGTGGAGTGTCGTGAACGGCTTTGATTGCGTGCCACGGCTCCAGGTGAACACGATTGATCGCTTGCTGCGCCAGATCATCGGACCACAGGTTGCGGCGAGAGCCACTACCTCCTCCACGGCTGGTCAGCCACAGCAGCAGCAACAACAGAAGACGCAGCCGCCACAGAAGTCTTCGTCTCGTGCCACCGCGGCGATGATGCGCCAACGGTGCCGCGGCGAGGGCCGAGACGGTGCGTGGACAGAGGAGAACACCGACGCCGCTGCGGTGGAAATGCAGGAGATACCCACGAGGTGCGCAACGCAAGACACGAATGAAAGAGCCGTACCGGCCGAGGTGCGCGCAGCCACCGCAGCGATGGCCACCTCCTTCGATGACGAAACTAAGTCGAAGGCGGCGGTTGAACTTCATGGACTTTCGCTGTTGGCTTCTTCGTTTTCGACCACTACGGGTGCTCAAGCGACGAGGGAAGGTGTCGCGTTAGGCGGTGCAACGACGGCGGCGACGGCGGCAGACAGCGCCAGCGCAGCAGCCATACTACCCGGTTGTGGAACGAGAGCTGCGAATGCAGCGCCACCGGCGGCTGCAGCAACGACATCGGCTTCAAGCAGCACGGAATGCGCACGCACACAGCAAAAGTATCACGACGAACCGGCCTGGGTTAGCGATGCGCGTGCGGGGTTCGCCCCTTCAGCGGTACAGCAAAAAGATGTGGTGGTGAAGGACCACCGCGCATCTGTGAGAGCGGAGGAGGGGACGTCGGCGTGTGCTGACTCCGATCCAGTGCCTACTGCTGCCGCAGAAGGTGGCACAGACGCACCGGCGGCCAATTCCGCTGATGCATGCGGCGAGCACGATCTGTCACACGAGCTGCATCATCCAGGCCGTGTCCTGCTGCTGACTTCACCGTGGGAGACAACGCAGAATCGCCTGGTCGACGTGCCGCGAGGTCATCCGGTCATGCACGAGTTCTTTCTGATGAAGTACATGCTGCTGCAGCACACCGTGGATGCGTACTGCGGGTCACTGGCGGAGATGCACCGCCAACAAAAAAAGTTGAAGCGTTGAGGAGGCACTGCGAGAGATTCAGCAAGTAAAAACGACGGTGCTCCGTGAGCTGTCAGGCGACAACGAAAGATGAGCGAACCCAATCAAGTCGCTACTGTGGCCGTTGACAGACATTGCGGGGGCAAGGGAGGTCAGATGAACGATGACGGCAACGCAGCGCCAAGTTTCTTTTAACCCCTTTTTTTTCCTATTGGTTGCTATACCCGCCGAGCATACATCGGCAGGTGAACCTCTGCGGTTCGCTTTATTTTGTTACTGGGTTATCCGCAAAGTGGGGAGCGTCCTGCAGGCCCTTTTTTCCCTTTTACCTTCAACAGTGTTCACGGAGTATTTTATGTGTTTGAGGTGGAAGAGAAGGAGAGGAAGAGAGAGGGAGGGAGAGGTGCGTGGACGAAACGTATGTATATGTGGAGATCATAAGCGCACATTCGACGGCCGCAATGGGAGCGAGGCGGTGCGAATGGGAAGCCCCCCACCCACGCGTTGAACGCGGTGTCTTTCCGCATCATCGAGAGGAGGCGACTTCTGCGTTTGTTTCGCCGATGCGAACGCTGAAGCAGCGCGTTGTTCGTGTTTGTGTGTTTGTCTACTGCCAGTAGAGGTGGAGAGTGTGCCCCGTCGTGCAGGGTCGAGAAGGACGCGCGGAGTACGGCGTGCGCAGGGGCTGTGTGCGTTACGTGCGTGTGTCGTGCGGCCCTCACCGCAAAGGCTGACGCATCTTCGCTCGGGGGGATTTTTTTTTCCGCGACGCAGACGGTGCTCTTTGTTTTCATTTCCTTCACAAGCTCTTCTTCTGTTGCTATTACCCGAATGCAGTTCACGAAGAACAATACAAAAAGAAACGTGCCAACTCTACGCTGACACAGGGGGAGGGAGAGAGGGAGAGAAAGACAGAAAAGCAGCAGCAACAGACAAACCTGAGGATGGGGTGGCGCTGATCCACGTTCCCTTCCGGCGCGGTGTAATGGTTGTGCCGACGTAAACAAACAAGCAGCAGCAGCAGCAGCAAAGGCAGTAGCAGCAGCATCCATTCGCAGCAGTTCTTCTCGCTGGCCACGTCTCACACACACAGAGGTGCTGTGTGTAAGGAGGGAGTGAGAGCCGGTCGACGACGGCGTGCGCGTATGCCCAGATGAGGGCGTGGAAAGGTGCCACAGCGGCTCGCGGCGCCACCGAAAGCGGAACATGGTTGCCTTCGCCAGCGCACGTGCCTGGCAGGCAAGGAAGTCCGACTCCCGCTTCTTACACGGATGCATGTTCGATCAGGCGGAGTTCCGCGATGTCAGTCATGTCAGCTCGTTTCGTCCACGCAGCATCACTTTCGCACCTCCATCCGTATCCATTTTCGCTGTACAACTTCTTCGTTTTGTTTTTCCATTTATTTACCCCCCTCCGCCTCTTTTTGCTGTTTATTCCGTACTCGAAATTCATTTTCTTCTTTTTTCCTGTTCTCATACGCTTCTTCTTTTCGTTCTTCGTCCTTATCGAAGAGAAGAATATACGCAGCTGTCTGCGACTTTAGTCTTCGCGTTTCATTTGGATTTCTTCTTTCTATTTTATTCTGTTCTCTTACGCATTGTCTCTCCGACAAGCTGTGCTGCTAGGCGTCCTCACCAGACAGGAGCTGTTTGTGGGTTCTCTTCGGTTTCGGCCTCCTTCCTCACACAGCACGCATTTCGGCTACTCGGAACCATCTCCTCTTTTTCGTGGTTTGGGGGTTTGTAGCGCTGCTCTGTTACTTCTGTGTCGATCTACTGATTTCTTTTTTCATTGGATATCGAGCAGAGAGAGAAAAAGATAGCAAGCACCTCAACAGAAAATGAGTTCGTGCACCGTGTACGTGACCGGCCTGCCGAGCTCGGCGACGCAGGACGACGTGATTGACTTCTTCACCCGCATTGGCAACGTCGCGGAGGTGCACATGCGTGCCGCAGACTCCGACGCGCCGGTTGCCGTCGTATTCGACAAGCCCGAAGACGCCGCGAGCGCCGTGTCCATCACCGGCAGCGACTTCCAGGAGGACATCCCGATCCACATCGCAGCGCACGCGACGCCGGCGCCGACCGGGGAAGCTTCAGCTCCCGTCGCGGCTCAGGAGGCGCAGCACGACGCGGCAGTCGCCACCACGACCACCGCCACCGCTGCCGCCGCTGCGGACGAAGCCGGTGGTGCCACCGGAAACACGAGCCGGCGCCCCCTCCGCGAAAGCCGCAACGACCTCACCAACAAAGTCGTCGTCTCCCATCTCGCCCCCTTCACCAAGAAGGAGGAGGTCCGCAGCGTTTTTGCTGCCTGCGGTGAGATCAACGACTTCGCGCTGCTCCCCGGGCGGCACATGGCGTTTGTCGGCTTCACGACGGCCGAGGCGTTTGAGAAGGCGCTGCGGCTGGACGAGACGGAGATCGCGGGGTCGCGGGTGGTGGTGGAGCGGCGCCACGGCAATAACATCGCCGCGGACCGCAGCCGCGCCGGCGCCGAGCACGCCCCCACCGCCAGTGGCCCAACGACGATTCCGAATCGCATCGTCGTGCGCAACGTGCCGCAGGACGTGACGAAGGCGGGTCTGCGGGCCTTCTTCGAGCCGGACTGCGGAGTCGCGACGGACATTTATGTGAAACCGGAGGTCGGCATCGCGTTTATGGCCTTTGCCACGGCCGGAGGCACCGACAAGGCCATTGGCAAGTCCGGGCAGGAGTACGAAGGCAACGTGATCCAGGTGGAGCGGCGCCAGGTGCTCGTGTGCCGCCGCTGCGGGCGGGAGGGCCACAAGGGGGCCGAGTGCCGCCAGCCCTACTGCACGGAGTGCCGCACAGTGGGACACTCCTCGCGCGAGTGCCCGCGTCGGCGTGGCGGTGACCGCGGCGGTGGTGATCGCCGTCGCCACCGTTCGCTGTCGTCCGAACGCGACCGCCGCCGCCGTCGCCGCTCCGACTCCTCCGAGCGCGACCGCCGGCGTCGGCGTCACTCCCGCAGCCGCAGCCGCAGCCGCAGCCCGCCGCGCCGTCGCCGCAGCCGCAGCCCGCCGCGTGGTCGCCGGTAAGGAAGATAGAAGAGGTAGTTTGTGGTTGTCGCGAAAAGCTTCTTTCTTCTCTTGTTTTCTTCCTGGGTCTGATCTGAGGGAGACACGCCCGTGTGCATGCGTCAACGAAAGTTCAAATACTATAAAAAAAGAGCAGGGAAGAATCTCTGGGAGTGCGGTGTCCAGAGGGCAGGGAGAGACGTCGTGCATCATGCGACTGGCATCTGCGTTGACTCCTGTGAGGACTGTGAGCCTCGAATTTTTCTGTTCTCTTTGTAGGCTTGGTTTTAAATAGCAACTTAAAGAAAAATACTAATAACAGATATTCCTGTTCGTTGTGGCGTGTGCATCGTTTCCCAAAGCTAAATTCATAGCTTTCTCTTCATATATATTTTTTCTGTTTAACTGTGGAGTGAAATTACGAGTGCAAACCCGCGATGTGGCTGGAGAAGAAAACGGAAAAAAAATTCCCGTGGAGTAGGACGGACAGGAACGTATTTAATTATTCGAACTGCAGCAACTGTCGCCCCGGCATCTGTGCGTGTGTGTGTGTGTGTGTGCACGATGAAGTGTGTGGTGATCACTCGCGACACGTACCCACCTTGACGAAAAGCGCACCTTCTCCTCCGAGGAGGTGCAACACCAAAAGCAGCTTACCGAGGCACAGGAACTGTTCTTCACATGCCCTTCAAATATCACTTGATGCGCAATGAATCAGCAACATATGTTTTTCTTCTTGTCGCAGAACACACTCCGCTGCTTCATCTTTCGTTTCAATACTCGTGATGCGCAATGATGCTCCGTGATGCTGTGTTTATTTATTTTGATTACCATTCCTTAATCGACAGATGTGATTTAAACACTGCAGTTCTGCTTTCATCTCCTCCTCTCCACCCTCCTCGACATTTCGGTTGTATGTATATTCATACATGAGAAACGGAACACCTTCACCAACTTAGGTTCCTGAACACGTCTGTATAGGTTTTTTTTTGTTCTTCTCATCATTAGTAAATTCGTGTAGAAACTTAGGTACATTCCCCCCCTCTCCACCCCTTTTTTTTCTTTTTCCAGCTTTCATAGCTCTTCGCCGAAAAGGTGAAGCCACACACACACACACACTTACACCAACACCAATCATGAACGTGAATGAAGGAAACACCGGCCGCAGGGTCCTCATAGCGGATTTACCCATGATGTGGCCAAGCGACTTCCGCCGCTTTGAAAAGGAAGGCGGCGTGTGGGGGCGGCAGTTGCGGCAGCGTCGCCGCCAGCTGACCTTCGCGCTGTCCTTCTCGGCGATGTCAACGCTGCTAGGCTCGTGGTATGTCCTGGTGCGGCGCAGGAACACCTACTTCGTGCTCTTCTCCACCTTTTCGGGCTTCTCCGTGCTGGGCTTCTGCATTGGCATGTCACTGGCCCCGTTGTGGTACGAGAATGTGGCGAACAACAAGGAGACGTCGATGATGCGTCGGGTGTGGTGGGCGAAGGAGTGTGCGCAGAATTGGGACTACTCGCAGGTGAACGAGGAGCGCTGGCGCGCGGCGTACCCGAAGGCGGTGTACCCATACAAGAAGGTTGAGTAACACACCCACCAAAAACACACATCTCTCCTTTTTCTGTTCCTGTTGCCGTTTCCATTTTGCGTCGCTCCATTTTTATTATTATTCATGTGTCAATGGAGTATCGTAGGTTCTTAAATCTCGCCTTTGGCGGTGGTGAGGTGCTCGCGTGTGCCGCTTCTTCTGTTGAGAGAGGAAATGATATTTGTTAGTAGGTATAACTTATTACGACTTACGGGGGATGGCAGACCGAGTGGCACGAAATTCACACAAGGCACGGGGGGGGGGGTATTTCGAGAAGAAGAACGTGATAGGCAGGTAGGAGCAACAGCTTTTTTTTTGTGTAGCATGTATCCGCAAGTGTGTTGTCTCTCGACGTTGCTGCGTTTTGCCGGAGAAGCGCCGTTTCCGATGTTCGTCGGCTTCCTCCTTCTTTTTTCCATTTACTCACGACAGCTCGTTTGTTGTGTCTCATTCGAGGTTTCCCTGTGGAGTGCATTTTTCCTTCGTTTCGCGGCACTTCTGTGTGTCTGTTCCCCAACGACTTATCAGTGCTTTATTTTTTTTCTCCTTCCCGTTCTATCTTACTGTTTTTAGTTGTTCACACACATACACGCACGCATGCGCACGCGCAATGAGTTTTTTTTTCCGTCTTCTGTGGTTTTCGATACTTTTACCAACTTAGGTGTCTTCATAATGAAGAAGAAAATATGGCTGCCTCCATGCTTAACGAAGTGTTAGAGTCGATCGTGCGCAATCGAGCACGACGTGCGTGAGTATTTCTTCCCTTTCAGCTGTCTTCTCTTGCTGAGGAGCCGTGGCTGGAGCAGGCTGCCATGGCGGACAGGCGCTCTGTCTCTCTCCAAAGAACGCCAAAAAAGTGGTGTTGCTGCGGCTCACGTCAAGCGGCGTTCTTCTTCTGCAGCGACGACAACAATAGCACGCGTTGTATTATGATGGAATCCAACACACGTACGTACAGACATGCGGCCGTTGGTGTCCTGCAAAGTTGTGATGCAGCTCAAAAGTACCCACTTCTCTCTCTTGCTTTCTCGCTTCTCTTCATCTCTTACCATCCGTTACTTACGACTCAAAGGGCACGAACTGCAAAGCTCACAGAGAAAACGGCAGCTCAGTCACGGAGGTGTTGTCCGTCTTCAAACAAAAAGCCAACAACAACGACAACGAGATTTGCCATGACCCTTCCAGCAGCGTCAGCCCCGCTGTCGTGTCTGGACGTGGACTTGATTTTGAAGGAAGAAGAGTTGCAGGAGGATCTGCTGCGTGTCTACTACACTATTGTCACACGCCAAGAGGACTACAATGCGCATCTCAAGTTCTCTGAATCCATTCTGCACACGGTGGAGCAACTGGCAGAGCGAGTGGAGGCGGTGGTGGTGGGGCAGCAAGCGCAGCAGCCTTCAGCGTTAGCGCCGTCGTACCCCTCTTCACACGACGCACCGAAGCAGCCGCGCACGTATTAGCTTCGTACGTGGGCCTTTTTTTCTGCATCGCTCCACAATGGCGCGTAGCACTGCTAAGTCTTGCCGGATGCCACCGGGGAAGTCGAAGGCCCGAGAAGCTCCTCACATATTCACAATTTTTTTCCCCTCTTTTCTTTTCGCTTCATTTTCTGCTGTCTACTTCTGCTGCTTCTGACATTCGCTGATGGTTTTCCTTAGAGAAAAACAACAACAATCTAGAGTACATTTTTTTCTTTAAACATTCTTTTGGTGTTGTCGCTTCCAGCTCCAACAGTGCCCGTTCACGACGTTTTTAGTACGTCTTCAAGAGAAGGTGCAGCTTCTTTGAAAAAAAAAACAGGAGAGCGACTCTTTTGTGTCTTCCTCGAAGGCGGTCTCTCTCTCTCCCTTCTCCGTTGTTGTGGTGCGCTTCGTAACTTCGTCGTCCGCGTCTCCGTTTGCGCCACCGTTGCGACGCACTTCATTGCTGACCACTGCAGTTGTGATCGTCGGACTCCCTGCTCACATCGCCGTGGTGATGCATCTTTTGTTTTTGTGGAGAAGAAAACTGCATACCTTGCCTCCTCCCTCGCCTTCTTCTAATGCCAGCTCCAAATTAGGAAAAACACGGCGTTCAACCGCGCAGAAAATGAGCCTCCCCTAAAAAAAAAGCTTTGCGAAGATAGAAGTAGAAACGAAGCAGGTTTAACTACGGTCCGCGTGATCTCCACAAACAACACAAATCTCCTCACAAAAATTCTATACAAGCTTTGCCACACGTCACGCCTGGCTGCACCGTGAGAGAAGAGAAGGCGATCACTGCACTCGAAGGGAAACATCATCGAGGTGCTTTCTTTTGCCTCTTCTAGACTCGTGAAACATAAACTTTCACTGTACAATTTTTTGTTTTAAATTGGCGGCGGGTTTAACGAAGGCGCTCCCTTTTTTTTTTTGCATCTGCGTAGATTGCGCGCACGTCACCGTAGCACGACAAGGCGAAGACACACACTCAACCACCCACACACCCGCACGTGCGCAATAAGCTTTTCTTTTTGTTTTTCTCCATCTCCACTTTCCTATATATACATCTTGTAATCTCACGAGGCATTCACCGCGTGTGAGGCGCCACTGTACCGACGTCGTCGCTTCCCCCACCACCTCCACCGCACGACTACGGTGTCGAGCTGGACGTCGCCGACCCGCCGGGCGCCCACGTAGATCCATCGTCGTCGCTGAACACCGCTGCGCTCTGCTCACGTGTGCGTGTGCGCAGGCCACCACCACTCCATCGTCGTCTGCCCTTTCCTCCGCCGGGCTCGACTGCGCCTTTATCGCCGTCGCAGCAGCCACCACAGCGAGACGCCGCAGACGGTGCAACGAGCGGCAGAGTCTCTTCGACGGTGGCCGCCGCCGACGAAAGCGCTGTGCGTGAGAGCTGCATGCCACCGGATCAGTCGGACCCCCGCGGCGCCGCTGCTTCTTCGTCCCCCGGCGCTGCGGCGTCGATTTTGGTGGGCAACACCCGTCGGAATACTGCGTCTCCCATGCAGCCTCCCGGCGGAGCTGCCAATAGCGACGTGACGGACACCCCCGAAAAGAACACACCTGCTAGCAATCACGGTGGTGGATCAGCTGCCGTTGTTCTCGCGCCTCGTACAGGCGCCGCGCGCTCCTCGTCGCCGCACCTGCAGACTCACAGTCCGCCGGCCTTAGCCCGCCAAAGCGGCGGGGATCACTCCCCGGCCCATCTGTCGAACTCCACCTCGCCGTTCTACATGGCGGACATCACGACTGCTGCTGCTGCGGGTGCGGGCGCGAGGAGCCGTAACGGTGAAGATAATAGCAGTACTAACAAGAAGAATGGCGAGGATGGAACGACGGGCACTTCTGCCGCTCGCCTGCTCACGCCATTGCGTACAACTGTGAAAAACACAGCCGTCCCGCGCACGTCCCCACGCGAGGACTCGCTTTATCCGACCATCCCGGATGCCGGAGATGCAGAGCTGATCGCGTTTGAGGAGCAGGAGCCGCGTGGGTCGGCGTGGGGGATTCCCTCTGTCGTGGTGCTGCGCCACCGGATGGGCTTTAGCACGGTCGAGCTCACGGCTCATCAGCGCGAGACGTACAGCCGCTACGACCTCGAGAACTTCGTGCTTTACAAGGAGCAGAAGTACAACGCCGTGAATGTACTGTGGCGCTTTTGTTTGTTGTTGATGTTTATCCTGACTTTCAGCGTCTTCTGCCTTGTCTTCAGCACCTGCACCACGGAGTGGGTGGCACTGCAACACACGGACAGCTACCTTTCGCTGGGTCTGTTCGTCGCCTGCCACAACCGAAGCTGGAGCGAGTGCGCGCCGCGGGTCAGCTCCCGGTTGGAGTGGACGGTCACGGATGTCGTAACCGGCGCCACCCTCTGCACAGCCTCCGCCAACTTCGTGCACCGCTTCATTGGCGCTATATGGTCCATGGCGATTCTCCAGCTCCTGTGTGAGTTGATTGCTTTGGCGCTCACGGCGTGGATTGCCGCACGACCGACCCGCAGCGGTGCTCTCGTGATGCTGTTCTTCGATCTCCTCCTCGGCACCCTCAGCGGCGTTGTCGCGGTGGTGCTCTTCCATCACTACAGCTCCTGCCTGCGCCAGACCTGCGAGGGGGAGCACCTGTCGGGCCGCCTCTGCAACGTGAGCTGGCGGTACGGGTATAAGCTGTACCTCGGGGCGTTGGCCGTGCACGGCCTTCTGCTGCTGCTCGCACTTTGTATGCACAGCTACATCCACAACATCCGCGTCACGGCGCGGAAGCAGCTGCGGGCGGAGCGGCACCGCGCGTCGCGCCGGCACGCGGATGCGGTGGAGTACATGGTACACGTAATGAACAGCACGACTGGCGGGACGGACGATCACCATCATCGCCATCGCCACGAGGAAGAAGAGGGGGAGGACGGCAGCGGTGGCGTCGGCGGCTACGGCCGCGACAACGAGGCGGCCCTCGGCGAGGCTTCACCGAATGAAAGGCGGCGACTCGCAACGACGCAGCGCGGGACGAGAAGCGGGGAGGGGGGGTCGCCTCCGCCGCCGCGTGATGCACCGGAACAGCCGGGGCACAGCACCCTGCACATCTCCTTTGCGGATGTGCCGGACAGAGAACGGCGGCGAAGTCCTTCCGCACGTGAACAACGGAACGCGAGAGGTGGCGGTGATACCCAGCAGGGTCAACAGTCGTGGCGCGGTGAGCAAGGCACCCACAACCACCTCTCCAGCAGCGGCCGAGGCGACGGCGGAGCGGCGAGAAGTGTAAGTGATCTCACCGAGAGGACGGCGGCCGACTCGGGGCTCGGCTCGGAGGTCTCCCCGCCCACCGCCTTCGCCACCCAGCGACGCCGCGGGGATCGGCGCCGGCAGCGGCAGCGCACCGCCTCCCCGCTGTTCCCCACTGGCTCTCCCCATCAGCCGCAACACCACCACGTCACGCCGGGCGCGTCGAACCAAAGCAAGCGGAAGATGAAGAAGAAGCTGTCGAGCGAGACCGCCGCGTACACGCAGGCCCGCAAGCGCAACCGCTTTTTCATGCGCTTCTTCCAGCGCGCGTACGATGCGAATTACCTCACCGCGGCGGAGCTGGGTGTGCCGATCGCCGGTGCCACGGACTGGGTCTACGACGACCGCAGCGACATGTACTACTCCTTCGAGCGCAACATGTTCTGGGACCCGCTGACGCACGAGTACTACAATTGTGCGCTGAAGACGTGGCAGGAGTCACCAGACCAGGTCGTGGAGGTGCGAGATGTGTTGGACTTCATGCTGGAGGAGTCGGAGGAGGGGAGCGGGGGCGAGGATGGCCAGGCAGAGCAGGCGGAGCAGCGCAGTGCGATGGACGTGGATGTGTACGTGGATGCAAGCGAAGAAGACGAACCTACTCGGCGACGACGGTCGGTGCAGCACCACGGCGAACCCATCACGGCCGCCACGGCCACGGCGACGGGCGGGGCTGAAAGCAGCGCTATTGGCGGTACGGGTCCGAGTGCGAGCTCGCGCAATCTGAACCGGAGCGCGTGGACGGCGGAAGGCGAGGAAGGCGATGAGCGCGTGTTCCGCGCGGGTGCCGGAGAAGACGCATCGGATCTTCCCTCCACGCCCAGCTCTTTGCGAGGGTAGTGGAGGCGGTGATGGGCGTTGGTCGGGACGCGAAGGAAAATACATGCTGTTTTCCAATGCAAGCGGGGAAGGGGGAAAAGCGCGGAAGCAACTGCTTTTTGCCGCATCGACAGCACGTGTCCGGACTTAACGTCCCCGTTGCTCGTCCTCATTCGCAACCATTCTTTTTTCTGTTTTATGTTCGAGGAAAACAGGACTGAGCTCCGCAGGTTTATTTTGTATCTACCTTTGTGTTCTCGTTCTTAGCTTCGGTTTTTTAATGTTAACAATGCGGCTTCCTTTTGGTTCTTTATCTTGAAGGCAATCTGCTCCGACTCTGTACATTTTTTCTTCGATTTCACTACATATATATGTCTAGGGCGTCACACCCCACCTACACACGCACTTATATTGACAATGCATCCATGATTGCAAATCAACGGAAAAGCATCAACAACGATAACCGTTATCGTTGCACAGAGTGTAAAAAGCGCATGCAGGGTTTTCTATGTATTCTGCTCCTCTCATGGAGGCATTTTTGGTTTCCCCTTTTCCTTCATTTTTCATCCTCCGCCGTTAGCGTAGAAGACCACAACGTCGCGGGTTTGTCGTTGTGATGTGTTGCCACTGCGGCGCTTACCTTTTTTTTTTCTCGTCTCTTTGCTTGCTTGTGTTTTGCATGGTGGCTTTCTCCGCTCCTCTTTGCTCTGTCTCTTCTCTCCTTTTTTGAGATGTCCCTCGGTGTTCATTTTTATCATCGTTGACCTTTCCATTTACCTGTTCTGAGGCGCAACGAGTAAAAGGAAAGAATACATATAAGTAAACACAGACGGATACATCCGTGCGGCATGGGACAGCAGCGGAAGAAGGAAGCCGCCGCGGCACTTGTGCGGGACGTCCCGGACCCAGCCCCCTTCTTTTCCCTCGGCGCCGCGCAGTTCCGCGACGCGATTGTTGTGACAAAAGTCGTCTCCGTCGTGCTGCCGCTGCGCCACATGCGTGATCGGACGATTCTGCACGAGATGGTGCTCAAGAAACTGCTGCACCGCTCCTTTGAACCGTCTGCGGAGGACCTGGCGCAGCAGCCTTCACAGCACGACGAGACGGGGACGAGTAAATTAGGGCTGTCGTCGTCTCCTGCCACCGACGTGTATGTGATCGTCCACATCAAATCGGTGGAGGTGCACGCGGACACGGCGCGGCAGGGAAACCCGCAGGGAGACGTGCAGGTAAATGTGATGACCACGCTCGTCGCCGCCCACGTGCAGCACGGTCTGGTGGCTGGCGTAGCGGAGCGATCTCCGTTTGCGACGTGTATGCTGGTGCGACTCCCGAATGTGGCCGTGTCCGCCGCGGTGGCATCGAATGAGAGCGCCAGCGCCGCCGATGCCCTCAACCTGGCCAGTGTGACGCTCGAGGGCGGAAATCAACGTGCGAAGGACGACGAGGAAGGAAAGGAGACGTCATCGCCGCAGCCGCTGCTGCTGCCGTCCAACGAGTCCGGCGAGGTGCCGGTTGATCGACAGCTGCGGGTGACGGCACGGTGTCTCGAGGAGGAGCCCGTCGTACCGGGGCAGGCCGTCCTGCTCGTGTCGGAGCCGGCGGCGATGCGGTGTTTGGCAGTTCGACCCCCACGTGACGCACCCGGTCCTTTTTTCTTTTCGGAGGACACCACAGTGGGTCCTATCGGGGCGGCTGTGGCGGCCGCGGCAGGAAAGAGGCGGCGGCCGTCTCGCAGGACAACGCAAGAGGGACAGGACGGGGCGGAGGTGGCGCAGCCGGCGAGTGCGACGGGGCGGCGTGTCGTGGTGATCGCGTGCAACATTCCAAAGACCGCCGATGGGGCTGATGGCGGTCACAAACGCCCGCGCTGGTGAAGGAAAAATGGAAAAAGAACGAAATCGCTGGCTGTTGAAGTACTGTGGTTGAGACGAAGTTAATGACTGAGGTTTCTCGCTTAATGCATCGTGTTTAAAACTCTAATTGGGTGTCTCCGTAGCGAAGTAGAGCTTCAATAAAGCCTTGTAGCCCATTATGAAACGCGGATGATTGCCCCGGCTCGCACTTTGCTTCATCCACTTAGTTAGCAAGGGGGAAGAGAGTTTTCTCTCCTGCATATACATATATACTGTGCCTCGTACAGAGCTCCATCTCGACAAGGACACTCGCCAATACACGAGTACGTCGCGCCACCGTGCAAGTCCGCCTTTTCGAGGTGGCGTTGCTGTTTTCTTTTTTTTCTGCTGATGAAATAGAGGACGAAGCAGTGTGAAGCGGTACGTCAATCAGTTCTCCGTTCTCGTCCTTTCTAACGCATGCACACACACACACACACAAATAAACCTGCCCCTTTTATCTCTTTGGATACCACGACGGATAACTCATCGCTGCACAGAGCTTATAAAGTCCTCTTCTTCTTGCCATTCTGCAAAACGCCGGTTTAATTTCTTATTGCCACACTAACGCTGCTGTTTCCCTTCTGAATCTGCGTAGCTATAGACCTATTCGATCATACAGAGAACCATCGTACTATTCACGGAGCACCATGTCGGAGTCTGACGGCAAGAACAAGAGCCATGTTGCGGCGAAGCGTCAACGCTCGGAGGAGCAGGCGTCATCGCAGGAGCTGGCGCGCGTGTCGGCTGCAGATGCGGCGGCGGACCAGTTGCGGTCGGAGGAGCTGCTGATGAAGCCGCTGACGTCCGGGGCGTCGGTGCTGCCCGCGGACACGGCCGTGGAGGGGCCGGACGCGATGGACGAACCGCTGCAGCGCGAGAACCCGTTCCGCTTCGTGCTGTTCCCGATCGTGTACCACGACATCTGGCGCAAGTACAAGGAGCAGGAGAGCTGCATCTGGACGCTGGAGGAGATCGACCTGGGCAACGACATGCAAGACTGGGTGAAGCTGAACGACGGGGAGCGGCACTTCATCAAGCACGTGCTGGCGTTCTTTGCGGGGAGCGACGGGATCGTGATCGAGAACCTGGCGCAGCGCTTCATGACCGACGTGAAGGTGCCAGAGGCTCGCGCGTTCTACGGGTTCCAGCTGATGATGGAGAACATCCACTCGGAGACGTACTCGGTGCTGCTGGACACGTACATCACGGACACCGAGGAGAAGCTGCGGCTGCTGCACGCGATCCAGACGATCCCGTGCATTCAGAAGAAGGCGGAGTGGGCTGTGCGGTGGATCGGGAGCCGCGCGAGCTTCCAGGAGCGGCTGATCGGGTTCGCTGCGGTGGAGGGCATCTTCTTCTCGGGGTCGTTCTGCGCGCTGTTCTGGCTGAAGAAGCGCGGCCTGATGCCGGGGCTGACGTTCAGCAACGAACTGATCTCGCGCGACGAGGGCCTGCACACGGACTTCGCGTGCCTGCTGTACAACTCGCACATCAAGCACAAGCTGCCGCGCGAGCGCGTGCTGGAGATCATCGTGGACGCGGTGAACATCGAGCGTGAGTTCATCTGCGACGCGCTGCCCGTGCGGCTGATCGGCATGAACGCGGACCTGATGGCGCAGTACATCGAGTTCGTGGCGGACCGGCTGCTGGTGTCGCTGGGGATGGAGAAGCACTACAACGTGTCGCAGCCCTTCGACTTCATGGAGATGATCTCGCTGCAGGGCAAGACGAACTTCTTCGAGAAGAAGGTTGGTGAGTACCAGAAGGCCGGCGTGATGAGCACGGAGGGCACGACGAAGAAGTTCTCGCTTGCGGAAGACTTCTAAGCGCTTAAAGCGTTGGTGCTAAAAAGAAAAAGGAGGTCGACGGTAGACAGCATCACGGCACGGATTCGCTTAGGGACATTTGTTGAACGTTTTCTTCTTTCCTGTTCTTCAACATCTCCCGTTACATCATGTGGAGCACAACAATTATTGTCTTTAAAGAACGACGCCGGAAGAGTGCTGATGACGTTATAAGCCATAGAAGACGAAGGAGGACACCAAAGAAGAGAATAGTCCGCCGGAATTGCATACACGAAGAAACAAAGCCGGGGAAAGAATTTAGGTTCTTTGTGTTGCCAGAGTCGTTTTCAGAACTCCACAGCGCAAAATGAAATGGGAAATTAAAAAAAACACGTGCGAAATTTTTTTTTGCTGTTGTCGTCGCAGTCCGCTTAGAAATCCACGCGAGGTTAACGTGGTGTGCGTACCTGACAGAGATGCACCACGAAAATGGAGAGGACCGCGTTTTGTTTAAGCGCTAATCTCCTTTTACAACGTGCCGCGTTTTTTTTCCCTTTTCTCTTTTCCAGGAGCGAGAAATGCGTGATGGCGGCAGTTCTGGTCTCGTTTTGTTTTCCCTTTCTGCAGATGCGCGCATGATAAATAATTAAATAAATATATATATATACATTTTCTCTTTGAATACACAACTGCGAAAGAGGAGTCCTTTTTTTTTCTTGCAGCGTGAAGGAAGCGTGCGTGTTGGCACGCCATGAACCAACTAGTTTGTCGGGTATTGTTCGTCGTCGCCTTCGCCGACGTTGCATCGGACCCCTTCACTCTTTGGACACGCGTTACGACGTATTTTGCTCTGTTTCTCTCCTCTCTCTGTTTTCGTTCGCTCTGGCTGTCGCCTGTCGCTTCTCTTGGGTGAGTGTGGAAGTTGCGGTGCGGCACCTCGCAGCTCCGCGGCGTCCCGAGGGCGACGGTTTATTCTTCCTTGTCTCTACTTGTTTGTGTTCTTCCGCGACACCGAAGGCGACAACCACAACAAAAAATAATACGCTATCGTACAAGGGCAAAGGGGGAAAAAGAACAAAGGCGGGTAAAGACCGCCATAAAATGGAGGTACTGCTGCCGGTTACACCTCTTTTCTAAAGCTGCATAGAACAGTTCTCTTTTTCCTTTTCTTTCTTCGGTTTCTCCTGTGGGTTTTTTCTTCTCGCGACACCGCCGTTGTGCCGCTCAACGCTGTGAGACACAACGGCGGCGTAGGGAGAATGTTTTTGTCAAGGATAACAAAAAAGGAGGCAGAAACGAAGAAGCAAACTAAACAAAAGAGCTGTGAAGAGAGTGACAATCGATGAAGATAGACGTATTCAAGCCACTTTGAGCTACCCCCATTTTCTTTTTTTCCTCTTTGAAAAATGCGATAGATAAACTTTGTGGATTTTAATTATTATTATTGTTTTTCACTCTTGTTCTGTTCTTCTCCATCATCTCCCCACCCTTCATCTAGTTCGCTTATAGACACGGAGCACACGAAACGCTACTTTATGATTGTTATGTGTCGGTTCTTATTGTTCTTATTTTTTCAGGCTTGTTGCAGACAACTAATTCTTCCTTCTCGACTTCGCTAACCCCTCGGTGGTTGAAGAAGATTATTATTATTATTTTGGCTCTCTCCTTCAATGCAGGCAACGGTGTTTCCATTACGTGCGAACTGCATACGCATCTTTATATATATATATATATATATGTTTTGAAAGTGCGAGAACGAAGATCCAGTTGCTGTCGAAAACAACGGAAAACAAACAAAAAACACAACAACCCCGACAGCAACCACAGCTCTCCTCAAACACGGAGATGGTGGGATTCGTTGCTCTGAAAGCGTGATGCTTGGGCATGAGGAGAACGTTGCTTCTCTGCAGGAAGCGCTGTTGAGCCCTCTCGCCGCTGTTGACTGCCGATGGAACTCTTCGGGCGTGCATATTTTGTTAGGACGGCCGTGATGTGCTCTGCTTTGTATGCCCAATGAAAAAGAGAATAACATAGTAGTACTTCTTCACTCTCTGGATGCCTCAGAAAAGAAGTGCCGGACCGCCTTGACGCACGACCGAGCTAAAATGCGTGTAAAACGCGAACAACGACTGGACGACAACGTGCTCTCTTACTTTTTCTCTTTCGACGTCTTCTCTGTCTCGCCTTCTGAACTGACACGCACCACCCTCACTTCGCTTGTGTACGCAGAGCAGATAATCATTGGAACTATATCTTTTTTTCTCCGCAGGCAAGCCAACACCCAAAAACAAAAAGGAGGGTCTCTCTTCGCGTTGCGGCCTCGTCTCTGCCATCCCGGTCGGATCCCCCTCCCTCCCTTTAGTTGTATTGTTGGTAATTGATCTCGGACCTTCACGGCCGCTGTGGCGTGCGCCAGGCACCCATGCCCAATGACAACGCGTATCAGTTCCGGGGCAACGACGAGGACGGCGAGTGGTGGGTGCGTCCCCGCCGCGCCTACAAGTCTTTCGGCCCTTTCCGAGTTGTGTCGACGCTGATGGTGGCCGTTGCGATCGGCCTCGTCGCCTTCGGTCTTGCCTGCGCTGTCATGTTTGCGGCGGACGTCGCCGAGGAGCACCCGACGCGTGCCCGGTGGGCCTTGCGGGCGTTGATTGTCTTCAACATCGCGGTGCACACGTCCATCCTATTTATTGACCGACTGAGCTGGTGGCGCTCGCTGCTGAGTCTGGCGGTGAACGCGCTGTACTTCCGCCTGCTCCGCGGCTTCCCATTTGTGCCGAATTTGGACAGTCCGCTGGTGGTTTGCACTGTGGGTGCGGTGCTGATTGAGAGCGCCATGTGGTATTGGTACTCGATGCAGCTGATGTACTACACGTCTGTCTTGAACATCATCGGGTTTTTCCTGATGCTGTGGCTGGTGCCGATCGGACTGGTGGCGTCGTGTGTGCTAGAGGAGGAACGGCTGCCTGGCGCGGGGAGTGTGCACGGCGGCGGCGGTGGCGGGGTGCCGTCTGATCTTTCCGGCGGGCGGAAGAAGCGCACCATTCTGAATCGTTTCGCGGACCTTGTCGGTAACTGGTAGCGGCGGAGCACGAAGACGGCGTACCGGCGTTAGCGGGTGAGGGTGAGGGGGAGACGGGAGATGAGGGCTGCCATGCATGACCGTTTGTCTCGCGAGGCATCGGAGTGTCTCCACGCCGCGTGGAGTAATCCGGCAGTATGCGCATCTGTGCGTGTTATCTCGTTCCCCCCTCGCCTGTGTTTATCCGGTGCCGCCGTCCCGCACTTGGTGTGTTTTTGCTATCCGAGGCGGCGGTGGCTGAGGGAAGGCGGTGCGCTGGGGACTGACGCGGGGGAAGGACTGGGGACGAGGCACGTGTTACGGCCGCAGCACACACCCACGCGTACCCACGCACGCACAGACCCACAAAGTGCACAGTTTAGACGCACCAGTGCGTCCGCCTGTGCTTTTCCCTTTTCCTCCTTGCAATTGTGTGCGCGGGTGTGCGCTCTACTCCTTTTCCGCTGCCTGCGGCTCCTTCTCACTTGGGCTCTTTAAAATACCCTTTGGTGCTTTACGAAATGACGACGTGTACGGTACAGGCCAGTACCACCCACGGAAGAAGGAAGAAAGATGAAGCAGCCGCGGCCTCTCACCGGCTTCCGAGCCTCGCGGGAAACACGCGATAGCAGGCCTGCCAAGCAGATGGTTGCCATTGGTTCAGAAGAGCCGAGGCGCCTCAACGGGTATTCTGTTTTCCCCTCTGTTGGCGGCCGCTGGCCCACTGCAGTGCAGAAACGAACGCAGCCGCGCTGCAACTTCTCCTCTCCGCCACTTCTTCCTCTCTCTCGCCACATCCGCCCTTCCTTTGCTGGGTGCGTGCCCCACCGCATCATCCCCAACAAAATCGTACCCGTGAAATTCGGAAGGTAACACCACCAGCGCACTATCCTTCCTAATAAAGAAATCATTCACCGTTTCACCTCTCGCCACCATGTCCTTCAAAGCTGCCGACATCACGAAGACGCTGACGGAGAACCCGCCGCCGCTGCCGCCGATGAAGGGTGTCGCCTTCGGCACCGTCTTCACTCCGCACATGGTCATCATCGACTACGCGGACGGCAAGTGGGGAGCACCGCAGATTGTGCCGTTTGCGAACTTCTCTCTCCCACCACAGACCTCCTGTTTTCATTATGCAACGGAGTGCTTTGAGGGCATGAAGGCGTACGCGGACATCGCCGACATCGAGAAGGTGGCGAAGGGCGAGAAGCTGACGAAGCAGCACATCCGCCTGTTCCGCCCGGACAAGAACGTGGCACGTCTGCAGGACAGCATGCACACCCTCTGCATGCCGCCGTTCGACGCGACGGAGTTGGTGAAGGTGATTGAGGAGTTTGTGCGGACGGAGCGCGACTACGTGCCGAAGGAGTTCGGCTACTCGCTCTATCTGCGGCCCACAGCCATCGGCACCGCCGAGACGCTTTCTGTCGTACCGTCCAGCTCTGTGCGCCTCTTTGTTATCGCGTCGCCGGTGGGCCCGTACTACCCGCCACCGGAGGGTGAGTCAGGCTCGGCGGCGATTAAACCTGTGAAGCTGCTTGTGGAGGAGAAGCACAAGCGTGCGTGGCCTGGTGGCACGGGCGGCAGCAAACTTGGCGCGAATTACGCGGGCCCCATGCTGGCGCAGGAGGAGGCGCACGAGCGTGGCTACGATCAGGTGCTCTGGCTCGGCGCCAAGGACGAAGTGCAGGAGGTTGGTTCGATGAATTTCTTCACGTTGTGGAAGACGAAGGCCGGCAAGACGGAGCTGATCACGGCCCCGCTCGACGGCACCATCCTCCCTGGCGTGACGCGTGCCTCGATTCTTGAGCTTGCGCGTGGGTGGGGCGAGTTCGAGGTGTCGGAGCGCAGCTACTTCGTGCAGGAGCTCGTGGAGGCGCTGCAGGAGGGTCGCGTGATCGAGTGCTTCGGCTGTGGCACGGCCGCGATCGTTTCCCCTGTGAATCTGCTTGCGTATCGCGGCAAGGAGTACGCCGTGCCGTGCCCGGAGAACAGCATCACTCGCCGCTTCCTGCACGAGATTCTGGACATTCAGTATGGCAAGACACCGAGTCCGTGGTCCGTGGAGGTGATCGCGTAAGACGACAAAGGTGAAGGTGCTGAGGTTGGACGTAGAGCCGCCGAACCAACGTGCCTTGTCGTGAACGTTTTTGTGTATTTCTCCTCTCGCTGCGCATCGCCTGTTCCGCCAGTTAACGTTAAGCTCACCAACGTCAGCGGTCAGCCGTGCGGCCCGACGCCGCATAATGCGTCAGTTAGCTGAGCAACACATGGAGCCATAAAGCGTTCATCGTTCGACATTGCTCTCCCTCCCTTTTTTTCTCCTTTCTGACCAGTTCTATTAGTCACGATTAATGCGGGAGGAAAAGTTTTTTTGAAAAGTTTTCCAAAATGAAAATGGATTTTCTTTTTTGTTTCATTTCCGAAGTGCACTTTTCGGTCTCTGGTTGAGTTTTTTCACTTCTTATTTAGCGACAGTTTGCTCACCCTAATTTGTTGTTCGCCGTTTCTTCAGCTGTGTTAAAATTTTTATTATTTTCCCCTCCCGTGATCCACTTCTTTCTTTTCGTGAGATAGGGATTGTTTCGCGCTCCGGTGTGCGGGTGTGAGATGCGCCTCGTTGTGGCACTCGAGTCGAAAGTATCATTGCTGTCTCTCTACGAAAAGTTTTTTTTTTCTGTGGTCAATTGTAGCGCTCTTTTCTTTTCTTGAAAAACTAATTTAACAGGTTTTTGTGTCGTATAGCGGAGTGTTGTATACCAACTTCCGGCGCTGTTACACTTAATTCTGTAAGTATTCTCATTTTCTTCCCTTTTCTGCGCCACTTATCGGTAATGGCTCTCGGACCTTCACGGCCGCTGTGGCGTGCGCCAGGCACCCATGCCCAATGACAACGCGTATCAGTTCCGGGGCAACGACGAGGACGGCGAGTGGTGGGTGCGTCCCCGCCGCGCCTACAAGTCTTTCGGCCCTTTCCGAGTTGTGTCGACGCTGATGGTGGCCGTTGCGATCGGCCTCGTCGCCTTCGGTCTTGCCTGCGCTGTCATGTTTGCGGCGGACGTCGCCGAGGAGCACCCGACGCGTGCCCGGTGGGCCTTGCGGGCGTTGATTGTCTTCAACATCGCGGTGCACACGTCCATCCTATTTATTGACCGACTGAGCTGGTGGCGCTCGCTGCTGAGTCTGGCGGTGAACGCGCTGTACTTCCGCCTGCTCCGCGGCTTCCCATTTGTGCCGAATTTGGACAGTCCGCTGGTGGTTTGCACTGTGGGTGCGGTGCTGATTGAGAGCGCCATGTGGTATTGGTACTCGATGCAGCTGATGTACTACACGTCTGTCTTGAACATCATCGGGTTTTTCCTGATGCTGTGGCTGGTGCCGATCGGACTGGTGGCGTCGTGTGTGCTAGAGGAGGAACGGCTGCCTGGCGCGGGGAGTGTGCACGGCGGCGGCGGTGGCGGGGTGCCGTCTGATCTTTCCGGCGGGCGGAAGAAGCGCACCATTCTGAATCGTTTCGCGGACCTTGTCGGTAACTGGTAGCGGCGGAGCACGAAGACGGCGTACCGGCGTTAGCGGGTGAGGGTGAGGGGGAGACGGGAGATGAGGGCTGCCATGCATGACCGTTTGTCTCGCGAGGCATCGGAGTGTCTCCACGCCGCGTGGAGTAATCCGGCAGTATGCGCATCTGTGCGTGTTATCTCGTTCCCCCCTCGCCTGTGTTTATCCGGTGCCGCCGTCCCGCACTTGGTGTGTTTTTGCTATCCGAGGCGGCGGTGGCTGAGGGAAGGCGGTGCGCTGGGGACTGACGCGGGGGAAGGACTGGGGACGAGGCACGTGTTACGGCCGCAGCACACACCCACGCGTACCCACGCACGCACAGACCCACAAAGTGCACAGTTTAGACGCACCAGTGCGTCCGCCTGTGCTTTTCCCTTTTCCTCCTTGCAATTGTGTGCGCGGGTGTGCGCTCTACTCCTTTTCCGCTGCCTGCGGCTCCTTCTCACTTGGGCTCTTTAAAATACCCTTTGGTGCTTTACGAAATGACGACGTGTACGGTACAGGCCAGTACCACCCACGGAAGAAGGAAGAAAGATGAAGCAGCCGCGGCCTCTCACCGGCTTCCGAGCCTCGCGGGAAACACGCGATAGCAGGCCTGCCAAGCAGATGGTTGCCATTGGTTCAGAAGAGCCGAGGCGCCTCAACGGGTATTCTGTTTTCCCCTCTGTTGGCGGCCGCTGGCCCACTGCAGTGCAGAAACGAACGCAGCCGCGCTGCAACTTCTCCTCTCCGCCACTTCTTCCTCTCTCTCGCCACATCCGCCCTTCCTTTGCTGGGTGCGTGCCCCACCGCATCATCCCCAACAAAATCGTACCCGTGAAATTCGGAAGGTAACACCACCAGCGCACTATCCTTCCTAATAAAGAAATCATTCACCGTTTCACCTCTCGCCACCATGTCCTTCAAAGCTGCCGACATCACGAAGACGCTGACGGAGAACCCGCCGCCGCTGCCGCCGATGAAGGGTGTCGCCTTCGGCACCGTCTTCACTCCGCACATGGTCATCATCGACTACGCGGACGGCAAGTGGGGAGCACCGCAGATTGTGCCGTTTGCGAACTTCTCTCTCCCACCACAGACCTCCTGTTTTCATTATGCAACGGAGTGCTTTGAGGGCATGAAGGCGTACGCGGACATCGCCGACATCGAGAAGGTGGCGAAGGGCGAGAAGCTGACGAAGCAGCACATCCGCCTGTTCCGCCCGGACAAGAACGTGGCACGTCTGCAGGACAGCATGCACACCCTCTGCATGCCGCCGTTCGACGCGACGGAGTTGGTGAAGGTGATTGAGGAGTTTGTGCGGACGGAGCGCGACTACGTGCCGAAGGAGTTCGGCTACTCGCTCTATCTGCGGCCCACAGCCATCGGCACCGCCGAGACGCTTTCTGTCGTACCGTCCAGCTCTGTGCGCCTCTTTGTTATCGCGTCGCCGGTGGGCCCGTACTACCCGCCACCGGAGGGTGAGTCAGGCTCGGCGGCGATTAAACCTGTGAAGCTGCTTGTGGAGGAGAAGCACAAGCGTGCGTGGCCTGGTGGCACGGGCGGCAGCAAACTTGGCGCGAATTACGCGGGCCCCATGCTGGCGCAGGAGGAGGCGCACGAGCGTGGCTACGATCAGGTGCTCTGGCTCGGCGCCAAGGACGAAGTGCAGGAGGTTGGTTCGATGAATTTCTTCACGTTGTGGAAGACGAAGGCCGGCAAGACGGAGCTGATCACGGCCCCGCTCGACGGCACCATCCTCCCTGGCGTGACGCGTGCCTCGATTCTTGAGCTTGCGCGTGGGTGGGGCGAGTTCGAGGTGTCGGAGCGCAGCTACTTCGTGCAGGAGCTCGTGGAGGCGCTGCAGGAGGGTCGCGTGATCGAGTGCTTCGGCTGTGGCACGGCCGCGATCGTTTCCCCTGTGAATCTGCTTGCGTATCGCGGCAAGGAGTACGCCGTGCCGTGCCCGGAGAACAGCATCACTCGCCGCTTCCTGCACGAGATTCTGGACATTCAGTATGGCAAGACACCGAGTCCGTGGTCCGTGGAGGTGATCGCGTAAGACGACAAAGGTGAAGGTGCTGAGGTTGGACGTAGAGCCGCCGAACTAACATGCCTCGTCATGAAGGTTTTTGTTTTTGCGGTAGGCAAAGCGTGTTTCGTTTCTCTCGTTTCTTCTTTTTTAACGCTAAAGTGAACTTTCCTTTCTCATGTAGAGTTCGGTCACGAACTTTACCGACGCTTTCTGCCACCTCCTTCGTTATTCCGCAGGCTGCGTTATCTCTCTCTTTTATTTCTGATTATTTTCGCATCATTTCTTTTCTTGTTTTCTCGTGTCATTGTGAGTGGTAGTCGGTTTCACGCCGCTCTGATACAGACACATCTGTTATTGTTTCCTCCTCTCTCTCTTTCGTCTACTCCCTTTTCAAGTGAACTTTCCTTCCTCATGTAGAGTTCGGTCACGAACTTTATTATGAGTATATACACATCTCTCTCCGTATCTTTTGTTCTTTCTCGCTTTGTTGTTTCCCCGTTATTTCTTTTCAATGTCTTTCTTTGCTCAGCGCGGAGAGGTGTATACCGGTTTATGGCACTCGTATTCACAATTATACAACTATTTTTTCTCTCTCTCTGTTGCTGTAGTTTTTCTATTCTTCTCCCTCTACTACTTTTTTTCCCCTTTTCGTCCCTTCTCTTCCACCCACGGTTCATCTTTCTCCTTTCTGCACTGAAGTGGACAGAAGAGGGAGGCCTGCGTTTTCTCGATTTCTTTTCGGTATTCGACGATTTCGGGATTGACGACCTTCTATCGTAAAGGGAAGGAAAAGAGAAAGAAAAATACACAAATAACATCAATGAGTTGTAGCGACGAAGCGTCGTTCGTGTACGGTTCCTGCGCAGCATCCGACTAGTAATACGTGTTTTGTCGAAAGGTGATTCGAAGATTTCAGCGGGAAAGGGTTTTTCTTTGTTTCTGCGGGTGTATGCGCGAGAGCAGCTGGCTGGGCTGCGCTGTTGAAGGTCTCGCGCAAAAACCCACTCCCACGCACGTGGACGTACGGGCGCCCCTCCTGTGCCGATTTCGTTGTCGTCTTGGGTTAATCTTGTGCTGTGTTGCCCAATACCTCTCCTTTTCCCATGTTTTTTTGCTGTTCTCGTGCTTTCCTTCGTCTGATGTGTGTTCCAACCGTTTGGGTTGTCATCGCCTTCAATCGTGCGCGCGCTCCAACGCAGCTTTGCTGATAACTGCAGTAGATCGAGTTCCATTCAAGCAATGCAGATCATCTCCTCTCGAAACCATTTCCCCCAAACCAGCTACGAAAGGTAAGTCAACTGACACATACCCACAGCATGTTCCTAAGCCGCCGAGGTCTGTCGAAATTGGTGGGCAGCGCTCCAGCGTCGTTTACCGCTTCTGCGCTGACGAAGACGCTCGTGGCGAACCCGCCGCCGCTGCCGCCGATGAAGGGTGTCGCCTTCGGCACCGTCTTCACTCCGCACATGGTCATCATCGACTACGCGGACGGCAAGTGGGGAGCACCGCAGATTGTGCCGTTTGCGAACTTCTCTCTCCCACCACAGACCTCCTGTTTTCATTATGCAACGGAGTGCTTTGAGGGCATGAAGGCGTACGCGGACATCGCCGACATCGAGAAGGTGGCGAAGGGCGAGAAGCTGACGAAGCAGCACATCCGCCTGTTCCGCCCGGACAAGAACGTGGCACGTCTGCAGGACAGCATGCACACCCTCTGCATGCCGCCGTTCGACGCGACGGAGTTGGTGAAGGTGATTGAGGAGTTTGTGCGGACGGAGCGCGACTACGTGCCGAAGGAGTTCGGCTACTCGCTCTATCTGCGGCCCACAGCCATCGGCACCGCCGAGACGCTTTCTGTCGTACCGTCCAGCTCTGTGCGCCTCTTTGTTATCGCGTCGCCGGTGGGCCCGTACTACCCGCCACCGGAGGGTGAGTCAGGCTCGGCGGCGATTAAACCTGTGAAGCTGCTTGTGGAGGAGAAGCACAAGCGTGCGTGGCCTGGTGGCACGGGCGGCAGCAAACTTGGCGCGAATTACGCGGGCCCCATGCTGGCGCAGGAGGAGGCGCACGAGCGTGGCTACGATCAGGTGCTCTGGCTCGGCGCCAAGGACGAAGTGCAGGAGGTTGGTTCGATGAATTTCTTCACGTTGTGGAAGACGAAGGCCGGCAAGACGGAGCTGATCACGGCCCCGCTCGACGGCACCATCCTCCCTGGCGTGACGCGTGCCTCGATTCTTGAGCTTGCGCGTGGGTGGGGCGAGTTCGAGGTGTCGGAGCGCAGCTACTTCGTGCAGGAGCTCGTGGAGGCGCTGCAGGAGGGTCGCGTGATCGAGTGCTTCGGCTGTGGCACGGCCGCGATCGTTTCCCCTGTGAATCTGCTTGCGTATCGCGGCAAGGAGTACGCCGTGCCGTGCCCGGAGAACAGCATCACTCGCCGCTTCCTGCACGAGATTCTGGACATCCAGTACGGCAAGACACCGAGTCCGTGGTCCGTGGAGGTGATCGCGTGAAAAGGCCATGGAGCTGAGAAACCAACTTTATGATAGCGATTCTAAGCATTCGGGCTAAATCGTAGGACTAATAACTGTATCATAATGATGAGAACTCACTTGATCAGATGGCTTCTGCTTTGTTTGTGGTCTTGGGTGAAGCAACGCACTTCACTTCACGGAAGGACCGCCGTGTGTTTACATATATATATGCATTTGTCTGTTAGTAAGGGCTACTATCCTTGTTCGATCTATTGATGGTATAAAGAAGAAGGGAGAGAAGTAGGAGGGGCGGCCACGCCACGGAGGTCAACATCGAAGCGAACGCAATTGTTTCTCGGCGTGGAGGCCAACTTTTCAGCACAGGAGGGAAAGATTTGAGAAACCGTGAAGGGAAGTGAAAAAAGGAGTACCGACACCAGATTCGTGAGAGACATGACCTATTTGTATATATTGTATGGACGTGTCACAGCGGTATCGGGGCGATGGTGTACGACGGTGAGCAAGTGTGTTTCATCTATCCTTCCCTTTTTGTTTGTTTTCCGGTTGGAAGCGGACGCTTCTCCGTCTTCACCCCCTGCTCGCTCATTTGGTTTTTTACTTTTACGTTTTTTTTTCATTCTCTCTATGCGACGCCTGTATATCTATATATTTACATATCTATGTATCTATATGGTAGCTCTCCAAGCGAATTTAGCGTTTGTTTTTGTTTCCGTTTGTCTATCGACAACATCTTGGATCTCTCCTCTCCTTTTTTCTCCTTTTTTAATTTTCAGCTTTCTTCAGTGTTTTTTTTTTTTTAATCTATCCTTTCTGTTTCGTTTCTTCCGTGGCAAGAGTTCCCCATTCGGTAGGTAGAGAGCGATGTCTCGTTGCATCACAGTCCCTTCAATAAAATGTAGAAAGGAAAAACCCCGAAAAGAAAAGAAAAAAATAATTTTGACTTCATCACAGTCAGATTCTCGGATCGTCGTAAAGCTGTTGTGCAGTGACCTGGACAAGCACTTCCTCCTTTTCGGCCTCGCCGATTTTGTTGTTGGGCTTTACCTCCCTCCCCCCTCCTGATGCCTTCTTAGCACTTTTCTCGTTCGATCAGAGCTTCTTGTTCCTTCTCACAATCATTTCTCTCTTTCTTTCTTTATTCTCTTTTGGCGTCTCTGTATTGAAACGGTATGCTACTACTCCCAACACCGCTCAAAGAAACAAAAACAACTAAATAAATAAATCAAGTCAACGACACCCGCCGTCTTGCGGCCTTTGAAAGTACGTGTGTTGTTCGCACGGTGGTGGTGGCTCCGTTTCTTCCTTCTCCTGGGTGAGACGTTTTTATTTACTTATTTGCGCAGTCGTGCTCTGCGTTTGTTGTTCTCTTGCTGTGGTCAACAATTCTGTTATTTTACCCCCTTTTTCTCATAACACTGCCTCCGCTCTTCCCGTCTTCCGAGACACTTGCGAAGGAAAAGACCGTACTAATTTTAACCCTTACTTACAGACCTTTTGCTTCCGTTTTGCTCCCACTCAATTTGGTGACTCTGGAGCACATCTTTTCTTCTCGTTAGTCACAACGAAGTCACCCAGCGAACGAGCCACAGAAACAGATCACCACGCCTTCCACGCCTTCCCCGTCTTCCGTCCACACATCCACGTTATTCTGTGCGTTTTTTCTCCCCCTCTCCCTTGTGTGATTCATCGGCGCTGATGTCGCCGCCGTCCTCGCCCAACGTGAGCGCCGGCAACGCCCGTGCCGATGCACCGCCGACGAAGCCGCAGCCCAGCGCGCCGGCGCTGCTGACACGACCGCAGAACGACAGGAGTTTCCTCTACAACTTGTTCTTCGGCCCCGGCGGTGGGGCCACCTTTGCGGGCATGTGTGAGATCATCATTTTCCACCCATTCGACACCGTGGCGAAGCGTCTCATGTCGTACCACCACCGCGTTGTGGACCTCACATCGCCTGCCGCTACGTGGCGGAACCTAGATCATGTCGTGTTTGGCAAGCTGAAGGAGCACTACACTGATGCGACGACCGGGGCGGTGCGGCACATCTCCTCAATGGAGCGGCTGAAGCACATGTACCCTGGCAGCTCCTACGCGGTGGCCTACAAGGTGCTGCAGCGTATCATGAAGTTTGCCGGGCAGCCCTACATGCGCGATTACTTACACGTCCATCACAGCAACGTCTTCTTCAAGAAGGACACCCGGACGGGCGAGTACGTGCGCGGGGGTCGCGGTGCGATGACGCTGGAGGCAACCGCCGGCTGCCTCGTCGGCGTGTGCGAGATCGTTCTGCTTCCCTTTGATCGCATGAAGGTGCTGAACCAAACAAACAAGGCCGCCGTTCACAGTCGCAACATGTTCTCGGTGATTCTCACGGAGGGCGTTGGTAAGCTCTACGCCGGGGCACTGACGACGGCGGTGCGCAACGCCACCGGGTCTTTTCTCCTTTTCGGCGGCACAGCGTTTACGAAAGAGTACGTCTTTCAGCTGGAGAACTACCGCGATGCGACCTTTGCGCAGAACATCGCGGCCTCCACTGTCGGCGGCTGCGTCGGCGTTTTCTTCACCTCGCCGATGGATGTCATCAAGACGCGCATTCAGAGTCAGCGGCTGACGGACAAGATGTCGGGGTGGCAGGTATTTGTGTCGACGGTGCGCCGGGAAGGCTTTGCGGCGTTTTACAAGGGTATCACGCCAAAGATGATCACCACCGCACCACGCCTTGTGTTTTCCTACACCATGACGCAGTATTTCACCAAGAAACTGCGCGGCGAGTAAAAAAAAAACAGAAGGGAGAAATAAGGTAAGCTGGGCACATCTTCTTGTTTTTCCCGTTTACGCCTGCGCAAGGAGCGATTCGATGAGTGAATGGCTGAGGTGGGGAGGGCGAACTGTTTCTGTGTTACGTTCCATTTTTTTCCCCCTTTCATCCCTCATATTTTTCTTTCTTACCGCGCCCACCCCGTGTGCCGCACCACCTCCGCTTTGGAGGCCGATGAGGAAAGGAAGTTTGCCACGTTGATTGTCTGTGATGCCGTTCGAAATAGCAGTACAATCAGCTTCCTGCTCATCTCCCACACGTACTCAGCAGTGATTACACGTTTGGCCATATGCTCTCCCTGGCAAGGACGTTGATGCGGATTTGGAATACTGGTCGTCGACTACCCTCCTCTCCTTGGCTCTCTCCCTCTTTTTCTTCAACCCCGAAAGCGTCTACAGTACTTGGTCAACGGAAACAGGCGGAAACAGACCTCGCAGATGATGCCCAGCGTGCCCTCCGACCCAATGTACAGCTGCGTCAGCTCCAGCCCGGCAGAGGACTTGCGCACCACCTGCCGTGTCTGCAACACATCCCCCGCCGGCGTCACAACCTTCAGCGAAATCACGTTCTCCCGCGTCGTGCCGTAGCGCAGCGTCGACATGCCGCTGCCGGACGTCGACACCATTCCACCGACCGACGGGTTGGAGGCGGGATCAGGGCCGAACAGGAAGCCACGCTTCGTACACTCCCTGTTCAGCGCGAGCTTCTTCACACCCGCGCCCACCCACACACACGCGTTCTCCACGTCGAAGTCCATGCGCTTCAGATTCACCGTGTCAATCACGACACCACCAGCGAAGGGGATCGCACCGCCCTCCAGTCCAGTGCGAGCACCGCTGGGCGTCATGGGCACGCGCAAGCTAGCGCAGAGCTTCACTACAGCGGCGGCCTCCTCGATGGTGGAGGGCAGCACCGCAGCCGCAGGTGCCACGGGATCCAGCGGAGACTCATCGATGCCGAAGCGCAGCAGCTTCTTGTGATCGAGAACGAGTTGCTTCTCCGGGTTCTTCAGCACCTTGCGGAGCTCCTCGATGCAGTGGGCGTACTTCTTCTGGCGAGCCTCCAGCGGTTCGATTTGATAGGCTGCAGGTGTCGCCATTGGGTGAGTAGGGAGAGGCGGAAACGGATAAGGGCGGCTTACTGAACAGGCACAAGCACAAAGAGCGCCGAGGAAAATGACTCCGCCGGAAGCTACATTGCCTTCAACTCCACAGGTGACGCCGTGCGTGCGGTGGTGGCGCTGCGCCAGCGTGGCTTTCCGCAGACGCTGCTGCGCTGCGAGATGATGAACGGCAACAACATTGCGTCGACGAACAGCTACTGCAAGATGTCCCTGCCGACGACGGCGACGATTCTACTGGAGTTCACGAGCAACGACTGGTGGCTGCGCGACATAAAGCGGGACTACAGGTTCGTGGAGGCGATCTTCAAGGAGGCCGGGCACCCGACGCAGATGCGCTACCTGCGTCCGGGCAAGGAGATGCAAGACGTGTGGAACGCGCGGCGGTCGTGCTACTTCGCGACGATGTTCAGCCGCGGCAAGACGGAGAAGGTTTTCGGCACGGACATCTGTGTCCCGATTCCACGGCTGACGGAGATCGTCGAGTACACGGAGGAGGAGTTCAGAAAGGCGGGCAAGAAGTGCCTCATCTGCGCGCACATCAGCGACGGCAACTTCCACACGAACATTCCCTTCGCGGATGCGCAGGAGTTGAAGGAGTTGCGTGTGCTGGAGACGAAGATGATCAAGAAGGCAATTGCCCTCGGTGGCACCATTGCGGGTGAGCACGGACTTGGGGTAGGTAAGGTGTGCTATGCGGTGCAGGAGCACGGCCAGGCCCACATCGACGTGCAGGAGGCGATCAAGAAGGCGCTGGACACGGACAACGTGATGAACGCCGGCTGTTTTTACCCCTCCCAGCAGCAGCTGTACCCCACGGCGCACCTGTGAGAGCACTCGATGCGGCCGAGCGAAGAAGAAATGGAAGAGAGATGAAGAGGCACGTAGACAAGGACCAACAGTTTGCTTCTCTCGATTCAAACTATGTTATTATTATTATTTAAAAAGAAAAGATCAACCGTTTTATTTTTTCTTTCTTTCTCACGATGCCGTTGACGTGTTTTTCGATCGCCAGGAACCACCAACAAGACGAGTCAGAGTGGCGCTTCGTGTTGATTCATCACAACGGAATAAAACCTGGTTAAACCACAATTAATGCGAAGTGGTTACGCTGAGGCGGATCGGCACAAGACAAAGTGAAGCGAAAAGGACTGTGTGATGCATATTAAGCTTCTTAATGAATATAGCTTTCTTTTGTCTTTTGATTGTTGTCCTGATAAAGGAAGTGTTGTAACTGTTTGTTTTTGTTTTTACTCGTGGTTTCTTTTTTCCATTCGGTGGACGCTTTTTCCCTCTTTGTAACCTTTGTTTTTTCCTGTCCCGTTACGTGGCTCCGACCACGCGCATCAGCTGCTCTACTCCGTCCTCTACGGAGTGGCTCGCACTCTGGGACTGCTGCGTACCGTGCGCACGCTCTGATCACCGCCGTAAAAGCAAAATGCGAATCTTTTTTATGCTTTTTTTTCGTCTCCTCTATCGCTTACAAAATATGTTAATGGTGTTCTCCACCGTCTTGTTGCACTCGCTCCCTTCCCACGTAAAACGGAAGGGTGTCGTGCGCAGGTTGCGTGTACTGAATCGGACTGTCGTGTGACGCGGAAGACGCGGACGTGATAGTTTTGTTTTTAGGAATACGGCGAGACGCGAGCACTAACTGGTCGGGCAGGCAGATACGTGTATAGTTTCTGCCTATTTGCTCATTTCCCCGATATATATATTTGTGTTGCCAATTGAAGGCGGCATGGTAACGCGGCGACGAACCGCTAAAGTAACCGTTGGTGCGCTGTGCGGCGTAAAGAAGGAACGAAAGAGAAAACGCAGGCGGTGGAATGCTGAGGATGTGAAAGGAAGGGAGGAGGGGCGGCCGTTCCCCCTCTGTGGCCTTCTGGATGTGGCTCGCAAAGCGGGGTCCAATTCGCGCTGCGGCGGAGTGCGGGGATCGACCTGCCCCGAACCGCTCGAAAGGTATGAGATGTTCTTCTGTTGAACCATCACCATCACCACATCAACACATTCTATCTTTGTTACCGCTGGACCCCGTCCTTATTTTTGTTTCACCCCAAATGCAGCCGATTACCCCCTCTCCCCAGAACTCTCCCCAGGACTCAGTCTAAGCTGGTCGCTCATCGAACCGCCGCTACTCGTTATCTCTGTCGCGTCTTCGTGCCCCCTTTTTGACCTCATTTTCGTACTTCACCTCGAAGGTGACGATTTCCGCAAAACTTCAACGTTGACTTCATAAAGCTGATTACTGTGCCGTGTACTTGGTCAACGGAAACAGGCGGAAACAGACCTCGCAGATGATGCCCAGCGTGCCCTCCGACCCAATGTACAGCTGCGTCAGCTCCAGCCCGGCAGAGGACTTGCGCACCACCTGCCGTGTCTGCAACACATCCCCCGCCGGCGTCACAACCTTCAGCGAAATCACGTTCTCCCGCGTCGTGCCGTAGCGCAGCGTCGACATGCCGCTGCCGGACGTCGACACCATTCCACCGACCGACGGGTTGGAGGCGGGATCAGGGCCGAACAGGAAGCCACGCTTCGTACACTCCCTGTTCAGCGCGAGCTTCTTCACACCCGCGCCCACCCACACACACGCGTTCTCCACGTCGAAGTCCATGCGCTTCAGATTCACCGTGTCAATCACGACACCACCAGCGAAGGGGATCGCACCGCCCTCCAGTCCAGTGCGAGCACCGCTGGGCGTCATGGGCACGCGCAAGCTAGCGCAGAGCTTCACTACAGCGGCGGCCTCCTCGATGGTGGAGGGCAGCACCGCAGCCGCAGGTGCCACGGGATCCAGCGGAGACTCATCGATGCCGAAGCGCAGCAGCTTCTTGTGATCGAGAACGAGTTGCTTCTCCGGGTTCTTCAGCACCTTGCGGAGCTCCTCGATGCAGTGGGCGTACTTCTTCTGGCGAGCCTCCAGCGGTTCGATTTGATAGGCTGCAGGTGTCGCCATTGGGTGAGTAGGGAGAGGCGGAAACGGATAAGGGCGGCTTACTGAACAGGCACAAGCACAAAGAGCGCCGAGGAAAATGACGCTGCAGGCGGTTACGCGGGGTTTGAGAAACTGGGTGACGCCGTGCGTGCGGTGGTGGCGCTGCGCCAGCGTGGCTTTCCGCAGACGCTGCTGCGCTGCGAGTTAATGAACAAGGAAATTGTGATTGGCGCAAACAGTTACAATAAGCTCAAGCTGCCGCCCATGACGCTCGTGCTGCTGGAGTTCACGAGCAACGACTGGTGGCTGCGCGACATAAAGCGGGACTACAGGTTCGTGGAGGCGATCTTCAAGGAGGCCGGGCACCCGACGCAAATGCGCTACCTGCGTCCGGGCAAGGAGACGGAGGACGTGTGGACAGCACGCCGGCAGTGCCACTTCTCTGCGATGCACGCGCGCGGTGCGAAAGGGCCGGAGAAGTGCTTCGGCACGGATATCTGTGTGCCGTTGCCGAAGCTGACGGAGATGATCGACTTCACGGAGGAGAAATTTCAGGAGGCAAACAAGGCGTGCTACCTGTGCGCGCACATCAGCGACGGCAACTACCACCTTATCATTCCGTACGCCGACAAAGCGGAATTTGAACTCCTGCAGTCGATTGAGGAGAAGATGATCAAGAAGGCAATTGCCCTCGGTGGCACAATTACGGGTGAACACGGCATTGGTTGTTGCAAGGTGTGTTATGTGGTGCAGGAGCACGGCCAGGCCCACATCGACGTGCAGGAGGCGATCAAGAAGGCGCTGGACACGGACAACGTGATGAACCCCGGCTGTTTTTACCCCTCCCAAGTGGCGCAGTACCATCCATCGCATCTGTAAGCTATATAGAGCGCGCGCGAGGCGTGTTGAAGAGGTGGAGAGGATGACAGAGGCAGCCAAATTTCGTGCTGTTTTCTGTAATGAAAGCAGCTCTTTATCTTTTTTTTCTATGCGGTTTCAAAGGAGAGAACCGCCGCCGGCAGTGGCGCCTCTCAGCGTGTTCCTTCTCTCTCCTTTACCGCCTCCTATTGATTACATGGTAGAGCAAGGTGGGAGGGAGAGACACTCGGTGCGAAGGACAGCGTTTATTATTTTGTACGAGTGACCGACTTCCTCCTCTTTTTATTTTTGGTTTTCTGTTCAAGATCCCCATTCCAAAAGAAGTATTGTGCTCGCTTGCAGTGACGTTATGTCGGAGAGGAACCGCACACACATACACACACACACACTGCGTGCATCGCGTTGGACGACTTGGTGGGATGAAGAGGCGAAAGAACAACCTAATCAAAAAAAAACCCCTAGTGATTCAGTTGCAACCATATCTGCACAACAAACTTCGGTTACCGGAATGGTCTGCGCAACACGGAGTCACGCACAAGCGCACAGGCACCGTATGCAGCGTTCGCCGTTCGCAAAAGAAATAAAGAAATATGTCAATAGTAAGCGCAGGAAATGCGAAAGGGAGACACTTAACATTTCCAAGGAAGAACGACTTTGTTTTGTTTTGCGGAGTATAAAGGTGAACCTGCGGTGCTCTTGTGTCTATGTGTAACGTAAGCTAATGAATTCGCTTTTCTGATTTTTGTTTCTTACATTATTGCTTTTCATATGTTCAGATGAAAAGGGAAAAAGAGTGAGCCACGCACCTCTTTCTGTTGTACAACTCGTAAGTGCGTCGAGGGTAGTAGCGTATGTGTGTGTAGAAACAGCAAACAAACACAAAAAAATCAACAACACCGATCGGCGAACGTGAGAGCTATCTACGAGGACAGACAAAGCGACCTGCCAAGAGGCGTGTTCTTCTTTCCTACCGTTGTTTGTACCCGCTGCCACGTGAGACCGCAGCTACGGCGACGTTAATTCTTGTGTGTGAACGACGACAAAAAAAGAAACGCGACTGCAATACCTTGCAGAAAAATAACATTTCATGCCAAATGTGAGGGCGACACGAAACGTTGGGGATTGGCGCACGTGAGGGGCGTTTCCTATTTACAGGCACACTCTGCAATCAAGGTCGCTTAACTGCTACGTTAATGCCGATTTGCCCAGCGACTCTTTTTCTCTTCCTCTCTTTTTCTCTTTCTACCTCCTTCTTTTTTTTTTCTGTTCTCAGCAGCCCTTTCATCGCTGCTGTGCTGTGCGTTGTCTGTTTCAGCAAACAACAACATCAACGACCCACGGCGAAGAAGCGCGTGTTTCTTTTACCCTTTTCTTTGTAAATATTTCTAGTAGAGCATCATTATCATCATCAAAAAAAAAAGGAGACATAAACGCACACGCCCACACACACTATAATTAACGCTTATGACCCAATCAGCAACGTTACATAGCGCCCCAGACAGCAGCCGCCGTCAACGCCCGCACATGTCACTGCGGGTTCGGCACGTGGCCGAAGGCGTCGTGTACCATCTCACGTTTGAAGGCGACGTCCAGCGACTCTCCGGCGGCCAGCTGCGGCGCCACCTAGCGCAGATCTGTCACATCCCACCCACTGAGCAGCAGCTCTCGGTGCGCGGGGCGGCATTTCCGCCGCAGGCGCTCGGTTCCTCGCTGGGGCTGCGGCAGGAGGACACAGTAGACCTCGTACGGACGAGCCGCCCCAACGGTGGTGACGGTGCTGACCCTTCTCCCCCGCTTTCGAAGCAACGGCGCGGGCAGTCCGCCGCTACCGTCTCCTCGCTGCGGCCTTCCACGAATGCCGGGACGATGTCCCCCGAGGCCCCATACAACGTCTACAACGGCACAGGAGGGACTGCACCGCAGCCACCGCACAAATATTCTTCTTCATTCCCGTCCACTCGACAACCTGATGACATTGCCGATCACGCTACTTCCTCTGTGGGCTCCACGGCGACCTCCAACACCCGCATGGCACCTTCTCCTGAGCGTTTAATCGAGGGTGCAACGCCGCCGCTGTCTCAGCACTACCCACCACAGCCGCAGCCGCAGCAGCAACGGCATCGTCATCGTGACAGCACGCAGGATGACAGCCAATTTCCTCTGTGGACCTCCGCCACCTCCCTCTCCTCACTTCCACCTCGGCGCCGCGATGAGGGAGAAGGTGCGAGCCCGCAACCACACGTGCCCTTGAAAGGAACGACAACACGGTCTTCGCAGCCGCCATACTCTCCTGCGCAGCCAGGCGCAGACCGGTCACACCTCGACACCAGCACCCATCACCGCAGCAGCAGCTACCACAGACCCTCCTACGAAGTCCCCTCTCCGTACGAGCAGCAGCGACGACGGCAACAGCAGCCCCCATCGCAGCAGCTGCAGCATCCGCAGCAGCGGGGAGAAGAGTATTACCCGCAAGCGGAGCAAATGCCGGCGGACTCCTCAGCAAACTACCCCTCTAAACAACCACCGCAGTGCGGTGCGCGAAATGGATTGAACCAATCGAGGATGGACCCTGTGGGTAGTGGCAGCGGAAGTGCCGGCCGACCGCGCCGCTCCTCCCCTCCTTCTTCCCTGCCACCACCACCGCCGTCGTCATTTGAGCGTGATGGCGACGTTACGCAACACCGCAGTGTTGTCCCGGCATCCCCTGCTTCGCCGGCGGCCCGTTGCGTTCCTGTCCGCGCTGACGACCTAGAGACGCTGCTGGATGAGCAGGAGTACATCTGGCAGATGGAGGACTACCGCTTCCGCACGGAGCGGCTGAACCGGCTCACCGCGCTGCAGAACCGTCGCCGCGATCTCACTTTCGAGGCCGCGCGCTGCGATGAGGCCCTTGCGGAGGTGTCCAGCCAACTGCAGCGGGAGCGGCGGAAGCTGACGGAGCTGCAGGACGCGATGTCTCTTCACACCGCGTCGCTGAACCGCTTTGGCACGCGCAACGAAGAGGGCCTCGCGCGCGCGAGTGTGGACGACGTGGAGGACGATAACGCAGCTGAAGTGGTGGAGGTGGACGTTTGAGCCGCCTCTTCCACCTGCAACGCCTGATCGTCTTCTCCTCTCTTCTCTATTTTTTCCCCTTTTCCCTCTCCCTTTTTTGGAGGCAACAACGGAAGCCATTGTACCATTTTCCCATTTTTCCCGTTCTTCTGTTAGCACTATCTTGCTAGATTTCCACCAGCGACTTTATGTGCATTTTTCGCTGTGTGTGCATGTCGCAGTGTGAGCTCCGCGGTGAGGCGCCGCACGGTTTTTGTTTTTGCGTGTTCCAGCGGGCAGCGGCAGTTTCGATGTGTACCTTTTGTGGGACGGCAGGGCGACGCCGCTCCATTTTTACCCCGTCGCCCTTCTCTCTTTTTATTATTATTAGGTTTTCGTGGTGATTACTGGCGTGTGCGTTTCACGTCGCTGTTGGCGAGGCCGTTTTAAATATGTATATACTTTTAGATAGAAAGACGAAGAATGATGAATGAAAAAGAAAAAAAGAAAAAACGAATCGATGACCGATGTGCTGTGTTGATCCTTCCTGTACAGCAACCCAGAGAGGCAAGAGGTGCAGTGTCACCAACTTCATTCGCTGGTGCTTTGCCCTTAGCGAATTCGAGGCGAGAAGGAGAAGGAGAAGAGAGCAGATCAGGGAAAAAAAAACAAAGCAACAGATGTGTGCGTTATGGAAAAGCTAGTTTTGCGATTTCATCAGACGTTAATCGTGGCAACCACAAACATTCACTGGACGTTTCTTTTTGTAAGCTGTGAGAAGTATATATATATATGTTTGTTTTCTTGATCGCTTCTTTCTCTCTTTCTTTCTTTGAGATTCCTCCTGCCTCTTTCACGCTTCTTGCGACATCGACCCTTTTCCCCTCTTCTACAAAGGTCGCCCAGAAGCTGCGGAAGGTTTGTTCTCTTCATTCTTTTCTGCACACACACACACACACAGATCAAACCGCTGCTTAGATTCCCTGCACATAGTTTCCTTTTCCCTTTCTATTTCACACACACACACACGTATATATATATTTATTCTCCCCCTCTCATCTGTCTTCTGTCTTCGTAGCATTGGACAGACCACACATACATCCTGACTCGCTCTCTTCCACACAATCGCACAGAAAGACAATCACACAGGATGTCTTCGTCGTCCATCACCCCCGAGCAGGCCCTTGCCCTCACGGCGCCAACGGAAGACTTCCTCTGCCCTTTGACGGTCAACACCTACGGCATCGAGTTCTACCAATTCACCATCCGTGACATCGAGCAGAATAAGGTGCTTTTCGAGGTTGGTCAGGTGCCGGATGATGCGGGGAGCGAGGACATGCAGGATGCGATGGCGCGTGTGGCGCAGCTCTCTGCCGAGGAGGCGGCCGCAGTGCGGACCATCCGCTACCAATTCGCCCCGTCGTTCCTGCGCAAGCAGGCAGTAGGGGCGAAGCTAGTCTTCGGCATCAACGGCGACCAGCCCGTACCGAAGTTCCGCATGATTGAGCGTCACTACTTCCGTAATGTGCTGATCAAGTCGTTTGATTTTGAGTTCGGCTTCTGCATTCCGCACTCGACAAACACGTGGGAGGCGATTTATGATATGCCGCGGCTGAACCCGGAGTGGGAGGAGGCAATTATCGCGAACCCCTACGAGACTGCCAGCGACAGCTTCTACTTCGTGGGTAACAAGCTCGTCATGCACAACAAGGCTTTTTATGCTTACGATGGTCCTGAGCCGTGATGGGAGGCCCGGAGGCGCGTGTCTCATCGTGTTGTGTACGGTGGGGCGTAACGAGAACAGCGTTGTTGGTGTGGCAAAAAAAAAACAGGGCCCCCCAAAAACAGTAGAGGTTGAAGAAAAAGGACTGCGCGTGAAGGTCAAATACTCGGATGCCGGCTGGTTTGCCTTCTCTTCTGCGCGCGATCACCGTTACTTCATCTTATTCTTTTTCTTTTTTCCCTTTTGACGTGTATGTGTGTGCGTGTGTGCTTGTTTTGGAATGTGTGGTGATAATGCGTGTATGTGGTACGCGCCTGCGCGCCGTTCACTGCTTACGGAGATGTGTGTGTATCGATGTACGCATGCATGCAACACTGTTCTTGCCTGTCTCTCCCTCTTCTTCGTATTAGTCAATTCTTTCCAAAAGGAAAAATGGGAAGAGAGAAAAGCTGCACTTTACTTCCTTCCATTCTTCAGCTCTCTCTCTTCTTCTACAAAAGAAATATGCACACCGCTTAAACTGGATATCGTAGAAGCCGAAGCAACAGCAATAACAACTACAAAAGAGCAGAAAGAAGCGGAGGGAAAGATGGTGGACAAGGCAAAGGAGGGCACCGTTGCGCGGATTCTCCTTATCGAGTTTGAGGTCTTCTTCGAGTGCGCTCTCTTCTTTCTATATATATGTTTTTTCTGTTCCCCCATTTTTTGTTTTTAAACAAATGTTATTAAGGCGCGCTTTCGGTGATATTCATGTTTCTTCATGTTATTTTGTTGTACTCTCGCTGCCTGTCGTGACGAATGCGGATATGTTCCCCAATGTGTTATGTCTTCTGTTATTATTACGTATCTCCCTTCTACCGTAAAGTGGAGCGTTGCGCGTGTGAGTCGTGTGGGCTGCAGGTGAGTTGTGAAGGAGGGAGAAAAGGTGCTACTTGTCTAAAAAACAAAAGAAGAGAAAGACTGTTTATGCTACACTTGCGTCGAGCTTTGAGTGTCTTTTTTAAAGAGTATAGTGGGAAAAGAAACTGGAAATTAAAATAGGTGTAAAAGAAATGAGCTGATGTTTTCTCTTCTCCTGATTGTTTTCTGGTGGCATTAGTTGACAGGAGCTACGCGGAGGCGAGACGGTGGCTCTTTCGCCGCCGATCATGTGTCTCTTTGATGTTTCCTTTTCGACGTTGTAGCTTTCATAAGACAATATTTAAAAACAAAAATGAACGAGACGTGCAAGGAAAAAGAAAAAGTACTGAAGCTAAGCGAGTGCGTTGATGCGTTCACTCGCCCCTCGACGACCACCGGCGCAGGCCGTTTTCCTCAACGCCACTTCTCTCCATTCTTTTCAATCTTTCTGTTCGATTCACTCCCTCCTCTTCGTTCTGATACACATTCTAGTATCGTTCTTGTTCCGTGCATCTTCGACTCTCCTTTTATAGCCTTTCCTTTAGTTCTTGTGGGGCGGGTCGGCACAGTGCATGCGGCAACGGCGCACCCAAACGGCTTTCATTCCACATCGTGTCGTAGTTGTTGTTTCTATTTCCAGCTGCAACGAATACTCCACAATACGCTTCTCCCTCTCTCTCTTCTGCCGTCTCTTCGTTGCTGCGCGAACTCAAAAGGGTTGCTGCCCTTCTTTTCCGTCTTGCATTTTGATCAAGTAAAGAAATCCACAAGTCGCAAATGAACCGACTTAGTCGCTTCGTGGCCGAGGAGGACGGGGTGGTCGCCCTCCCACTGTGCGTGTGGCGACTGCGCGGTCCGGGGCGGGCACGGCGTCTGCCACCCGGGTCGACCTACCGCTCCGCCGGGGCCGTGCTGCGCCGGGTGCTGCTGTACAACGAACACGGGCAGGCGCGCGTGCAGGTCGTCCGCAGCGACGGTCTCGACACCCCTAGAGAAGGCTCATTTGGTCGTCTCTCGTCTACCAAGACCACATCCACCACAGCAGCGGTTGCGGAGACGTGGACGACAGCCACCGGCGCACCCACAGCGGCCTTGGCAAGCAGAGGGATGAGCACGCCGGCGGGTGGCCACGACGCGGGTCCGGTGGCGGAGGGGAGGGACGAAGGTGGCGATGCCGGTCGATCGGCGCCCATGGCCAGCTCGAATGCAAAAGAGGCGCTCACGAAGAGCCAGCTACGGCGCGAGCGAGCCTCGACGTTGGTGGCCGAGACGGAGCGACGCTACGAGGAGGCACAGGAGTCGTCTCTGGCGAGTCTCCTGCAGACCCTGCCGCTGCTGCGCGTGGTGCCACCACTGAGTCTGCAGCAGCAGGCCTACACACGCGAGACCCTACCGTCGACGACAGCAGGACCCACCCACACCGCTGTCGCCTCTCACAACACGACGGGTAATACAATCAACGCGGCAGACGCCGGCTTCCCGGCATCATCCCGCTCAGCCATGAATTGCAATACGACTGGCAGCACGAACATCCTCACCAGCAATGTCCTGCAGGGCCACGCCTCGCCCACGGCGCTCCGCGCAGCGCAGGCGCGGTACGGCGGTGGTGGCGGCAGCGGGGCGCAACAGAGCGCTGCTATGCGCGATGGGCGAAGGCTTCGTTTGAGCTCCGCTATTGTGCTCAGCCAGGAAGAAACGGCGTTGATGGCCGTGAACGACGCACCACGCGGGCAAGCGGGCGCCACGACTACGACCGCCGACCCGCTGCCTTTAGCAGCTGCATCCGCAGGCCAGCGGTGTACGTCTCCTCCACCACCCTCTTCGCTTCCTTCACCATCGCCATCACTCAAAGACGCTGTTCTTCTTCCACTGGCGACTGACACCACTGCTGCCGCTGCTGCTGCCCCAGACACACAGGCATCCCCACTCCGCGACATCTTCATCGACGGTGGTCTCGGCGTGACAATCAAGCTGGGGTCGTCGTGCGACGAGCCGAACTCGTTGCGCTGTGTTGCCTGGGGCGGGTGTCGACCGGCGATGCTCCGCGCTGTTATCTGGCGTCTACTCAGCGATTACGCCCCTGCGCAGGTGGCTCGGCAGCACACGGAGCTGCAGCGCAAGCGCCGACAGTATGAAGGCTACACCCGTCAGTACTGCAGTGCGCTGACGATGCTGGCCGTCAGTGAGGCTTCTGCGGCGTCGTCGCCGTCGGCCGCATCGACGCCGCAGCTCTCTGCCCCACCCCTTTCGTCCGGGTTCGGCGGCGCCGTCCACCTCGGCTCCGTCTCGCTCTCTCGCCTGCCTGTCCCGTCGAACCCGCACAACTTCTCGCGGAAGAGCCCTGACATCTACAACCCATCTGGACGTGGCGGCACGAGCAGCAACGTCAACGTCGCAGCTGCCGCGTCGCTCGCACCGCATGAGCGGGCGATCCTGCACCAAATGCTGCTGGACCTGCCACGGCACCAGTCGCCAGTCTTCCACGCTCGCCGCGCCGTAGCGGGCATGGCGCGGTGCCTCTTCCTCTGGTCCCAGCGGCATCCTGCGGTGGGGTATGTGCAAGGCATGGACGACGTGGTGGCCGTTTTTTACCAGGTGTTTTTGACGGACGCACTGCGGCAGCACGCGCGAGAGCAGCTGGCTCGATGGCAGCGGCAACGTCGTTGTTCATCGACCTCCTTACCTCAATCCACCATGCTGCCACCGCCCGCGCTAGCGTTCACCGAGGCGGCGGACGTGGAAAACAGCGGGGACGATAACGTAACTGCGGCGGGAGCGGAGGAGGCGCAGGGCGGCAGCGACCGCAGCACGCGTGACATTATGCACTTTCTACTCGCTTCGGTACATCCGCACCGGCCGCCCACATCGGCATCGGTGCCGTCGACGCCGAACTCTGTCACGGCTGCTGCCACCGCTGAGTCCGCTGCGGCGCTTTCGTCAAGTGTGTTCAGCAGTGCATCCGCCTCTCTCTCTCCCTTTCTGACGGAGGCAGACGTTGATGTGCGCTTCCGCACTTCTGCTGCCCTGGACGCCGCACTCGCCGATCTCCCGGAGAGCTACCTCACCCAAGTAGAGGCGGACACCTACTTCTGCGCGGGGCGCATGCTGTCCTTCTTGCAGGACAACTTCATGACGGGTCAGCCCGGGATCCTACGCGGTGTGCGACGGCTCGAGTCCCTCGTGCGTGTCGTTGACCCGGCGGTGGTGACCTTCCTCGGCGCGTACGGCCTTACGGTGATGGATGGGTGCTTTCAGTGGCTGCACTGCTTGCTGGCGCGGGAGTTGCCGTTATCCTTGCTGCTGCGCTTATGGGACTGCTACTTGGCGATTGGTGTGGGGGGCGACCAGCCGATGGGTCTCAGCGCATCTCCCGGTATGTCGACCTCTGCGGTGCACGCGAGTACTAGCACTAGTGGTAGTGGTGGCGGGGGCGCTGCCTCTTCCAGTGATGAGGCAGTTATGTACTTCCACGTGTGTGTCTGTTGCGCGTTACTGCGAGCCTTGTGCACGAATCTGATGGGCGGGGCAGCTGCTGCTCCTTCCACCGCCGCCCCCACTACAACTCCAGCGTCGCCCGGCACGATGGTGGGCGGGTGGGCAGCGGCGTTGGTCACCGCCTTGCCGAGTTTCCGCACGCGGGCGCCGCAGAACAGCGGAGAAGGTGGCGGAGACGCCGCCGCTGCTGCCGCTTTGCGTGCAAAGCCGTCCATTGACGTCGTGATGACGACCATGAAGCGTCCATTTGAGGCTCTCTTCCCAAAATACCCCTCCACCGCTGTGCGGCAGCAACGACTGGATGCGGAGCTGCAGGGCGGCGTCGCTTCTCGTGGGACCCTGACACGACAAACATCGCCGTCGGAGGAGTCGAGTGAGGCGGCAGCGGCGGAGCGCTGGCTTGACCTGCTTATTGCGGACGCCTACTGCATCTGGCGCCTACACCCCTTGAGCTCTTAAAGGAGCGTCTTCTTTAGAAACCGCTTTCTCTCTCTTGCTCATTTTTTTTTCTTGCTGAGCGCAGCGACACGCGGCGGAGGTGCGGAGATGCACTGGTCCTTCACCGTATCGTTATCTTCTCCCCACTTGCAACAACGGACGTGACCCAACGGATGAAGCGGAAGTACCAGAAAGGAAATAAAAATACAGGTCATCGTAAAACGATTGATTGGGACATAATGCCTCTTCTTGAAAATGCCGCGCGACATGAAAGAGTATAAAGCAGAAAGAAGGACCGAACGCGGACACAGCAGCGAGACAACGAAAACGATGAGGGAGCTTCGCCTTTAGCTGATTGAGAAAGCGTTGGCAAAACATTCATTCATTCACGCACACACAGTGATGATAGTGGTAACAACGTGGCTCTCTTTTGCGCTCTCAGCTTACTCAACTTCTTCTCTTCCTTTTCTTCATCTGCCCTCTTAATTTCTCCCGATGACTTTCACTGCTGCTTCCAAACACGACCTTCGCGGAATCGCTTAACGTCACGCCCATCAAAAAACTCTCTTACCCCGCCTTCAACAACATCAACACTCTTTAAAAGAGAAAAAAAGGAAGAGTGCATTAAGCTGCAGCGGTGTTTGACGCTCCGTGAGAGAGACAGTTTTACCCTTTGTCCTTTTCTCCATCTTATTCTTCTTTCTCGTCTCCTAAGTACTTAAACAACACAGGAAAATACATTTAAGCAGCAATGGGTGTCAAGTCCAAGAAGAAGGCCAAGACACGCTTGGACGCGTACTACCGCCTGGCCAAGGACCAAGGCTACCGCGCGCGTTCCGCGTACAAGCTGATCCAGCTGAACCGCAAGTACGACTTCCTCGCCAAGTCACGCGTGTTGGTGGATTTGTGCGCGGCGCCGGGTGGTTGGTGTCAGGTGGCGGCGCAGCACATGGCGATCGGCTCGAAAATTGTCGGCGTGGATCTCGTCCCTATTGCCCCGATTCGCGGCGTTAAAACCTTCGTCGGTGACATCACGGATGACAAGACTCGCAAGATCATCGTGACTTACCTGAAGAAGGAGCCGGTCGACTGCGTGATTCACGATGGTGCGCCGAACGTCGGTGGCGTCTGGTCACGTGACATGTACGATCAGAACGCCCTCGTGCTTGCCTCGGCGAGGATGGCGTGCTCGATGCTGAAGCTCGGCGGCTGGTTCGTCACGAAGGTGTTCCGTTCTCCTGACTTCCACAACCTGCTGTGGGTGCTGAAGCAGCTCTTCGACAAGGTGGAGGCCACGAAGCCGCAGGCCTCGCGTATGGAGTCCGCCGAAATCTTTGTCGTGTGCGCCGGCTACAAGGCGCCGAAGAGCGTCGATCCTGCCTTCTTCAGCCCACAGAAGGTCTTCGCGGAGGTGGGGGCGGAGAAGGTGATGACCCCGTCCGGCATGCTCGTCACACCCAAGAACAACGTCCCGGCGGGCTACGACGAGTTCGCCACCGTCTCGCACCGCGTCGCGTCCTTTTCCGATTTCCTGCGCGCCGACGACCCCAAAGGCTTCTTGAAGACCCACCACGAACTCCGCTTCAGCGACGACGCGGATAAGGAGTTCCTGAAGTCGAAGAGCTCCAAGAAGGAGTTGGTGTACCTCTGCGGCGACCTCCAGCAAGTGGGCGAGGCGGACCTCCGCCGCATGCTGCGCTGGCGGGAGCAGCTGCTGAAGGAGAATGCGCGACAGCTGCAGATGGATGCTGACGGGGAGGAGGCGGAGGCTGAAGAAGGCAGCGATGTGGACAGCATGGATGGTGACGCCGGTGGCGACCGTAGCAGCCGCAGCGAGGGCGATGACGACGACGCAGATCAGGACCGCAATCGTGACTACCACTTCGACTTCGACAGCCCAGAGGGCGTCACGCAGATCGCGCGCGAGCTGCTCGAGGTCCGCAAGAAGAAAGCAAAGGAACTCAAGAAGAAGCAGAAAAGAGTCGTGGATCGAAAGCTGAAGCAGATCAAGGGGCTGATCAACTACGATCCGAACATGAGCGCCGAGCACATGACGGAGACAGACGGGTTCGATTACAAGGGCACCAGCACCGACGCCTTCGACAGGCTGGACAGGTCGGGCCGGCACCACCGCAGCGGCACCGCCGGTAGAGGGGAGGAAGACGACGACGACGACGTGGCGGCAGGCGGGGAGCCGGACGAGCTGGACAACTTCACCGTGGAGCAGCTAAGCCGCATCCCCGAGGACGAGCTGGCGCGGATTATGGACACCACCCTCACAGAGCAGGCCGATCACGGCAACGATCCGTTGAACCCGGTCGTCTCCGTGAACCTGGCAGCGCAGGATGATTGGGACCTCGGCGACGGCGAGGAAGGCACCGCCGCCACTGCGGAGGAGGCGGAGCCGCACTCGAAGCAGCTCGTGGAGGGGCAGGAGTACTTCATCGATGTCGACAACTACGGCAACTACGTGCCGGCGGAGCGCTCCACTCGCGTCACGCTGTACGAAGCCGGTCTGGAGGGGGAGGACGAGAGGGAGGATGGAGAAGCGGAGGACGAGGAATCCCCTGTTGCAAAGAAGAAGCGCGCCAAGGCGGAAAAGGACGCGGCGCAGCTGGAGGAGGCCGGCAAGAGCAGCAAATGGCAGCGTCATCAGCTCAACGTTGAGAAGATCCTCAACGACACCTTCCCCACACCGAAGAACCACGACCGCGTCAAGAACAAGAAGCGCCAGCGGGCGTTGGAGGAGGAGATGATTACGATGAGCGCATCAACGGAGCTGGCTGACTTTGACAAGAAGAAGCACACCCGCACTCGTTTTGAAGACCACAGCGACGATGACGATGACGATGACGATGACGATGATGGTGATAGCAACGCGTCGGTGAGTGACTTGTCCGACGAGCTCAGCGACGGCGACCTCGACGGGTACGAAATCAATCGCGGCCGCGAAGACAGTCGCCGAAAGCGCAAGATCGTCCCCGACGTGGGCAAGCTCACGACACAGGAGCTCGTCCGCCAGCAGCGCAAGCAGACGCTGCGGGACAACAAGGAGGTGCGCACGCAGAACAAACGCAACAAGAACAACATGAATGGTGCCAAGAAAAAGGGCGCGAAAGGGAAAGAGAATACCGAGTTCGAGGAGATCCCGATCGCCATGACGGACCCGGACATCCGCGCCCGCACACTTGCGATCGCGCAGAAGATGTTAGACCCCCAGGCACGTCGCGCAATTCTCGACGCCTCGGTTAACCGCTACGTCTTCAACGACGACGACGACCTGCCGGACTGGTTCGTGAAGGATGAGCAGCGTAACTGCCGTGTGGTGCTGCCCGTGACGGCCGAGGACATCGAGGAGCAGCGCCGCCGCTTCCAGGAGCTCAACGCACGTCCGAGCCGCAAGGTTATGGAGGCGATGGGCCGCAAGCGCAGAAAGGCGGAGCGCATGTTGCGTGGCCTGATCGAAAAGGGTAAGGCGGACCCCCGCGCACGTGAGAAGTCGGGCAACCTTAGTGTGCGCAAGCTCATGCGTGCGCAGGTGATCAAGGGACAAGCCAAGAAGAAGCACAAGTACCTGGATCGCCAGCAGATGGGCCGCATGCGTCGCGATCGTGAGAAGGCGAAGCGCGACAGGAAGAAGAAGTGAGAAGACATAAGTACATGCATATCAACACGCTCGTCGTCACGCTAAACACTGGAGAGACAGGGGCGTAGTAGCAGCACTGACGGGTGACAGTCGCGATCGCACCTGCGTTTATCCTCTCTTTTTCTTTTGTTTCTGCTGTGTGTTGTCGTGGGGGCGTGCGTTGCAGCTGTGGTGGGAGCTCTCCTCTTGTCTGGTAGCGGCTGGAGGGCTCAACGGGTGGAACTTCAGCGCCTTCTCTGTGTTGAAAAGAGAAGAAAAACTAACAAAAGGAAGGAAAAGAAGAGGAGGAGATGAGGTTTTTTTTTCTTGCTGATTTCTGTTGTTTTCATCTTTTTCCCTTAAATAAGAACCGTTAAAAATGCTGTGCATTCCCAGCCGATTAAGAAGCAATGGAAGCAACTACAACAAAAGAAGTGCCTCTCTTTTTTATTTGTTTTATTGCTTCTCTGCGGGCGCCGTCACCGAGGCGCTCGAAAGGAATATGGAAGAGATGGAGAACACATCAGCGGGGTGGTGGTTGCTCCTTGGTCGTCTAGGTGTCTTTCGCGCGGTGCCTCCGAGGGGTGACTGCGTCTGCAGGAAAAACAGTGAAGAGGGGACTTGTAGTACTTTATTTGTTTGTCTCTGTTCTTTATCTCGAGTAATATCTTGATGGCTTGAAATAAGTTGTCGTGCGTGATGACGTACCTGTTTCTAACATAAGCAGCTTTACTGCACTAACATGAAAGCAGCAAACCGTAACGTGAGGGGGAAGGGATGTGGTCGAGGAAGTGCCGCTGAAATCTGCCGGCTGGCTTCGTCGTCATCGGTGTCGGCCTTCTTTTTTGCTCTCTCTCTCTTCGCCGTTGGTGCACGATCTTTTTTGCCGTATTACTCTGGCGGTGATACGCTTCCTTCTCCTCCTTTCTTTGTGTTGACAATTTGAAGGAAGTTGAATGATAGCGAAATCCGTGTGAAGACGGGGGAGCAAAGTGCGATGAATGAGAGCGCTGCAGCGTTGAGTGCATTTTGCGTCAACCCGCAGTCCGGCCAATACGTCGGCGAATGATCCTGTTTTTGTTTCTATTATCATGCCCCCCAAAAGTACGAGGAGGTGCTGCTCTCTCTACACCGGCGATGTGTGTTGTCTCTCCTCTTCTTTACCTTTTGGCCCTTTCTTTGAAACCGCAAAAATAACTCCATCGACACCTCGTCACACACCCACCCATACACGTGTAATCAAAAAGTTCTCCTACCGATACCGACACGCGCACCGTGAGTCCTTCAGTGTAAAAGAGAAAAAGTGTTTCTTTAGATTTCTTATCTCTTTCTCTGGCGCCGCTGGATCGTAGGTACATCCGTCAAATCAAGAGCGATAGAACTGGGTCAAGATGGGCAAATACACGATGCTGCACAACATCAACAAGGTGTTGTGCGTTCTTCTCGATGACGGGCGGAGCATCAACGGCAAGCTTCTCGTTTTCGACAAACACATGAACGTCGTACTGGGCGACGCAACCGAGGAGCGGCCGCGCTCGAAGCGGGCGATGGAGGAGGGCACACCCGCACCGACTCGTCAGCTGGGCCTGATACTGCTTCGCGGCGAGCATGTGGTGTCCGTCACGGTGCTGAAGGACAGCGCAAACGGCAGTGGGGACGCGGTTAACTTTAGCAAAGCGCCGAAGTCGGCCAAGGCTGGCGCAGTCAAGCGGAAGCGCGAAGAGTAAAATGAGAATAATAAAAAAGGTCTGCACAACTGCGCTGCACCGACGCTTTTACCTCTGCATGGCTCATGCGTTAAAAAAGAAAGCAACAACAGAAGGATTCATGAGCTGATAGCTTTCATGCTCAGCAGAACGATGCGTTGCCACGAGGCACGCCGCACGGACTCCCCCCCCCTCTTTCTTGGCAGCGCAGTAGCTGCGTGTTCCACGAGGTTTTCGATGGAAAGCGGGTCGTTTGCCGATGACACCATCTGCGGTGGTCGTTGGAGCGGTTCATCGTTTGCTGGTGCGTTTTTATTCCCTTTTTTTTGGTTGTCTGATGGCCGTTGGTGTTGTGAGGACTCGAGGTGTGGGGGTTCTGAAGAGGTGAATAAATTTGCGGATTCAATGAACGCAGGCTACGAGCTGAAGACTGTGCCTGCGCTTCTCTGTTCCAGACTCCCATTTGATAACTGCGATACCCCGACCGGGAGGAGGGGTGGTGGTGGTGGTGGAAACAGCGATTGAAAGCAAGTTGTCCAACCGACGGGCCTCTCTGAGAGCTTTAACAAGGAAGCCCCTCTTTTTTCTGGCTTCGCTACACAGAAGGCCGACTGCGAAATATTAAGTTACGACTTTCAACATTCCAAGCTGACCCCCTGAGAACCCAACAGCGTTCCTCTCTCTCCTTCTTTCCTCTTTCTCTAATGAAATTTTGCACTTAGATTTCGGTTCCGTTTCTTATTTTAAATTTCCACTGTTGCTCTGCCGTTTGGCTGCTGTATTGCTGATCAGTGTGTCTCGCAACTCGTTCTATCTTTTCTTTTTATTTCGTAGCTGCACGACGTACCCCTTCGAGCAGATGAGCGCTTCGCGGACGCCGGTGCACGCCGGCTCGGGCCACAGCAACAGCAGCAGCGCTGCTACTCCCGCCCCACCGAAGATGAAAGCCACGGTCCCGCTGACCTCCGTCGACCACGGGCACGTCGCCACTCGCTCCTCCAGCGATAACCGCCACGCGCCGCATGCCGCCAGTAGCCGCGGCAACCAGCTGAACTCGCCTTCCAGCCGCAGTAAGCGCGACAGCCCTGCCGGCACGCCGACGCACCACACCAAGAAAACCAACTCCGCGGGTGAACTTGACGAAAACGGCGCCCCTCCGGCTATGCGACGCAGTGGAGGGGCCGCCGCGGCCGCCGCGGCAGAGAATAGTAGTGCGGGAGTGAAGGCATCGGACGCCGCCACCGAGAAGAAAGGGCGACGAGGGAGTTTCAAAGGTACCGCGAAGTGGTTCGAGGGCGACAAGACCAACCGACCCGCCGACAAGGAGCTGAATAAAGATGTAGGAACGGTGAGCGACGGGGTGGCCGATCAGGAGCTCGCGCGGGGGGAGCAGGCGGAGCGGGCGCAGCGGCAGGCGGAACAACTCGCCCAGCGCATCGCCAACCCGCCGACGGGATTTCAGGCGGCGCTGCCGCGACTGAACGAGCTGGACGTCACGAACAGCTGGGACAAGCTGCTGCGCATGATCCGCAACGAGTACGACATGTCCTGCCTCACCAACTGTCTTGCACGGGAGCTGGACGAGGACGTCGCGTGGAATCCAGAGCTGCTGCTCGTGCAGCTCACCTCCGACATGATGGATGCGGCAGACCTGCAGAAGGACAGTGAGGTGTACGTGCCGGTCGACGCCAGCGATATCGGTCAAATGAGGGGTGGCGAGGTGGTGCGGAAGAGGGGGGAGAAGGTGGTGCCTGCGCAGAGTGCTGGCGGTCCGGCACCGGAGGGGGCTGCCGCTGCCGCTGGCACTGCAGGTACGGCGAGCCCCAAGCCGAAACTAGGGTTTACCGCACCCGATCCTCAAGCGAAGCCCTCTCCGTCGAAGCAGCAGACCCCTGCGGGGCCGAGGGCGGCAGCAGGGACAACCAGCCCACCCCCAAAGAAAGAAGAAAGGCCGGCCGGTCCCAAGAGGAGCGGCATGAAGACCCTCTTTAAGAAGTGAAGAAAGAAACGTGCCTCATTTCTTTCCTCTTTGCTGTTCTTTTCCTTTCGCAGGTGCAACCGGCGGTTTCATGCTGTGGCGATTTCCGTAGATCGTGGCTGTTGCATTGTGCAACACCTTTTATATGTTTCTTTTCTTCCCAATGCGTGACTGTGCGACTCGCATTCTCCCCCCTCATGTACGTGTCCGTCATTGGATGGCTTCTTCATCTTCCTTCGTTTTTCCCTCTGTCGTTTTGGATGTTCATCTCGCGCCAAACTTGCCGATCTTCGCGTGCTCTTTCTCTCTTTCTGATTTCCAATCGTACGCAGCATATCTGCATGGAAAAAAAAAAGGAAGAGGAAGATAAAACAAGAAAGGAACCCCGCGCGTGCAGTACGAACACAGTTGTACCTCAGTTTCCTTTGACGTCGCTGGGAATTGACGCAGCCGTCGTGGTCGCCCGTCGTCAACTGCTGGAGGAGAAGAATGGAAGAGCAGCGTATTACTGCTGTTGTTGCGGGACATGCGCATTGGCGGCAAACCTGTCTGAATTCCCCGAATGGCGTTGATGACTGCTATCCTGCTCTTTAACATAAACGATCACAAAAAGCAACCTACATCAACTTTTCTCCCCTTCTCTTCCTCGGTTTGAACGTAACGCTTCCATTGCCGTGCCTAAAAGGAAAGCATCGACTTCTCCCTCCTTTCACATCCACTGCTCGCTGACCGGTCACAAGTTTTTCATTCTTTTTTTTTCCTCCCTGCGGGTCTTACGAGCTGTGGACTGCACAACGGAATCCAAATTAGGCGAATCGCTTTCACGTGTGTGGTGGTGCAGGTAAGTAGAGAGCGGTCATCGCAAGACGAACAACATCGCATTAACTGCTCGTTTCGCCGCTCCGCACCTGTCACACCGAACCCAGAGACGGGGCGAGGAGGCTTTTCCAGACTCTTCACGCCTGATCTGATCCTAATCAGTTCTCGCTGACTTGACCGCCGATAGAACGCTGATAGTGTTTTCTTTCACGTTCGTATAGCTTCTGAAGCTTCAACCAAAAAGCAAGAAGGTAAAGATCGCAACGATGAAGAAGGTTCTCGTGCTGAACGGCGACTCCTACGTGGGCCGCCACGTGGTGAAGAGCTTCTACCAGTCGCAGGAGTACGACGTTGAGATCACCCGCACCAAGTCGGATGCACGAAACGCCGCGACGGCGGGGGCAAACGGTCAGATGTGGGCGGATGCGGCAACCCGCGTCGGGGCTCTCCCCACAACGTCCTCCCTCGACACCGCGGCGGACATCCTCAGCGCGCGGGAGGCAGAGAACGGCCCTTGTGCTGCTGCTGCTGCTGCTGCGTCTCGTTCGCATCAGCAGGAAGCAGCGCAGCGCGCCGCCCTGCCAGCCGACATTCAACCCTGTGTGTGCGGCGTCGTGCCGAAGCACAACGACGACACCGAGGCCTTTCGAGTTCGTTTACTCGCTAACGATGTGGTCGTGGCGGTGATGGAGGACGACGCCTACGAAGCCACCTGCGCCATTCGCATTCTCGAAAGCACCCACTACGAGGTGGAAAAGACGTTCGTGCTGGTCTCCTCGGCTGTCACGTGGGCGTACACGCTCGAGTCGGAGCGCGCGCGGGCCCGGCTGACACGGCAGCGCGAGCGGGACGAGGCACGCGACAGCTTCTTCCGGGAGCTCCTCGAGGCGGAGGAGGAGGGGCGAGAGGACTACGACGACGAAAGCGCTACTGCCGTTGCCGCGCGCACGGCTCGCCGCGCTGCTCGTCGTCGCGAGCTCGAGCCGCGGCTACCGCCCTCCCTGCGTGACCCCCTGCCCGGAGAGGACGAAGCGGAGATTCGTGAGCTCGTCCCCGACCGCGTCTTCACCGAGGAAGGCTACGCGGCTCGTGTTCCACACCCCCGCTTTCAACACTGGCACGCGCTGGAATACCTGGTGAAGCGCGCCAACACGCAAACGCTGCACACGTACGTCGTCTTTGCCGGCCTGCCCTACGGTGCCGGCGAAGGGGAGGCGGCGCTCTACGGATTGCTGCGCAGCGCGTGGCATCACCAACCGTTGCTCCAGTACGGGCCCGGAACGAACGCGATTCCCATGATTCACGTGCAGGACCTCGCCGCCATTCTCTTCAAGCTGGGCAACTCGTACGACACCCTGGACGAGCGGTACATGTTTGCGGTGGATCAGGGACGAGTGACGCAACGGCAGCTCTTGCAGGCGGTTCGCGCGACGCTGGGTGGGTCGGTGCAGCCTGCTCGATCCAGTCAACACGCGTTGTGCGATGTGGCAACCTCCGTGAAGGAAGCAACCGTGGCAGCAAGCGGCGGCCCCGAGGCGAACCACGCCCACGTTAACACACTGGAGTCCTCCTTGTCTGCGCCTTCCAACCAACTAGCGGCGACTGTCCCTGGCTCCACTTTGGGTGCTGCCACTCCAGCCGCTAGACCCCTTCGCACCTCTGCCTTCAGTGCGAATTTGACGAAGCTGGATCGGCTAGAGTTGCCGCCTCCCTCGTCCCCGCAGGACCTCTTTCGGGTGTTTGGCAACGAGCCGTGCTGGGGGGACGGCGGCGTTCTGCTCTCCGCCTTTGTCCTTTCCGACATTCAGGCGGAGCCGGCCGCGGTGCTGAACCTGCACCCGGCGGAGGACTGGGTCGCGTTGGAAGGCTTTACGATGAGCCTCGACCTCGTCCTCGCTCAGTTCCGCGAGGCGCACGAGCAGCTCTTCCGCCCAGTGCGCGCCCTCATCACCGGGCCCCCGCTCTCGGGTGCGGACACCCTCGCTGTCGCCGTCGCCCAGCGCTGCCACGCACCGTTCTTGCCCGTGTCGACGGTCGTGCGGGATTACACGGCGCACGTCGCGGAGGTGCGGGCGGCGCTGCGGGCGCTGCTGATGCGTCGGCTGCAGCGACGCCGTGCGCGGGTGCAGGCCCGCCTCGTGCGGCTCGCCGTACAGGAGAAGGAGGCACGGCGCGCTGCGCTGGCGGCGAAGCGGCGGGCGAAGCGAGACGCAAAACGCGCCAGAAACCGGAAGAGACGTGGACAGGACGGTGCGGCTGCAGGAGGCGGCGACAACGACAGCGGAGAAGATGACCTCGAAGACGACGACGACGACGATGAGGGCCCGACGGCGGAAGAGGAGGATGACACGGTGGATGAGGAAGACCTCGCTGGCGAGGACTCGCTGCACTCCTCCATTTCTATTTTTATCCCTCCCAAGGTCCCGGTCGCGTCAGATGACGGCGAAGACGGGGAAGAGGCGGGTGATGAGGAGGAGGGATTGACTGGCAACGGCGACGAGTCTCCGTCGTCAGGCCGCCACCCGCAACGCGCCCCACTTCGACCCGTGGAGGAGGTCGTGGACGAGGCGTACATCCGCGGCGGCGGCGGCGGCGCAGACGGCGATGAGGAGGCTGGTATGATCGACGAGGAGCAGGAAGAGGGCGAGGACGTTAACGGCAATGGCGAGGCTGATGGTGTCACGTGGCTGGACCAGCTCGAGGAGCAGGACGCAGAGAAGCAGGCGGAACTTCTCGAAATCCAAGACCTGCTACCTGAGGAAATGAGTGATTACGCAGGGGAAGGCCTGCAGCCGTTTGTGATGCCACGATTTGCGGCACGTCGTCGCGGGCGCGACTTTGCGCGTGACGTGGACCGGCAGGAGCGGCGCTGCATCCACGCGCTGCGTCGTGAGTACGTCTTAGGGCTGCGGGTGCTTTCCCTGAAGGTGTCAGCGAAGGACGGCCGGCTGCCGCGGCCCCTGCCGCCACCGATGTCCGGCGATGACGACGACGAGGATGGCGACCACAATAGGGACAGCGTGAAGGGGGTGCCGCACAAGTCTGCGGAGGAGGACGCGGATGAGGAGGGCGAGGACGGATCGGAAGAGGGCTCGCACGAGGACAGTGACGGCGCGGCGGAGGACCAAGGTGAGGAGGCGGCCAACGAGGGGGACGCCTCCAACTCGGAAAACCAGGACGAGGAGGGCGACAACGATGATGACGACGTTGACGATGACGACGGCGCTTCATTAGCGGCTGCGGCCGAGGCGGAGAACGTGCTGGAGGCTGCAAGGAACGAGGACGCGTCGAACTACTTGGATCACGCGCTGGCCTTCATGCTCCGCTGGCGGCTGCGGCAATCGGACTGTCGCTGCCAGGGCTACGTGCTAGGCAACTTCCCCCAGACTCTCTCGCAGGCCGTTTTGTGCTTCAAGGCAAACGAGACGGAGCTGGAGGATGCGGAGCTGCGACGCCAGCGGGCGTTGGCCCCGCTGCTGACTCGCTTAGATGATCACGAGAGCAACAGCATCGACGTGGCGGCAGAGGCGGCTGGTGGTGGCGGTGGAGGCGAGGAGGGGGACGAAGAAACCCCGCTGCCGCCCCCGCTGGATGAGGACTTCCCTTTACCAGATATCGCAACGATGGAGGAGGCGCAACTGCGTGCGTTGGAGAAGGCACACTGGCGGGCCCGCGGCGGCAGCAGTGCTGTTGCTGCTGCTGCTGCTGATCCTGCGGCGGCTGGGGCCTCGGAGGTCTCAGACGGTGAAGGTGAGGAGGCGACAGAACCGGAGCCGGAGGAGGTGATGGCACCGGTGGATGAGGCGCTTTTTGTGGACCACGTCGTGAGTCTGCAGGCGAATACGACGCTGCTACGCGCTACCGTGGAGGCGATGGAGACGAACCTGAAGGTGACTGCGGGCGCTTCGCCCTCGGCCCCGTCAGAAGGGCAGCAACAGCAGCACGCAACGGCGTCAAACGACGAGATCCACGCCTTGAACGCTTTACGGAGCCTCTTATCCAGTTCCCCCTACGCAAGTCAGTTGGACGATTACCTGCGTCACCACGCGCCGACTGTGCCACCGACGCAGTCGCTGCTGGCGTGGCTGCGAGCCGTCACGACCACACCAGCCCTCGGTGCGCGCCCTGCGCCGGTCATCGTACCGCTTTCCAATGACGCGGCAGGGACCGATAGCTTCTCCAAGGCGGAGATGAGTGGCGGCGGCGGTGGTGGTGATGCCGCCGGAGCTGACGGAGCTGACGGTGTGACGACCACCTTGGAAGCCCCGCCCACCACGCGCACCGCGGAGGTCATTGCGGTGCCAGCCCCCGTACTCACAGTAACGCAGGTAAAGGCGAGTTGGTGTGTCGCGTACGAGGCGGCGCATCCGCCACGCAGCAGCAGCAGCAATACTGTCGCGTCTGCCCCCGCGCAGAAAGGAGAAGGCGTCACGCTGCTGGAGGAGGGGCTGCCGATCGCGCTGCTGCGCCTCGCCCCACTCTTCTGGATCGGTGGCGCCATGACGGACTCTACCTCGTCTCTGTCGCCGCGTCAAGCCAAAACGCGAGCTGCCGCTACTGCTGCTACTGCTGCTGCTGAGGATGGGAAGGCTGTGCCGCTGCCGTTGATGGAGTTGCAGCGTGGGCTGTGTGAGCGCCTCGCACCACGACGACGGCTTGCCGCGTGCGCCGCCTCCTCTGCCGCTGCAGAGAAGGAAAGTCCAAAGCCTTTGCCGACCCTTCCCACCCCGACCACGATGACGACACCGTTGCAGGCCACACCCACGGTGAACGACGAGAAGGTGCTCACCACCATCGCACAGGAGCGCAAGAAGCTCATGGATCTCGAGAAGCGGGAGGTGCAACTGGAGGACATGATCGCCCGAGAAGGCGCGGCGCAGGTGGCGCAGGAACGCACCGCACTGCGCAAGCTGCAACTCGCAGAGGAGAGCCGTGATGCCGCGGCACTGCTGCGGGTGCCGGCAGAGGCATACTTGATGAAGTACGTTCTGCCCAGCTTGACACCGGCCATGACGGAGGTGGTGCGGACGCGCGCAGACGATCCGGTGACGGTGCTGGCGAACGTGCTCTTCGACTACCACCGCCGTACGACGATCTAAAAGAAAAACTGAAAAGAAAGCGACGCCAGCAAAACAGTTTGTACTTCGTCTTAGACGTCGTCGTTCGCAGAGCTACCGTTTTCTTCTCCCTCTGCGGTGCAGCGTAGTTGTATTCCTCATTCAATTTGTCTGACGCCCTCTTCTATTATCCTTTTGTTTCTCCTCTCGTGCGTGGGAGGAGGCGAAGAGGAAACGACAAAGCGGAGGCAAAGGCCGAGGACACATCTCCGCAACGCTGTGTCACCGCACAAATGGAGAAGAGAGATGTAAAAAAGTTTACCAATATACATACAATGTATTTTCTGATGTATTGGCCGTTTGTTTTTTCATGTATGCTGCGAACTCCGGCAGACCCAACTGCCGTCTTTTACTTTATATATTTCGTTGTTTAACGTGTAGATGTAAGTCTTGCATGTGATGAGGAAAGGAAAAAATATTTGTCGATCACAACAATACGACGTGAAGAGAGCGGCAGGCACCCGCACACACCAGCCAAAAATAGGCGAGGCGAGGCAAGTCCGTCAACGGATCCGAAGCTGATCTGCTTTCGGTGGGTTTGACTTGCCCTTGTGGAAAAGGAAGAGAATAGGAGGAAAGTGAAGCTATGCAGCACTTTCTTGTTCTTCTCACGAGCAGTCTCCCGCTGACGATGTGCCAAAGAAGACTTTCGTTTGTTGGGTAAAGCGACACACGCAAAAAGCATTCAAACAATATATTTTTGCTTTTCGATTTTACTTCCCTCTTTTCGAATCTTTTCCTGCTTTGCGTACGACGACGACATTCTTCCGATGTCCCTTCTCTCGCGTCATCAACGCCATCCCCGAACAGCCATGTAAGAAGGGAGAAAGAAGCGTTCATCGTGTTTCTCTGGGTTTTCTATTTTGCACCCACGCTACGACAACAATACGAAACGGGCGAACCCATCCACCAAACAAATAAAACTAAATTGAAAAAAAAAATGCCTGTCAGTTCTCTACTCGAGCGCATGCGCAAGAAGCTCCAGGAGAAGGCGGCGGCAGCGGGTGGAAGCAAAAGCGGACCCGCAGACTCTACGAACGTCGGCAGTTCTAACACTGGCGAGGACGGTGCTCTCTCCAACTCTAACGCCCCTCAAAACAGCAGCAGTAATTACGCACCACCAGCTATGCCGCTTCCACCTCCGGTGTTCGCCTCACCGTCCTCCGCTCGCCTTGACTACCGCGACACGGCCAACGACCCCCTCTGTGTGCCCTTCACGGCCGATATGGCGGCGCCGATTCTCACGCAGCTTCTTCACACGTTTTCCCCGACTGAGATCGAGCCAGCAGATGCAGCGAATGCGTCTACGGCACCTGCCTCGACGGACAAACCGTCCGATGTGCCAATCGAATCCGAAAGGGAAAGTCCCACCTCTGCCACAGCACACTTCACCGCTGGCGTGCACGGAGATGCTCGGTCAGTGCAGCGCAGCACAGCCGTCGTGGACGAGGCGGCGCGGCACCTTCGCGAGTTCCTCGCCGTCGTCGTACACGACGATACCTCAGCCGCTGAAGCGAGTTCACCGGCTCCTTCCACGACCACCTCTACCACTCCCACCACAAGTCTTTATGAGGACACTGCGTACGTCAAGGCATGTGCGTTGGGGCGGGTCGACGTCTCCGGTGCGGTGCGGCCGATGTGTCGCGATGTACAGCGCTACAAGCGCGTGGGGTCCATCTCCCAAGGCGTCTACGGCGTCGTCTTCCGTGCTGTCGCTGCCGACGATGATGGCGATGCGGCGCCGAATAGCACCGACGAAGTGGCTAATTCGAAGACTGCGGTGCCGACGACGAACTCCTCCTCGGCCACCCCGTCATTGCCGCTACGCAAGTCCTATGCACTGAAGCACATCAAGAAGATGTGGCTGGAGGACTCGCAGATTGGCTTCCCGCCGTACCTCATGCGCGAGATAGACCTTCTCTTGCGTTTACGGCACCCGAATGTGATGGGGGCACGGGAGCTGGTACTGCTGGACCCCACGCCGCTCCCGCAACCGCGGCCGATGCTGGCGGTGTCGATGGGTCCCGCTTCTCACGTTGCGCACTCCCGTCGACGACCTCGTGAGGCCGTCGATGTGACGGCGGACCACAGTCCAGGCGACGCCTCGTCCGTACCACACCATCCCAAGCCGAGGAAGGATTCGCTGACGGCTGCGGCGTCGGACAGCGGCAACAGCGATGCTGCGTCTGCCCCTGCGCGTCCGCTCGCCGCCGTGGGCGCCGTGGGCGAGACGAAGGATGTCTTCTTAGTGATGGACTTCTGCCCGTTTGACTTGACCACCTACATGCGCCGCTACCGCACCACGCCGACTGGTCAGATTCCGTACTTTCATGTCACCTCCCGCAACGCACACCCTGGTGCAGCGGCAAACTACGTGGCGCGTGCGAAGTCGATCGCGTATCAACTGTTCAACGCCGTCGCCTTCATGCACGCCAATCGTGTGCTACACCGCGACTTGAAGACGTCGAATGTTCTGCTGGACGATGACGGCTACGTGAAGGTGTGCGACTTTGGACTTGGCCGGCTGTACCGCGAAGGCCAAAGCCTGACGCCGACGGTGGTGACGTTAATGTACCGTGCCCCTGAGCTGCACCTTGGCGTGGTCGACTACTCGCACAAGATGGATGTGTGGTCGCTCGGCTGCATCCTGGCCGAGCTATTTCTCCGCCGCCCCCTCTTCCACGCCTCGACCGACAGCAATCACCTACTCGCCGTGTGCGACGTCATCGGCATCCCCACGGAGGAGACATTCGCCGGGCTTTATCACCTGCCGCAGACGAAGGTGATGATGCAGTCGCTGCCGCGGTGGAATCGCGTGTCACGACTCGCCGATCTCTTCAAGCCGGGTGCCACGATGTCCACGCCTTCGCACGGCGACATGCCGGTGGCGGCGGAGGCGGCGCTGCTGCCTGCCGAGGGGCTTGAGCTGTTGCAGTCGATTTTTCAGTGGAACCCGCGTCGTCGACCCTCTGCGGAGGACGTCCTTCGACATTCGTTTTTCCACACGGAGCCGCTGCCCTGCGCGCCGGCGGAGCTGATGCACCCTGTCCCATGGAAAGACGCGGCACCACCGGCAAGCAGCAGCAGCAGCAACACGACGACCTCCCCCATCGCTGACTGTGCTCCCGGCCACGGCGATGACGTCGACGGGGGCTCCGCCATCATCGGAGGCAGCTGTCCAAGCAGCAGCCGGAGGAAGAGATGAGAAAGTCAACGACTCTGCGCCGTTGTCAGCGAATCAGAACAGGGCACACGCCTTACCCCACCTTGCTGTGGCTGCTGACTCCGCGAGCCAAGTCACGAGAAGCGGCGTGACGGCGAGCAAATCGACTCCAGAGGCCACAGCCAGTGACAACCCCAAGCACCTTGGAGGAGTAGCAGCACCGCTCTTGGTGACACCGCAGCCGATGGAGATGAACGGCCAAGGGAGTCTGCCGGGCGACGCGGACAGTCCAGCGAAAAAGCTGGAGCACCTAAACAAGCGCACCTTGGACGAGGAGGGTGATTTGGAGGCTGAACGCGAGGTGCGACTGGCGCAGATGAAGTTAAACCAAGACCTTGACGATGCGGAGGATGCACCATAAGCCGGACCCTAAAAACAACAACAAGAAAAGGAAATGATGGAAAGCGTGAGTTTCCACGGTGGCGTGGTCGTCCTGAACGACGTCTTATTCATTTTCCCCCTTTTTTAAATGCACTGGTACTATTACCAATGATTATAGACGCATGCGTTTTACGTATTTATTCTTCACCGTAAGGAAAGCGCCGTTCGAACATGTGTGACTTCGCAGGAGCGTTGTCTTCCTAGAGCTCATAACGTCAATGTTTCACTCAACAAAGAAAAAAGAAATCCTCCGCAGTAAACTCGTTTTGCCGCTTTATGGTATGTTGTACATGGGCGCTCATCTCGATCTGCACAACGAGACTTTCATTCCATGGACGAATCTGGCCTTTCTGTTCTTTCTGACTCCTCCACTCTATTCAGTTGTTGTGCACCTGGCGGAGGTAGCTGCTCTTCACACACGCGGCAACGCACAAACACAGCACGCGATACCTGCAACGTCTCTCCTTCCCTCTCTCTACGCTCCGTTGCGCCCTTTTGTTTTGGTCGCGCCGTCTCGTTTGGATGTTTAAGGGAGACCCACTCTCCTGCATCATCATCCTACAAACAACATCCTCCATGCACACACACAGTCACACACACAACAGCCTTATTTACAACAACTGATTTGATAGACGGACGTCGCGCAACTCGCAACATAAAGTTGCTTTGCCAAAGAGAGTCTTTTCCTGTTGTCGTTACATTAGAAATCTTACACTATGCAGCGCCGATAACACTGAGCAGATGTCTGATGAGATTGTATCTTCCGACCACGTGTCCGAGCCACCAGCGCCTTCACCCAGCACCGTTGATTCTTCAACTCCTGCCACGCTGCCGGACTCCTTTCACCTCCGACAGGCGCAGGCGCTGCACCGCTTTCTTCACCCCAGTCGAACGTTGCCAGACGAGGCGGCGGTGGCAAAATCGCCGGATTTATCGTCGGCGGAGGAGGACCGGGAGGACAGGGAGGAGGAGGGGGATGCCACTTATCGAGACGCGGTGCTGTTTGGTGCGGCATCTCAGTTCTGGCTGCCGAGCAGGACGGATAGCAGCTTCTCCGGTTCACACACACCTCCTGCTCCCTTGCCTCGGCCATCGGTGGTGCTTGGGGGAGCGTGTAGGGGCACCGTAGAGAGGCAGCGGAGTGCCGGTTGGCCCGCCGAGATGATGGTGGAGGCGGCTGTTGAGGGTAATCGGCGCGGCACACGGTATCCCGATACCGTAGGGCGGCCGGTGAACGATGAAGACGCACAGAGCACCGCCGAACGTACTCCTTTGCAAGAGGCGACCGACAGGGAGGTCGTTGCCTCCGTGGTGACGGCTTCATCGGCGGCGCTGCCTGGCAGCTCCCCAGCAACTAAAGCCGCTGCTGCTGTTCCTGCTGCTGTGCACGATGCCTTCCCTGGCACTGCATGTGAAGACGTCTCTGCGGCTTCGCGCAGTGCGGCATCTCCACTTCACGAACCCCACGTGGAAGCTTCGTCATCGCCATCGACAGTAGGGCGTACGAGGGCAACGAACCTCCAAGGGACACCAGCGCTGGTGGTGTGGAAGGCGGAAACGCGCTCTGTAGAGGATGGAGTCCACAACGTGCCGCAGACGTTATTTCCTTCTGCGTTGATGGGCAGGAAGGTGGCGGCGATGACTTCACCACGGGCAGCGGCGGACCCCGACAGACGCGGCGCCGCCGTCCAACAACAGAGGAGGCGATTTTCCATAGACGCCACGCCGGCACGTTACTCGGGCTATCATTCTAGCGAAAATGCAGATGGGCGCGACGGCGCTGGAGGTGAACCGGCGCTTGCAAATTCCAGCAGCGAGAGTGACAGCGAAGACATCTTCGACGACAACGGCGGTGGCAGCGGCTGTATATTTACTCTGTGTCTGATGTGCTGTACCTGGATCTACAGCCTATTACTGCGATGCTGTGGCGCCTGCTACAACTGCTGCCGCCACTGCCGCCTCACAGCTTCGTCTTTCCCGTCGCCGCGACGGGTCTTTTCAACGGCACTCGTGAGCGCAAACGAAGGCGACAACTATGGGAACGAAGACGTTGCAGATGCGGAGTCGCTGCTGCGCCGTCCTTTGCTGTCGGCTACCACGGCACACACAACGATCGCTACGAATATGAGTCCATACAGTTCGGGCCTGATTTCTCCTGCTATGGAGGAGGCTGCGTCGTCACGGCCACCACCACGCCGTCCTCTTTATTCCCCACCCGCGCAAGCATCATCGTCGGCATCGCCAACTCTGCCCCTCCCACGTGCGCCGACGCGGCGCGCAGTGCAGTCCCTGCGGTTCTCCGACGGGGAAGACCGCAGCTGCGATTCTGCTGGTGACATCGATGAGACCGGTGACAACGTAGCGATGCTTCAGGAGAGCGCGCAGCGACGACTACAACCACCACCACAACCGGCTTCTGCTCCTTTGATGCACTTCCCGCCTGCGTGGCAGCGGACAAATGTTGATGAAACACTGGCCGAGGTGGATAGCAACGGCGGCCGTCCGCCGGCGACGTCGCGACTGCGCCGGCTCGTGAAGAGGCTTTCCCGCTACTCACTGCGTGAGGTGTTGGCGTACTTCAACGTCTTTACAACGGCAGATGGCGCAGGCGTGCATGAAATAGCAGCTCATACCACCCAGGCGGCTGCTTTTGCGCACGCCAGGCGCCAGCGTGCTGGAGTTAGCTCTGCTTTCTCAGCGTCGCTCGTCAGCACGTCCTTTGCCGCCGATGCATCGCGTACAGACCATACGCCAGCGACTGGCAGTCCAACAGATTCTACTCATCCTCCTCCTCCTGCCGCGTCTGTTGCTTCTGCCGCCGCCCTTTCTGTTTTCACCAAACAACATAAAGAGCTTCCAAGCGTGTCCGCTGCTGGTCAGATCTTCGTTCTGCTGCATTATCTCGGCTTCGTGTTGCTGACGGTGGCGGTCATCGTGCTGGCCGTTTTTGAGTTTCGACACGACCTGGTGGCGGCGGTGCAGGACGAGACGGCGTGCAACCGCTTCCCCTATAAGGACCTCTTCCGACCAGACTTTTCGTTCAGCCTGATCTGTTTCTTTCTGAACAGCGCCTTTGCGACACACTACGCCCTGCGGGCCGTGCGCTACGAAAAGGGCGGGCTGCTGGTGGTGCAGGTGGTCATCACGGCGTTGCAGGTGTGCCGAGCCGCGTACTTTTTGCTGTTTGTCGCTGATCGGTATCTCCGTCGCTTTGACGACTCCAACGCACCACCGGACATCCCACTTCATCTCGTAGTGCAGCTGGCAGGCAGTGCGGATGGGCTGAGCGGCTCTACGCGAACACCGCCGTTTTCCGTAGATGAACCACCACGGCTGGTGCCGCTGCTGGTTTTTACCTGGGTGAGCGTCATCACAAGCGTGGCCTTGTTCTTTCTCGCCTCTCTGACCATTCCATGGGTCGGCGCAACTTTTGGCTGGCGGCGATACGCGCAGGGCATCGTCAGCGTCCGCCTCGAGCGGGTTCGTCAGCGGCTGACGACGCTACAGACCTGCGTTCAGCTGGACCGCGTCATCACCCTCAACGCGCACCTGGCGACGGTGTTTCTGCTCGACACGTGGCACGAGCAGCGCGAGCTGGTCCTTGTCACCGGCGCCACGCTGCTTCTCTACGCGCTGCTCGTGCCGACGCTGCGGCACACACGCCACTGGTGGCCGCTGCTGTGTGGCGGTTGTGTGCTGCTCGCCGTGAGCGGGTACTTCGCCGCGTTGATCGGCGACAGCCTTCAAAACGATTACCGCCTGCGTGCCATGTCGAGCTCCCCGTGGTACAGCGCGTGCTACACGGAGCAGCTGCCAGAGTGCTTGCGTCGGAGCTCTGTGGAGTACCCCATTTCAATTTATCGCGACGACCGTGGCGTAGGGCGGAACAACGCCTCTCTCAACGAGGCGAGTTACAAGTTATCGATTCAAGCTTTCAAGGCGTCTGCTCTCAACGCGAAAGCGTTGCCGGGCAGTTCTCTTGCTGCCATCGTTGGCTCTCCCGTGGAGACCACCTCACCAGCAGCAGCCATACCACAAACTTCGTTTCTGCTTGGCCTAGACCGCGTTGACAACACGTCGGACACGTACATCCCCACCTTCGGCGCCTTTCATGACTACTTCCGCATCTGTGGCTGCAACGAGACGTGCTTCTGTGAGGAAGAGGAGGAGAAACAGCATTTGCTGGTGCGCAGCATCGACCGCTGCTGCGGTTATTACGGGCAGTGCCGCCTGAAGGACGCCTACCGCACCTACGCGGTGATTCTGCTGGCGCTCTTGACGGTGCTGTCGTACGTTGTGCGGGTTGTGCTGCTGGCGGTAGCGTGGCGCCGGTCGATTGGCGAAGACGACGCGACTATTGAGCTCTTCTTGCGGGAGAAACAGGGGCGCCGTGACGGACCCCGCTGTGATCGTCATTTGCATTCGCAGCTGTCGGAGAAGCAAGAGCAAGATGCTCACAAACAGCTCAAGAGAGGGGACCTGCTGCCGCGGCCTCGTGCACTGCCCCGGACGAAGATGGAAGCCGTAGCTTCGACACCGAGTGAGGCGCTTGTGTGGAACCTTAACCAGTATGATGCGTGGCGCTACGAGTCTGAAGGCGGGGGAGTGCAGGCGGGTGTTGCCGGTGGTCGTGCTCCGCGGTCACTGACGTTTCAAAGCGCAGGTGAGAATCCGCTCTCTCGTTAGTCGGTGCGGTCCTGCCGGAATCGCTGTTTCCATAATGTTTTACCGCGTCCCAACAACAAAATATGCTCGCGTTATCATCAGGTTTGCAGCGCCGAATTTTTTTTTTTTGAAAGACTTCTTCTTGTTTTCTGTTGCCTTCCTTTCTGCTTCTAGTGTAATATATATATCTCAATGTACGCTAATCGAAATAATAATAATACATAAAACCTCCCACTCTCACGCAACTCCGCTGTGCGCAACGCTGGTACTCTGTTCTTTTCCTTCCCTACGCGCAGCAGCTCTACCGAGACATGAATGCACTAGCTGCGTCGCGGTGCGCCTTCTCGTACAGCGTAGGAACATGTAAACAGAAGACTCGTCGGCTCACTGCGATAGCGGGGCTGATTGTGTCTCACACCGTTTTTTTTTTTAGCATTTTCGCTTTCCCTCTCCTACGCCTTTTTTCCTCGCGCGTTGCTCTTCGTCGGCATCTTTTTTCGGCTACAGCTTAAACAGAATTATTATCCTTACTCTTTTAAATACGATCGCCGCACGTCAACAACAGAAGTAAGGTAGACAAGAAAAGCGAAAAAGAAAGATGACGGAACAGGTCACCAATGAGAACCTTCAGATTCTCCTCACCAAGCTAATGACGGACCGCTTCTGCTCCCAAGAAACGAGTGACCTGGACGCGTGCATTCAGAACTACGTCCCGCAGAACATCGATAGTAGTTACGTGGATCAGAGCCTGCAGCGCAAGGGCATTAAGCGTTGCAAGCCCTACCAGGAGGTGACGCGCAAGTGTTTAGAGGATGACAAGAAGCAGACGGCCATTTTCCGCGCAGCGGCGATGGCGCCGACATGCAAGCGGGAGCAGCGTGCGTTGCAGCGCTGTCAGGGGAAGAAGGGCCGCGACTGCGAGGCGGAGGCGTTAGAGACGGTGTATTGCGGTATGGTGTACTTGGTTCAGCGGCAGAAGGAGCGCCAAGGCGCATCGTCGCGCGCGGTGGAATAAACAAACGCAAGAGAAAACGCAACGATACACACCTGCAATGTTGTACGGAGGAGCACAGTGGGTGTGCTCTCTGGTTGGATTCGCTGTCTACTGCGATGTTGGTGAGCTGCCACCGTCTGTTGTCTTCGTCGGTGGTGGCTTATCATCTCTGTTGAAGAGGTGCAAATATATATGTTCTTTGGTGCGAGGAGGAGGTTCTTTTTCATTGTTATCTGGATCGCGCATAACTCCTTATCAATAATAATTATTACGTATGATGAGAGTCAGAATTTGGTGGTCGTCGCCGCGTGCGGTTACTTGTGGGTGTGCTTGTTTTTTTTTTTGGGGCGCCCTTCTTTCAGCGGCACGAAGTCGCACATGGCTGCGTTTGTTCAAAAGAGTACGGGCAACGTCAACCACATCAACAAGGAAATGAGCCGCGCTGTCCAACTGGTGATTTCCGATTGAAGCACCATGACCACGTTGACGTTGTTCGTACGATTCTGTTCTTTTCCTGTTCTTACATGCTCTGAGGATGTAGTGCAAAACAGCTCTTTTTTCTTGTTACAGATATACACCCGTGCGTGCTCCGCAGAGGTGAAACGACTTAAAAAAAAAAGAAAGAACCTAATACTACTCTTACATTTATATATAATAAAGTTAAACAACGGAATATGCGCAAAAAGAAGGGTGGGGGTGGGGAAAAACGGTCCAAAGCGGACGCTTTGAGGCCGTTGTAGCAAGAAGCTTTCTACGCCTCCCCAAAAGCACCCCCACGCACAGCAGCGACTGAGCGCGTTTATCGGCTCCAAACAACAAAAAAAGTGGGGACGAGCCTATGAAGGCAACCAAGTGTGTGCTCCTATCATTCCACCGGCTGTAACGAATTCTGCAGTGAAGGTGAAGAAGGACGGACTCTCTCTCGCACGTGAGCGGTCACCGCCTCTATCGCGATCACGCCCCAAAAGAAGTAGAATAGAGAGGGCGGGGTGGGGGGGGGGAGGGGTTATTGTTGAGTTGTCGATTGGTTCTCGGCGTCGACTGTAATGCACTTTATTGTGTTTTCATGTGTTCTTTCTTTTGTTTTCCGGACCTCCTCTTCACCGCTCTTCCTTCTTCACTTGTGTATGCACCTATGCATTTGTAGTTTGCACGTGTGTTTCAGCACAGGAGAGAGAGCGCGCGCGCACCTCACACACATTCGCACTCGTTTGCACCCCCTCATTATCACCCCTATCTTCAGAAAACCAACGGCAAGGAAAAGATTCACATATCAGCAGCTGTGAAAGTAACAGCAAAGCAAAGAACGAAGAATGGACCATAACAGCAAATCAAACTTCGACTTTAGCAGCGCCCCAGCTGTGCAGGGAGGCGCCGACGGTGGCGTCCCCCCACCCGCCTTCAGCAGCGGCGCACCCGATCCAAACGTGAACTTCGGCAGCGCCGCCGCGCCAGAAGGGCAAACAATACTGGTAGACACGGTGGACCACGGCGGCTACAAGGGCGTGCATCCCATCGCGGCCCTGTTCCACGCGGTGTTCAAGATCGCGGCCGTTCTTGTGTACATCTTCGGTGGCACGTTTGGGATGAGCTACGTTGTGCTGCTCGTCGTGACAATCCTGCTGCTCGCAGCGGACTTCTGGACGACGAAGAACATTACCGGGCGCATTCTGGTCTCCATGCGCTGGCGAAATGAGGTGAAGGACGATGGATCGACGGAGTGGCTGTTTGAGAGCAGCCCCGAGGCGGACCAGCGCGTCAACGCCTACGACAACTGGTTCTTTTGGGTGTTGCTGATTGGTAACTTTGTGGCGTGGGTGGTGCTGCTGCTGCTGAACCTTTTCACGCTCAAGTACCTGCCCATCAAGCTGGCTGCCATCACTCTTGCGGGGGCGAATCTTTACGGTTACTTTAAGTGCCGGCGGGACGCGCAGCAGCGGCTGACCAACTTTATGCTGACGCAGGCGGTCAACCGACCGCAAACGGCGGGCAGAGTGGCCTCTTTCTTCATGGGCGGTGGTGCCAGTGGCCCCCCGGCTGCTGCGCCGGCTGCGCCGGCTGCGCGGGCGTAGAGGTGATGGAAAGGGGGAGTGAAGAGAAGAGAAAGACGGCGAAAGTCAGGTGCACAACTCGCATCCGTTCATGGGGAGATCCTCAAAGACGGAGCACTGCGTGCTGCGGAGCCGAATGCGTGCGAAAGACAAAAGCACCAGCGTGTGTGTATGGAAATGGTCTTCGCTTCCGTCCAATCAAGCTTCAACGCAGTCATCGCCGCTTTTGCAACGGACTCGCGTCTTCGTTTTTCCTTTTGATTGTTGCCATCTCTCGTACGTTCTCAGAGTTGAAGACGCTTCTTTTTGTTTTGCTTATTTTGAAGGAAGAGAGAACAAGGGCTGCTTCCTTCACGGTTGTTTGTTGAGAGCCGCTTACGCTTTTTTTCTTTGTTTCTAAACCAAATTCGACGCTGGCTCGCGCGAAACCCGCACGTCCACACAAGCACACACCCATACGTGGCGTTAGGGGGGAGCAGAAGCGCACACTCTGAAGGAAGGCTGGCGCGAACGTTGGTGATGTCTGTTTTCTGTTGATGATTGGACGCGCCGACTACGGTGACGGCGGAGGTTTTTTTTCTTCTTCTTTGCTGTTTAGCCATCTTCGCTGACTGGTGTTATAGCGTTGTTTTGGGTTCTTTCTCTGGTGGGCGAACATGGCTTCCCTGCGCTTACGGCATGCATCCCGCTTCTGGGGACGTTGAATTCTTTTGACTGCCTCTCTGCGTTTTGTTTCTTTTTGAAGCGACGAGAGCACATTACGACGCCAAAAAAGGACACCGCAGATGCAGATATATGTATGTTTTCTACACGTTGTTGAATGAGCTTGACGGGTCAGCGTTGCTTAGCAGGCGGAGCGTCAGGCAAAGAATCGAAAAATAGGTCGTTTCTTGACTGTTGTTCTTCCTCTTCCAAGTGCCGATGCTTGGTGGGAAGCGGATCCTCTCTTAAATGGTTATTTGAGTTCTTTATTCTTACGGTGTGCCGGAACGCGCCTGTCCAAATATAGGTCAAGAACATGAATAAAATGCGCGTCAACAGCGACGACAGAACGAAAGGAAAAAATCGTTACAGTCACTGCGCCAATGGAGACTTCTGCACGGTTGAGGGATGAGAGTGCTGTCGACTCCTGCACGGCACCGATGGAATGACATGTTTGCGTTCTGCAATGCCGTTGATTACGCCTCGTCTCTGTTTAGTTTCCCGTGTTGATCTTGCGTGTTCGCGGGTGTGGTGCGTGATGTGTGATAGTGATGGAAGTGGGCACGTGCGAGCTAACTCTTTGAAAGAGTTGCAGCTCTTTTATTTTTTTTGGATCGCATTGTAACTGCGCGGCGTCCTTTTTCACCATGCGGCGCACCTGCACCTTCCTCACTCTTGAGCGCTTCTTTATGAACCCCCAAAAACAAACAGGAATCTTGCATCATGTCACTCTTCTCCGCATTCTCAGCCTTCTCATTTCCCGTCGTACGTCCTCTACGAGGTTTTATCCTTGGGTAGAAACAGAAAACAAACCCCCCAAATAATATGATGCGACGTCGTTGTGTCGGGAGAGCGTCGCTTGCGGTGGCATCCTCCAACTTCTCTCCCTTCCTTAGCACCGGTGGTGGTGGCGGTGGTCGCCCTCCGTCCACCGGATCGACCAGCTGCGCCGTCTGCACACCGACGCGCGCGCAGAGCAGTCGCGGTCACGGCGGCAGCAAGAGCGGTGATGGCAGCCGTCTGCACACCTTCATATCTGACAACCGCAGCGCCACCTCGTCCTTTCCGGCATCCTCTGTAGGCTCGCGCAGAGGGAACCGCGGCGGCGGCGGTGCCGCGTTTGTATCGCCGACAGCAGCAGCCGGGTCCACCGCTTCTTCCTCCGCCGCAACAATGTCCGACTGGGCCACGCAGCTCCAACGCGAGCTGATGAGCCCCGTCGATCCCCTCGGGGGCTTGGCGCACAGGGATTACTACCGCGACCCGGCGTCCGGCTACGCACCTCAGTACGCCCCACGCGACTTTGTGCACGGCGGCCGCATCGCCTACCCTCATACCCAACCGGGCAGCTCGCAGGCCTACGCCGCCGCCGCCGCACAGCGGGACTGGCTCCGCCACGATGTCGAGTCCATGCGCTTCGCATCGCAGGAAGCGCGGGCGACAGCACGGCAGCTCCGCAGTGGTGCCGAGCGGGAGTGTTTTACGCAGCGTCACGTCCCGGCCGATCGCTTTCAATCTGCCTTGCCGTCGAGCGCGTCGGTGTCCGCGGTTGATCTGCTGCGGTCGAGCGGTGCGCTGAGCGATGAGAAGGTGCGACAGCAGGCTACCCTTGATCGCTACCGCGCTGCCACCGCCGCGAAGTCTGGCACAGGTTCGGATGTGTCGTACACGTCGGGGAATGGCATGAACAGCGAGGAGCTCTTGAACACCGTGGTCGAGGAGGTCGCGACCGCGAACGACGACCTGCTTGACGAGCAACTCCGGATTGAGCACGGCCTGCGCGAGAAGGAGCGCTTCGACTTCAACGTTGTGAAGCGGTCGGCGCGGCTGCCTTTTGAGGGCTACGACATGGACCGTCGCGTGGCGCAGCAGGCAGGGCGACCCCAAGGGGCACAGCAGCTCCCACCGACGGTTCCGCCGTCCTCGATGGAGGAGGCGATGAAGAACTTGCGCGGTGGCAGCGACACATTACCCGATGTCGAGGCCCAAGCTCGGTTGACTTATGCCAGCAACACCACCACCGAGGAGCCGAAGCTCGGTGAGGCTTTGACCCGCGATGTCGTCAATAACGTCCACGCGCAGCGCCAAAGCGCACAGAACACCAAGGCGCAAACCCGTAAGCAACGTTTTGGCCTCGGGCGGCAAGGGGCGCTGGTGCAGGACGGCGGGCCGGACAAACGCACACTCCGCAAGCACGCAAACGACGAGCGACTGGTCGATGCGGTGCTCTTCGCCTCCAACGCGTACCGACGCACCGTGACGGACGAGCACGTCGACCCCTATCTACGGCGCAGCACGGCGAAGGGCGTCGGCCACCTCCTCAACAACCGCTTCGACATGCAGCGCCGCGAGGACCGCGTCGCACGCGGGCAGCAGGACTTGACGGAGCGCAACACCGTGCACTACGGCGTGCCGATTCAGCAGTCGGTGGACGAGTTTGTCGTCTCGCACCGCAACGCCCGCGGGGAGCGGCCGCTGGACTACTTCAAGCCGTTTCCGCACTTCCGCGCGCAGCGGCTGCAGCGCATGTACCGCGATGTGGAGGGCTTCTCGCTTATGAAGCAGCGACCGGAGGCGTACGAGTGGGAGCTCTTTACCCGCTACCGCGCGCATCACCAGCAGCGACGTGAGTTGGCGCTGCTGCACGGGCTGGAGCCGGTGGCGAACGAAACGGCCGAGGAGCGCGCTGTCCGTCGCGTAAAGCTCGATGAAATCTGCGAGAACACACCTTTTGACCCTACAAAACTGCAGCTGAACGATGACGAGGTCGAGGTCGACGTGGAGACGCTGCGGAGCTGGTTTGGGGTGTATGTGCTGCCGTCGCCGACCATCGTCGAGGCCGTTGTGCGCGAGAGCGACAGCGCGCTGAGTCTGCACCTACACCACACACACGATGAGCTGAAAACGCTGGACAAGCGCGAGCACGTGCTGAGCAGTCGGTACCTGAACCGTCTGCTGCTCTTTGAGGGCTTTCAGCACCGGTGGAACCGTGGGTTTACGCACGAGGTCTTCGGAAAAGCACCGGAGCCGGTCATCAAGTACGCGCAGCCACCGGAGGTGTTGCAGTACTTCGACGCGGAGGAGCAGGCGATGTACCAGCAGTACGTGAAGGAGGAGTCGGTGGCGCAGATGGAGGAGTGGGCCAAGATAACCCGCGGACGGCGCTACATTGCAGAGAAGCGGCAGTACGGTGAGGTGGTCGGGCAGGGGATGAAGGTGTCCGTGGTGGACGCGCGACACGCAGAGACGGGCGGTGTGCTGACCTTGACGGTGGACGCGTACGGTAAAGCGCTCAACCGCGTCGCGCGGGCCGATGGGAGCGGCGAAGAAAGTGCGGCGGATGCGCATACGGTTGTGCGGATAGACGGCCAGCCGTACACCGCCGTGCCCGGTAGTGAGCGTGCAGTGACGCCGCTGTCCGTCCGGCTAGAGTCGGGAGAGTCGATGGAGATGACAGACGAGGCCTTTTCGCGCTACCCGCTCGAGGTGCCGGCGAGTGCGACGTACAATCACGCTCTGAACTACGGCATCGGGGAGTACAGCTACAACCGCGGTAACTATGTGGAGACGCAGGACGTTATTTGGGAGGAGGCGACGGCCGGTGCAGTAGAAGGCTGGTCACCCGCGACGCACGCCGATGGGCTTCGACCAGGTCTACCCGTCCGCGCTCGTCGGCGGCTCGCAACCGGTGCGGCGGCAACGCAGCAGGTGGATGTCGTCGCCGCTGCTGCTGATGTGTCCGGTGATTTCCAGCGTGGACGCATCGTGGAGTATCTGCGGCAGCCCTTCTTCAATCCCGACCCCCGTCTCGTCACGGTGGCTTTTCACGCCGACGGCGTAGTGCAGCAGGTGCCGCTGGCGGATGTTTTGATTTGGCAGCGTCGCTACCACGGGCCGGAGCGGACCACCGGCGACGAGTCACGCCGCTACAACCCCGCTGGCCTGCGCCGCTACATCGACGCAGCGGACCCCAAGAACGAAAAGGCGGCACACGGCAGCGCCAGCGGCGGCGCGGACGGCGAGGACCACTTCCTTGAGAAGTACGAGCGTCGTCTGCCCGACACCGCGGTGAACAACAGGTACCGCACGACGAAGCAGATCACGGAGTTGGACCAGTGGAACCGCTTCGACACGACTCGGCCGGAGAACTACCGTCCGCTGAGCATCTCGCACCGCCGCGATTACATCCGCCAGGGCTACATGCACCGCTATACTCCGTGGGAGTGGATTGCGATCCAGGAGGCGGACCAGCCGATTATCTACGAGACGATGCGACAAGACAACGTCGGCGCGAGCTATTTCTTCTCGCTGAACCGCGCCTGGCGCTACAAGGCGCGCCCGCACGGTTACTTGCGCAACTACGAAAACGAGGTTCGCGACATGCTGCAGTTTGTGGACGGTGTTACTCCGTGGAAGCAGGCGCAGAAGATCCGCACCTACTGGGAGGTTCGCCAGCACCACCCGATGCCGCAGTTCAATCGACCGGAGGTGGCGATGCACCGCAACAGCGCAGGTTTGCTGCCGTCGCACATGTGGGACACGGATAAGAAGACCGGTAAGGTGAAGGGCGTGAAGGACTCCGTACGCGACTACCAGACGAAGACACCGCTGCCGAAGTGGGTGCAACTGTAAAAAGGCAGGTGCGAGAGGGGTGGGTCTGTTAGACAGCGTTGTTGTTGAAGTAGCGCAGAAAACCCCCAAAATTCACCGGCATGACCTGATAGCCTCCCGAGAAACGAACAATGCTTTGCTTTTATCTCTCCCTTTCTTTACAATGGGCATGCAAACCAGTGCATAAGGTGGCGCCGGTTGTTGTGTTGTTTGATTTGCTGGTTTCTGTTGTTGCCGTTGCGAAGGGATCTAGGGGAATCACTCGCACACGTACAGAGAGACAGACAGAGAGGGCCCCGATATGGGTGTTCTTCGTATCTTTTAAGTAGGGGATCGATGGCTGCACAGCAGCGTGTGCAGGGCGAGAAAGAACGTGACTTTCCTCTTTAGCAGAGCTGTGCGTTTGCGGATGCCCGTTTACACAGACACTTGTATGACAAACAAATTGGAAAATGAAAGTGATGGCTGCAAGCAATGTTAGCAGCCGAAGGCCGAACTGGCTTTGTGTTGGAGAGGAATAACCCCCAAAAGGATGGCGTAGCGTGTGCACGCCGAAAGCAGTTACAGCAATCATAACAAGAGGAAGTCGTACCCGACGTCTGCGAACATGTTCATGTTGGTTGGCAGTAGGAGACGTATGCGAAGCGCTGGAGCCTGTACGATTGCTGGTTTTGATCCCCTGTTGGCTCCTCTTCACATGCTTGTTTTAAAAAGAACAACTTCGCATGCATGTTATGCCTCATCGCTGCTTCACTGTTCTCTCTTCTTTTTTAAGCAGTTACGTTGCTTTGAGAGGGTCGATACAGGCGATTTGTGTGTATGTGTGTTGCGTGAACAGGCACACCTTTTCAGAGCAGTCAGAGCCTTGATAAAAGAAAACGTCTTTCAATATCTCCGTGGTATTCATAAACCTCACCACGTAAACAAACAAACATAGAATCTCCCCCAGACGCACTTGGCCTACCTTTCCATCATACATATAGCACGAAGAAAACCGTTATTGGGTTCACGGTGTAGCCACAAACATACACACAAATACAACCAGAGCTTTATTCTCTTCGGATAGACATTTCACTTGCACACACAGCCCCAAAACCACCCCAAATGGGGAGCCAGCTCCGTCAGCATGACAGACAGTACGTTCAAGATTCTTCTCACCACAGACAATCACCTCGGCTTCGCAGAGCGAGATGCCCGCCGCGGCGATGACAGCTTCACGACTTTCGAGGAGGTTTTGCGTGCGGCGCGCACGGAGCACGACGTGGACCTCTTGCTGCTCGGCGGCGACCTCTTCCACGAGAACAAGCCGAGCCTCGGCTGCCTCGTCCGCTCCTGCTCGCTCTTCCGCAAGTACGTCTACGGCAACAAGGCAATCGCGTTCTCGCTCTTGAGTGATCCGGCGGTGAACTTCCCGACACACGCGCTGCCCCTGGCGAACTTCCAAGATCCGAACATCAACGTCGCCCTCCCTGTGCTTGCGATCCACGGCAACCACGACGACCCGGTCGGTGGGACCTCCTCGCTGGACCTGCTCGCCACGAACGGCTATTTAAACTACTTTGGTCACGTCTCCTCTCTCGAGGATATCGTGGTGGAGCCGGTGCTGCTGCGGAAGGGCGGCACCTTTATCGCCCTCTACGGCCTCGGCAACGTCCGCGACGAGCGCCTGCATCGCTGCTTTCGGCTCAAGAAGGTTCAGTTTGTTTACCCGAAGCCGGTCCCGGGCCGGAAGTGGTTCAACATTCTCGTGCTGCATCAGAACCGCGGCGTGCGCGGCGTGGCGAGCAAGAACGGCATACTGGAGGGCATGCTCGCCGGGTTCGGCATGGATCTCGTCATTTGGGGAAACGAACATGAGCAGCTCATGGTGCCGCAGCCGTCGGACGGCTTCGACGTGGTGCAACCTGGCAGCACCGTTCTGACCTCGCTGTCCGCGCTGGAGTGCAATCCGAAGCAGTACGGCATCTTGGAAGTTCGCGGCACCTCTTACCGCCTTACACCGTACACCCTGCGCAGTGTACGGCCCGTCGTGCGGCGCACCGTGGAGCTGCGCGAGGACGTGCCGGACGGCCGCACGCTAGACGCGGTGGAAACGTTTCTGCATGGCGTGATGGCGGACATGATTCGAGAAGCCGAGGAGCAGGTGGCCCGCATCCCCGACGATGTCTTGCGCTTTCACCCGAACTTGAAGTACCCGCTGATTCGGCTGGCGGTGGACTTCTCCGATGTCGCCTCGGCGCCGTACCCGCAGCCCAACTTTAATCGATTTGGGCAGCAGTACATGGATGTCGTGGCAAACCCAGGCGAGTTGCTGCGGCCCGTCAAGCCAAAACCGGAGCGGCGCGCACCAGGGGCGGTGCTGGGACCCGGCGGCGCGGGTACCGGCGGTGTTGTCGTGCCCACCGCACCGCAGCTTAACACCCTCGACATCCGTGTGAAGGTGGCGGAGGTGTTCAACCACAACGCCAAAAACGCCTGCACGCTGCTGTCGGAGTCGGAGCTCAGCGCTGCGGTGTACGCGTTTGCCGAAAAAGGCGAGCGCGACGCCATTGATGAGCGCTTGACAGAGCTGCTGCACGCCTCGCAGAAGTCGGTATGGCGGCGCCTGGAGAGTGGGGCCAGCGATAGCGTCTTAAATCCAAATCGGGTCGTGGAGGAGGTGGTGACACACAAGCGGCACGTCAACGAGCGCTACGTGCGGACGGCGCTGCTGGAGGAGGCGCTGCTGCAACGGCAAGAGAACGGCGAGGGGGAGGAGGAGAATCCAGAAAGCGTCAACGTAGGGTCATCGCGGACGCACCCCGAGCCGTATCGGCAGCCGCTGGATCCCTTCGAAACCGTATGTGTGGCCTCACCGCAGGCGGGGTCTGGACATGACGCACGCCTCTCCCATTCGTTTCCCTTTGCGGGAGATGGAGGCAGCAGTGAGTTCAGTGGGCAGATCAACGTGTCGACGCTGGTGCAGCAGGCGATCGACCGCGGCGAAGGGCTGAGAGGTATACGGAAGAGCACATTGAGTAAAAACGCTGATGGTAGTGTGGCGCTCGCGAACAACAATGGCAGCAACGAGGAGGAAGATGACGACAACGGCGAGGAGCTGCCGGATGACGGCCTCGACCGCGTGCCTCTCGACCACCTCATCGCGCAAGCGGTTCAGCAACAACAACAACACGGGTCAGCAAAGCGCTCCCGGAGTGGCCCCACCACCCCTCTTCCCTCTTCTCCTGCGAATGTCACGGACCATCTGCAACGTAATGCGTCTGGTACGACCGCCAGGCTCGCGGCGGAGGACGACGACAACGGCGAGGATGAGGTGGTAGTGGAGGATGACGAGGAGGGCGTTGTTGGCGGCGGCGGCGGTGGTGGTGGTGGTGGTAGTGGGCGTGGTCGCATGAAAAAGTCCATCGCAGCCACCACCACCAACTCTGCAGCGACAGCGGCAAAGAAGCCGCGCACCACAACTACCGCAAGCGGTCCCGGGCGACAACGCGGAGGCGGTGTTCACGCTGCCGGTCGGCGCGCCACGGCGACGGCAGCGACAGCCTCCAACGCCGGAGTCGCCAATGCCAGCAATAGTGCGAACGGCGGGGGCGGCCCGACACTGACGCTGATGGCGCACCAGGGTGCACTCCCGACCACGACGGGGCGAGCTGGCGGTGGGGGTCGGAGCGATGCCTCGTCCAGACCACGTCCGGGACAGCCACAACTTGGCGGACCTGTCGCTGCGGCATCGCAAGGGGCGTTGCTGGCGTTGCTGCCTAAATGGATCGGCAGTTCTCACCAGCAGCAGCAACAATAGCATTGCCGTTCTCCTCGCGCTCGTGGTGCGTGCCCCTTAAAAAGCTTTTATTAATAAGGGTGAACTCTGTTGCTTTTGCGTCTCCTTTAGCGCCTCCGCTTTACACTACATCTTTTCTTTCTCTTTGCTGAAGGCGACCTCCCCCAATAAAAGCAAACCGAGCGATTCGTAAGTGCCCCTTCTCCACTCTTCACAGCCAATACTTGCGCCTTCTACCGTGTTAAGGGACGGTCGAGATGGGAGGAGCCATTGACGTGTGTGTGTGTGTGTGTGTGTGTGTGTGTGGATGCCAAACTAGCGGGGTCCACGTGCATCATTACACCTTTCCTTTGCTCTTCTTTCGGAATCCTCCTCCTCTTTTTTTTTTCTTCCTTTTCTGGTCCTTCCAAATACATCAGCAGCCGAATAGCAAGCCAACAGCAATAACATCAACAACAAAATAGACAATATGCCGTGGCAAGTGCACCCGCAAATCGTCTCCTGCACGCGCTCAGCTGCTCCTCTCGTGCTGCCGCTTATACTCGCCAGCAGCAACGCAGGTGCCGCAAACAAAAATACCTCACACAGCCTGTGTGTGCCGCTGGACCCACCCAGTCTTGCTCACTGCTCCATTCCCGCTGGCTGCGTGCGACGTCACTGTGTCATGCCGCCGACAGGGTTGCCGTGTTTCGTCTCACGCCCTCGCTGTGCTTCCAGGCTCGCCGCCGTGCACGGCAGTAACGACACCTCGGCCATCGTCAACGTGGCAGCACGCGTAACTTATCGCAGCTTCTACTCGGGCTTGGACGAGTCTCGCGTGCACCGACTTCGGCGTTCAGGTATTACTTTTAACCGCCCGCGCGGTCGCGACACGTTCTCCGTCGCCTTCGAGAGCCGTCTGCGCATTGTACCGCTGACGCAGATGTCAGACCTCTACGGCCCGATTGACGCCTCGTTGATCACCGCCGTGAACGCGGATGACCCGACAAGCAGCGCCGGCAACCCGCTTGAGCAGAAAAAGTTCATGGCCGGCGACGCCCACATACGCCGTGTAGTGGAGAGGAAACGACGAGACGAGGCGCGTCTGCGGGAGAAGCAGGACTGGCATGTGCTGGTGGTGGATCCGATCGAGCTGGCGGCCGCAGCGGCCCCGGTGCCGTTTCCGAGTCCGCATCCGGCGTACTACCAAGACTGGCCGACCACAGCGTCTGCTGCGTCTACCCGACCGCCACGTGCGAGCTGGCGCGTGTTGGAGCAACGCGAGGCCAGTCCGTACGGTGACCCATCCCTCCCTTTCTTCGCCTCAGCCGACGCGACCACCACCACCGCCACTGTGGGAGAGGCGGCAGGTGGCTCTTCGTGCTTGTCGGAGGGCAACGTTGCGCGTCCTTTTGCATCTTCCACGGCGTCTCTCCCATCAAATGCGTATTTCTATCGTCCCCGTGACCGCCGTCACCTCCAACAAAGCGGCGACACCACGCTCCTCGCGGGGACAGCGGTGCGAGAGATCACGCTGCACCTTCCGCACCCCGACTCGACGCCCTCACACCCCCTCCCTCCCTCCCCCCACGCGGTTCGCCAGCGCTTTTACACGGCCGTCTGCGTCGACCCGGACATCCACCACGATCGCTTTCACCGTGAGGAGGCACAGGTGGAGATGATCTCCGCCTACCGCAACATCTTGTACGAAGCAGCCGAGCTGGCAACACCGGCGGAGAGCGGAATGAATGACGCCGGCAGCCTCCGTCGCAGTTCCGCGACTACGCGAGCAGCGCCCTTCGTCGCAGACGTGGTGCGAGTGCCGGCGCTCTGCCAGTACTCCTGCGGCGGTCGGTTTTTGCACGAACTGGGGAAGTTGAACCAGCAATCGGTGATTAAGGGCTTCCATCGTCTCAGCAACGAGGCGAAGGAGGAGCTGATTACTAATCGCTGCTTCACGGTGGAGATCTACGTGCCGCCGCTGCTGCTGGAGCAGTTCGAGAAGGCCTTCCTGGAGGAGGCGTGGGAGGCACCGACCTCCACGCTGAATCCTGGTCGCACCGCCCTCTACCCGGGCCTTGCCCCTCCCCGCACCCTTCTCCAGTACGACGGTTGGATCGGCAAACGAGCGGAGTTGATTGAGGCGGTAGAGACAGGCGGTAGGAGTCTGCTGTCGGGTGTGAAGCACGCCCTAGACGGGACGCCGATTGAGGAGAAGGAGGTGCTGCCCAATCTCCGCGTCTTTGGCGCTCGCGAGGAGCAGCAGCGGATGCTGGAGGGGGAGCGGCGGACCGCAGCGGCGGCGCTCGACACCCCGCCGGGGCCGTCGACGTACGCGCCGCTGCGAGCGGGACTGCAGGACGACGCCGCTGGGCGTGACGAGGAAAACGGCAAGACGAAATGAGGCGACTTAAAAGAAAACAAGAAGATATGCTGCGTCTGATCTGACCGACCTGTTTTGATGAGCGAACATATTTGAGGCACCAGACGTCACCGGCAAAGGCCTTTCTTTTTTTTTCTGGTGTTCTTTCCCCAGCTGCCGATGTTTGTTGTTCATCAACATCCGTACTCTATCGAAACTAAAACTAAGGATGAGAAACCGCGTTTTCCCACATTCTTTTTTGTTTTGTTTTCCTGCTTCATTTGCTGACATTTCGATCGCCGTGGTGGATTTGCGAGCACCTCACGAATGTGTCGATCGGAGGCGAGTGTAAAAGTGCAAAGCACTTGCATGACCTCCCTTGTCAACGGCGTACAGATATGCTTAAAAAGCCGAAGCAGGTAAGAAAAGAAGGGGCATCAACGTTTAAAGCAAAATCTCTTTCACGCACATACAAAAACTTCTTTTCTTCCCTCTCTTCTGTCCTGCACTTTTCTATAAGGTTTTCTGTTCGCGTAACCTTTTGGCTTTATCTTTTTCTTATTTCCTTCCCATTTCACCTCCTTTCACACCCCGCCCACGTGCCATCCACAACGTGTTGGGTATATTCAATTTTTCGCCCTGCACGTCTTATTGACTCTGTTCTTTTCTCTTGTCTTTTTTCGTTGGTGATCACCTACCGGTGCGTTTGTGAAACGCACACCGTGTAATTCTCTTCTTCGTTTAATCGCTCGTGCGGGTTTCGCCCTCTGTGTTTAGTCGACAACTTTTCCTTTACTATTCCGACCTCCCCCCTAACAGGATAGTTGCAGCACTTTTCGTGTTTCCTTTTCTATATAGCGAGTCAGCGAAGAGTAGAACAGAAAGGTGTTTATTATTATTACAAGCTGCGTGCGCATGCGTTAATGGTTTCTCTCTTTTAATCTGTTTTTTTTTGTTGTTGTTGAAAAGAAATTCTTCTTTTTCGGGGCGGCCGTTGAGTGAAACCTATTCGTGCGCTCTCGCTCCTTCCATTTTGCTTATCCCTTCGTTAAGCGTATTTATCTCCCGCCCATTATTTATCGGACTTCTGTACTAGCGGTTCTTCCCGATTACTACTATTATTATTACTATTAATATTACCATTGCTGTTACTATTATTGTGAACTCCAACCGCAACGACCCACAAAAAAGAATAACGATGACCTCGTCTGCACGCGTGCCCGTGAGCTTCGAGAAGCCCGACCACCTCCCGTTCGGCGAGATTCAAGGCTACGCCCCTGGTCACATCCCCGCCTACAGCAACAAGCACGACCATTTCTTCTCCGGCGAGCGCAGCATCGACGGCAGCGTCTTCTGCGGCTTTAAGTACCAGTGCGTGGAGTTCGCGCGGCGCTGGCTGCTCGAGCGGAAAGGGTTAGTGCTACCGGACGTGAACTGGGCCTGCCACATCTTCCAGCTGAAGACCGTGAAGGACGCGGTGACGGCAGAGGATGCGCCGGCGGTGGCGGTGCGCAACGGTACCGAGGCGCGGCCCGAGCCGGACACACTCATTATTTACCCTTCCTCAGAGACGAACACCGTGGGCCATGTCGGGGCCATCACGGAGGTGGGCGAGGACTACGTCTGCGTGGCGGACCAGAACTACCGCTTTCACAAGTGGACGTCGTCCTACTCGTACAAACTGAAGCTGGAGCACCAGGACGGGCTGTGGACCATCATCGACGACATCGACCCGAACGACGTCGAAATCCCACTCGGGTGGGTCACCTTCCCCGGCTACGAGAATCGCCCCGAAGACGCCGCGCCGGTCAAGGTGCACCCCGACCTGTACTTCCTACCCCCGCCGGAGCCCTATCTGCTCCGTCGGACCTACGAGCCAGTGGAGACCAAGCCGAACTGGCTGGATATGAACGACCCTGCCGAGAAGCTCTTCGTGCAGGAGTTCGGCATGGACGTCAGCCGCTCCCGCCTGAAGGAGTCCACCGTGAACTACTACGAGTGCGACTACGAGTTCAACATTCGCTGCGGCGCCTACGCGATGCAGCTGCACTCCATCTTCATGGAAGCCACCGCCCAGGTGATCCACGACGATGAGAAGCTGCGCACCTTTGCGATTCCCGAGGAGCTGTGGCCTCGCATGCGGCACTCCTGGAAGTTCCAGCAGACCTTCATCTCTGGTCGCTTCGACTTCGCCTTCAACAACGAGACGCACGAGATGAAGTGCTTCGAGTACAACGCCGACAGCGCGTCGACGCTGCTGGAGTGCGGCCGTATTCAGCAGAAGTGGGCAGAGTCGGTGGGCCTGGACAAGGAGGGCACCCGCGGCTCCGGCTGGGTGGTGGAGCGCAACTTGAAGATGGCCTGGGCCAATTGCGGTGCGACGGGCCGTGTGCACTTCTTGGTGGATGAGGACAACGAGGAGCGGTACACTGCTCTCTACTGTATGCAGGCGGCGGAGGCGGTGGGCCTGGAGGGGAAGCTGTGTGTCATGTTCGACGAATTCCACTTCAACGCGGAGGGCTACGTGGAGGACAGCGACGGGGTGCGGGTGCGCAATGTGTGGAAGACGTGGATGTGGGAGTCGGCCATCAGCGACTACTTCGCGGCGGCGGCCGAGCGGGGGCCGAACTGGCACGCGACGCCCGCGGACAAGGTGCGCCTGTGCGATTTGATGCTCGGCAAGGACTGGGACATCCTGTACTTTGAGCCGATGTGGAAGCTCGTCCCCAGCAACAAGGCGATCCTCCCCATCATCTACCACAACCACCCCGAGCACCCGGCGATCCTGAAGGCCGAGTACGAGCTGACGGACGAGCTGCGGCGGGTCGGCTACGCGAAGAAGCCAATCGTCGGGCGTGTCGGCCGCAATGTGACCATCACCGGCGGCTCCGGCGAGGTGCACGCCGAGACGACCGGCAACTTCGGCGAGCGGGATATGATTTACCAGGAGCTCTTCCCCCTGACGAAGCAGGACGACTACTACGCGATCATCGGCGCGTGGATGATTGGCGATGCCTTCGGCGGCACTGGTATCCGCGAGGACAAATCGATTATTACGGGGCTGGACAGCCCTTTTGCGGCGATTCGTATTAAGATGAGCCGCATTCCTCGTCCGCTGACACACAAAGATCTGGACAAGATGGCCGAGGATGAGTAGGGAAAAGGAGAGGGAAATCTCGCTACAAACGGTAGTCCAGAGCAGGGCGGCACATGAATGAAATGAGAAACGAGGAAAGCAACCAAACATATGCGAACGTTATCGGACGAAAGGCGAGGGGATGGAGGAGCAGACGAGGTACATCACTGACTTGTAGGAGGTTGTTAAAGTCCATCGGCCAACGAAGGGCATTAACAGCCATCGAGCGAGGGGTCGTACTGGAGGGAAGCATCAACGAGTGGCGTGATGCGCTTTCCATTTGCTTGTTTTTGTTTTTGTCGTCACCTCTGGTTCAACCTGTTGAAGTAGTTGATGCGGAGATAATAATAATAGTAAAAGACGCTCTCTCTGTCTCTCTCACACACACACTTTCTTCCCGCATAGTGGGAATCACGCTATCTTTTTCGCCCTCTCTCTGTATTCGTTTCAAGGGTTGTTAATTGCCGCTTCTGCGTTCTCTTCTGTGGTTTTGTTTGTGGGTTTTCGCACCGTCTCTGCCTACGTGGTAGGATGCTTTCATCGCGTCTTGTCGTCTATTGAACGCAGAGCGGCAAGGCACTTTTATTCTTTTGTGCCTTTGTAGATCGTTATTTACGAAGTTCTTAAAACACTCGTTTCCTTAAAAAAAAAAACTCTTTTAAAAGTAAAGAAACACTTGATAGGACCTGCTGGTGTGTAGCTGTCTTCGCGATGATGCTTGACGCACGCGGGAAGTCCCTCGAGGCGGTTTCGCTTTGTCGTTGGCTCCACGAACTCGTTGCTTTACGTGCCCCCCTCAAAAGAAAAAAACGATGCGACCCTCCCGAGGATGCGAACGAGGAAATGAAAGTGACGTCAGTTGCTCGCGACTTGCACCGACGCCACTTGATGTGGTGTACGTCTCTTACTTTTACCGGGCTCTGAATATCCCTTATCGTTTTTTAAATACTTCTCATTTTGATTTCTTCAATCTGGTGTAGAGGGCGAGGTTTCCGCGTATCCCACTTCGTAGATCACGGTCCTAAAACGCTTACGTGCACATAGATAGAGGTGTGTGTCGGTGTGTAGCAGAACGGAGAGGAAAGCAAGGCGGTAGGCATACACACTAATAGATAGACTGTCGCGGTTTGTTTCTTCACAACAGCGTTTCAATGGTCAACGGAGTCCGTTAAGAGCGCAACCTCCTCCTTTTCTTCATTCAAGTGGCGCCGTAGCCTCTGCGTTTTTTTCTTTTCTCCATGCATCACCAATGCCGGTCTTCGCAGCATCCTTTCGCTTCATCGACTGCGGTGCGTGCCGGAGCACCGCAGCTGTGCGGCGCATCCTCTGTGCAAAGGCCGACGTGTCCCCAACGTGAGCGGGCTCCCCACCCCTACAACATCGACAGGGCGGCACAGCCGCAGCCGACCACAGGCGCGTGTGCGGCGGAGACGCGTGACCCCTTCGAGCGAGCGCACCCGTCGCGGACACGCCAACGACGACGCTCCTCCAGCCGACATCGACATCGAAATCGGCGTGCGGCGCCGCACTGTGCAAACGATGACGCCAAAGACCGCAATGACAGCACTGACATGCAACCCTCTCCGAACGAGCCACAAGCGAGTAGAACCCACAGCGGGGGCGCCTCCACCGCGGAGACCCGGCCTCCTCTTGCGCATCCGCCATGCGGTTCCTCTCCAATCCTCGTGGAAGCGTCGCCGCAAGCTCGACACGGAGCCCCGCAGTGGCCAGCCTGGCCGGTGGGAGAAGGCTATTCCTCCTCGCATCTGCGCTTTGTATCCCGTCCCTCGCGGTCCAACATAGAACGTCTCTTCCGACAGTTGGAGGCAGAGGCCGCCCAGGTATTTCTCACAGATCCTGCGGGTTCTCCACCTGCGAGGGCACCTGCTAGCGGAGAAGGCGACAAGCGCCGTGGCGCTTTGCACACGAGCCGCAGTGAAGGATGCGGCAACACCACGGCGTTGTACCAGGCGCTGTTTCTTCACGCGCTGGGGGACAGCGCCGCATGGGAGCGTCGCGCACGCACACTCGAGGCAGCCGCGCAGGCCCACGCGAAGCGAGAGGCGCACCTCGCCCAACAGCTGCACCGCGCTCGACAGGAGTTAGCACTGTTGGCCGCCTACATGGGGGAATCGGAGCGAGTGGCGGCCGTCGCGCGGCGTGAAGGCGGCACTGCTCCGGTGTTGCCGCCCCGGCACCCGATGCATACGCACACCTCCGCAGCCGAAGCGCTGTCGAACAGCGGCGCAAGAGGGGGTGCTTCTGCAGAGCAGAATGGAAACGGTGTGCCGGTGACGGAGTCGCCTCAGCCGCGACGGCTGCCCTCGCGGTCCGCCGTGAGCGATCTGCTTCGTGGCTCCCTCGGGCGTTCATTGGAGCTGGCGTACGGCAGCAGCATCAGCAGCGCCGACAGGGAGGGTGTGAATGCGAACGCGCCGCCGCATGGCATTGACGCGTACTTCTGTGGATTGACACCTACGGCGGAGGGTGTGGTGGACGGATCTTTTCTGGTTGCAACTGATCTAGAGGATGCTGAAAGCGAAGCATCAGCGGAGGATCGTAACTCCGCTCACCCCTCACACGCTGCTGTGGCTGCCTTGCCGACGCCATCGCCGATGCCGCCGCACGCAGCCCGTCCGAAGCCGCGTGGTACGCCACAGCAACTGCGGTCGTGCTGTCCAACGTGTCCGCCCAATCAAAGCCGCTCGATTTCTTCCTGCTCGTCTTCTCTCCTGGAGGACATCGCAATGAACGTTTACCCTTTAATCTCATCCGCTGTCGCCGTGTCAGAGGTGGGACAACGAGCGCACACCACCACTACCACCACCGCAACGCAAGCCATCGTGCCGGATACGGTAGCGTCGAGGACGTCAGCGGTGAAGCCGCAAGCCCAGGCCGCCAACGCTCCCGCCTCGCCTTTTATCCCTGCTCCTTCAGAAGACTCCCCTTCCGCTGCCGCGCTGCCCGCGAATAAAGTGAAGCCGTTCGCCACTGACGCGGAACCCCGACGGGCACCACCGTACTCTCCGGCGTCTTCACCGCAACGCGGACCCGCAGCGGCAGCCCAACATCTTTTGGCGCTCATGCGCAGTCGGGACGCGTCCCTTTCCGCTGAGCGGCAACCGTCCCCCAACACAAAGCACGACGAAGTCTCTGTCATAGGATCGTGTGTTGCGGACACGGCGGCAGTCTCATCCAACACCGACCAACTCGTACCGTCGAGCGCCCTCACACCAACAGAAAGGCTACCGCACCGACCACGTATGTCGACGCACCCCCCGATCGCATCGCACTCGCACAGCGTGGACTACGAGGTGACGGTAAATGACGGGCTTCCGCAACCCACAGCACGACGGAGTGCGTCGTCCGTTGAGAGTGCGGCCGCCGCGTCCACGTCGTCTTCCGCAGCGCTGCGGACAACCCCGACGGCGTCTTCCATCACGCCGCATACATGTGAGCAGGGCGTGTACACCTCGACGCGCGCGCCGATAGTCGCGGCGGAACTGCTGCGCGACCTCAACACCAATGCCTCCTCCTCCTCCTTTCCATCACCTACACTTGCCCGAACGTCTAGTGCGGAGAGAGGGAAGGCGTGGCCAGAGGTAGGCGAGAGGAGCACCGGCGGTCAGCACGATGAAGGGAGCTCGTCGACGAGCGAGGAGTGGGAGTCGGTGGACGCGTCAAGTGCGACGGAGAACACCGACGATGGAGGCCAACAGCGGTTGGTGTGAAGAAAGAGGGCCACACACACAAACACACACACCCGTTTGAAAAGCCCTCATCACCAGATCCCAGGCCTGACAGTACGGTGGGGGATACGGAACGGTCCCTAGGCAACAACGAATCAAGAACGATTCACCCGTGAACAAGAAGAAAACACTTGCAAGTAAATAGCAACAATTTCTAAGAAAGAGAAAAGAAAAGTGAGAGGAGTCGTCGATGTGGCGGTTCACTCTTTAAGATGAGTTGTGATTGCTGCAAGCCATCGTTTGTCGCTGTTTCTGTTAACGGCGACTGGGTGGGTGACGGCACTTTGTTTTTTTTTTTTGATGTTTCATTTCTAAAGCGTTGCCCTCTTCGTGGCCTTTTTCTTCCTGTACTACAACGGAGAGGCAATGCCTGATGCCCGTAAGATCTTACTGGCGCTCGCACTGTAAACGTTCTTCTCGAGTCTCGACATCGCTTTCTCTCTTCTTCTCTCACACTTCTGCTTCTGCACCTCCAACGCTGTCTGGAAATCGCCAAAGCTCCTGTCCAGCCTGTTTTCCTCGTCTCTCGCTTTGCTATTGATTGGCATCCACTTCCTTCTCTTTTTTTTTATCTGGTGAACATTATTTTTCAAAAGGGAAGCCGAACTGTGCGCCGGTCCCTCGCGCATCTTAGTTTTCTGGAAAGAAGAAGAATCTTACGTCGACGGTGCACACCTGGGTGCCAGAAGGACGAATCCGTAAAACTATAAGTACTACAGCGCCAATCTCACAACAACGATGACAACGATGGCGTCCGCAGCGTCGCTGTTTGAGCGCAACAAGCGCATCTACCTCGACGAGGAGTCGAAGCTACACTCCATCGTGTGCAACGACCAGTTCCTCCGCACCTTCCAGGCGTGGCTCGATCAGAGTATTTCCCAGCTGGACTTCCAGTACGAGCGATGTGAGCAGCAGCTGTCGGAGCTGCAGCAGCACGTGTCGGTGCCGAAGGGTGCCTTCTGGAACAGCAAAGCCATCATCGAGCACTGCAACCTGCACATGGCCGAGCGGCGCCTCACACGGCGTGGCAAAGAGCTCGGCGACGACGAGGAAGGCGGTGACGGCCAGCACGCGCAGCTGCCGGACTTAATCCAGCTCGTCTCCGCGTTGCAGCAAACCAAGTCTCACTCCTTCATCACGGCGAAGCAGCGCCGCTTCATTGAGCAGTGCGAGAACGAGCTGAAGTCCGTCGTGTTTGAGGCTCGTGACCTGACGTTCATCACAAACGCGCTGCAGACGAAGTTGATCGACGACGGCAACACCCGCGGCGTCTTTGGCGACTTGACGGCCTTTCAAAACACGATCGAGGAGCTCTCGCCCGACATTGACCAGTGTGAGCAGCTGCTCGAGGCCAGCATCGCGAACGGTGAGATGGGCCTCGCCGAGGACATCTCGAAGCGCCAGCTGGAAGTCTACGAGCACATTCTGCGACTCATCACGGACCAGTACCCGATCATCTCGAACTACTACTCCGAGTCGCGCAACAGCGACCGCCGGCGGCGCTGGGCGGTGTTCCGCATGGCCGATCGCGACATCACGGCCGTGATCGAGTCGAAGCACCGCCAGATTGAAGCCTGCGAGGAGGACATGCTGAAAATACAAGAGCAAATGACAAACTACAACGAAGACGACGCCCAGCAACGCAAGCGCTACGATACAGACAGGACGGAGTCGGATCAGTTCTTGCAGCAGAACAAGGAGAAGCAGCAGAGCGTGTGGAATCGAGTCTTTGCCCTCTTCCAGGAGCTGCAGACGTGCTCAAGCGAGCTGACGACGCTGGCGGAGCAGCGGCGCAAGGAGGTGGAGCGACGTCTGCAGATGGAGGAGCGCGAGGCGGGGCGGCGCAGCGGGCACGAGAGTTTTCTCCAGGCCGCCGCTGAGCACGCGCAGAAGCTGCAGGACACGATCGACAACGCCGCCGCCGCGCGGGATGTTGCGACGGCGCTGAACGACTTCGTTTTGGACGGCTGCGACAGCATTGCGGCGAAGTACGACAAGCAGCAAAATGCGCTGAGCGAGATGCTGCGACTGGTGCAACAGCACCACTTCAAGCGCTTCTCCGACTACTACATCGCAGCGAGCCGCTACCTCTACCGCAAGGAGCGACGGCTGGAGCAGATTGACGAGGAGATGAGCGCCAATGATATGCAGCGCGAGCTCTTCTCCGACACCCTCAACCCACGGGCGAAGGAATACGCCGAGGCGAATCAGCGCCTCGCACTGCGTCGACACGAGGTGGTGCAGGAGGTGATGCACGTTCGGCACAAGCTGGAGCGCGCGGAGCGGGCCGTGACGCCGACCTTGCGCTCGCTCGATTTCGCGAACATCGCCTACGTCCACCCACGCGAGATTGTGGAGAAGATGAATTTGAGTCGCTGGAGCACGATGCTGGACTACCGCACGATGCTGCACCCGGCAGGGGAGGGAGAGTCGGAGGTGCAGCGGGAGGCGGCGGCGATTGAAGAGCTGCGGACAGAGCTGGACACGCAGAAAGCCGCGACACGCAATCAACACCTCCTGCGCGCTGCCGCCGGCGTACGCATCGTCTCGACAGCCCCGATCGGCGGAGCCGAAGGCAGTACGTCAGGCACGAAGATCGGGCTCAAGACGGATTCTGCTGCTGCTGCTTCTGCGGCTTCCACCACGCCCGGCTCGTTGACGCATTCCTCCTCGCTGCGGAAGCAGCCACCGTCGCGGTTTGTGGAGCGGGTGCACGCGATGCTGCAACGCAATGAGCGACAAGGCGTCGGGGCATCCTCCACTACAACGCAGAAGCCATCCTCTACGGGTGCGGCCAACGCGGCGAGTGGCGCCAGTGGCGCGCTTGCCGCCCCTCCGGCGACCTCGTCGCTCTCTCCGTCGCGACTGTCGGCGAGGGCCACCAACCTCGGCGCCGAAGGCCCGTTGTCCGCCGCCGCACTGGTCGGTCCTGCACCGCCGCCGTCCCACATCGAAGGCGCGACGTTCCAGGCCCTCTTTAGCTACCGCGCACGGGCACCGGATGAGCTGACGTTTGAGGCCGGACAGCAAATCATTTGTATTAGCCGGGCGCCAGAGGAGGGGTGGTTTAGGGGTGTGTGCAACCAGCGCACAGGGCTGTTTCCGATTAACTACGTGGAGCCGGCGCGCGAGACGTCGAGCGTGAATTGAGAGCAAGGCGGTGGTGCTGTGTGCTTCCCTGCCTTTTCTTTTTCTTTCCTTCGTCGTTTTCCATCACGTTTGCTTTGTAAGCATGTAGCTGAAACGTGTTCTTTGTGTGAGAGGGCGTGCTTGATGGACTTCAGAGGAATTCTTTACAGGCGGGTGTTGAGCTTTGCGGCGGAGCCGCACTCCGCCTCCCCCTCCTTTTCTATGTTTCTGCGCGCACAGCCGCGCAACTACAAAAACATGTCCGATGTAGCGTTAGTGCATGATAAATAGTCTCCTCCGGCTCTTCTTCTCATTCGAGTCAGAATAGCGATTTCCTTTTCTTTTGTTTCGTTCTGTTGAAAATTGATGATCATCATTATTCATGTACTCATAGCTCGTTTTTTTTTCCCCTTCTTTCTTTGTATTATGTAGCCTTAGCTTCCTCTCTTGTCTCTTGTGTGTATGTGCTCTGCGGAAGGTTCATGCTTTTGCGCCTCGTGAAACCGAAAACGGAAACTGACAGGTCGGTGATGAGGGGGAGGGTTGGTAATGCGTGTGGGAAAGACAGCTCCAGCAACAGCGATGCGCGTTTCTCCGAAACTCGCTTCACTTTTCTCAACGCCCCTTTTTTCTTTTACCGCAGCTTCAAATTCTCACGAAGGTGGCTCCGCTGACTGTTCTAGGGCTTACACGAACAGCCAAAAGGGAAGAAGAGAACGAATGGGGTCAAAGTACACCACATAGGCGATGCTGCAACATGCACGACGACCTCGCGGACCGCCTGAACTTCGATATTCTTTTACTTTCTGATCTTGTTTACCCAATATCCCTCTTTTTACTGTCACATCTCTTCTACCCCCCCCCCCCCCGCCTCGCCGTTCTCATCCTGCGTAAAAATAAAATGGGGCAATGCCTTTTGGCGCTCATGTAACTTCTCATCTACGCCTACACTATTCGTATTGGTTTCTTTTTATTTCCTTCTCTGGCCAGTGCGTCTGATTACTCGTCCACCTTCACTCGAATAGCGAGTATCCGCGCAAGCTCTCTCCTTTTCGTATTTACTTCTTTTTAGATCACCGGGTCAGCTTGATTTCACCTGCGGAGACACGCAGCGACAACGCACTCGTTTCTTCTCTCTTAAACCGAGAAACAGAAGACGGTGTGCGACCTGCGAAAGTATAAGGCGCGCTGGGCTTTTCACTTCCATATTTGCTGCTTTTTGAGAAGCTGTAACGCGCTGATTCTGCCGCCGTTACCGCTGGAGCCTTTTTTTTCTAGCTCAAACATCTAACAACAGCAGCACCAATACGTAAAGGACTCGAACAATCCGTTCCAGCCAACACAACACCCTCAGCATAGTACATCGAAAGGAGGGAAAACATATCGAAGGCAGTGAAGCCCTTCGAACTTCATTAGAACAGAAACGAGCGCGGCCTACTCTGCTCACTGCGAGCACCGTATGTTGTGCCTTCCTTCTTGTGCCTATTGTAGATCTTTTTGTCTGTTGGGTTTTAGATACGCGGCGTCTTCATTGCTGAAATGGGCAACCGCGTCTCGACGAGCACGTCTCCATTCTCCCTAGAGGATTTGGAGGCCATCGCACGCACTCCGCCCGTTTCATCCGCCACTGCCGTCTCGGCCACCTGCCCTTCGTTGCCCTTCGATGCAGTGGCTGCTGATCTCGCTGCGGCGGTGAGCACGCCGAACAGCAGCAGCGGCAACGGCACTGGCGCAGCTCGCAAAGGCGGCGCGGGTGCAGCCGCCAACGCCGTCGATACCGGCAGCAGTCTCGGCAGCAGCGGCAGCGTGCATCTGCGAAAGGAGAATATCAAGGCAGAAATCGAGCAGCAGTTTGCGGAGGTGGAGACGTCACTGCACGCCCTGCGCTGCGTGCCAGACTTCTCGCGTGGGTATCAGCTGTCACTGCTGCGTAGAGAATCGCGCCACAGCGACCCGTTGGGCAGAACCAGCGACGCTGATCTGGACAACGATGAAGGCAACAGTAGCAGCAGCAGCGGCAACAACAATAGGAACGACGTGAAGAGCGGCGTGCGCAGTGGAAGGGCTACGAAGCGCAGAGCCAGTAGCTCGCGGGCAGGCATCACTAAAAGCTCAGCTGCCTCGCTCCCCGCCGTGCCATCGACGGCGAAGCAAAATTCTGCTGTATCGCCGCGGTCGTGGATCTTTCGCGATGTCTCTGTGCAGCCGCTGGATTTAACGCAGGCCGTAGATGTGAACCCGGCTGAGGTGTACGTGGTGGTGCTCGTGCAGCGCTCCATGGCAGTGAGCGGGCCTTCCCCCTCTCCGCCGTCGACGACCAACACGGCGGCGAACCTCACACCACCCCCGCAGAGCTTGTCTGGTGCAGCAGCGGCTGCATTGGCCGAAAACCCACGCAGCAGTAGTGCCGGCCCGCGTACCACCAGCACCGCGCGCCCGACGGCGACAACAACAGGAAATGCCAATAGCGGCGGCAGCAACAATACGAACGACAATAGCGGTAGAAACACGGCCGAGTGGCCGCGTGACATGGTGTGTTCCTTTACCCCACGCGGCCTCTCGACGCCCTTCTCGAGCGACTTCAACCGTCCAACTTCCGGCGCGTTTTCTCCGAGTGGCGGTGGCGGCGTTTTAAGCGGGTCTTCGCCCTTCGCCACGCCACGCACGAGCGGGTCGATGAGCAACCGACCTACCCCACGCAACGGTGGTACGGCGACCTCCGGCTCGCCCCATTCCGCCTCCTCGCTGCCCACACCACGTGCGTCGGGCTTTCACTACAGCATCCACCTGCTCACCGGCCGACAGGCAGACGCCTTAACGGCTGCGGCGGGCTTCCTGACAGCTCGCGCACTGGAGAAGCTGTTTCTCGAGTGCCCTGATTTTGATCGGCGCCTGTTCTATCACGTGCACACGCCGAAGGCGGAGGAGACGATTCGGGCGTACAATCTCTTCTTCGCTGCGCCGGACAAGGCAGGCGGCGTGGCGGCACGAGGCCGCGACACCTGGAAGGCCGCGAACAGCGGCGAAGGAGGTGGCTTTTCATCCGCACCCGGACCCGCAGCAACGTCGAACAACCACAGCAGCAGCAGCTTCAGCGCTGCCGCATTCAAGAAGGGAATTCAGCGTGGGCCGGGCAGCGGCACGAGCGCCGGCCGGGCAGTCGCGTCCGTCGCGCCAAGCACAGCCGGCGTCTCGCCCTCTCCATCCTCTAGCAATTGGATGTCCCTCGCGAGCGGTGTGTCGAGAGGCTCTTCCTTGTACGAGATCACAGCAACGCAGGAGGCTTCGAAGGAGCTGCTGCGCGAGCTACTCGCTGCGATGCGGCCGGTGCCGGTGGTGGCGCCGCGGTTTGAGCGTCACAGCGAGCCGGCCGCTTCAGCAGGCGGTGCGGCGACGTCGCCCGTGGTGTCGCCCATCACCGCGGCTGCCGCCGCCATCACGTCCTCCTCTCCCCCCGCCGCCGTCGCCAGCAGCAGTACCCACAGCACCGTCGACATTGTGACCATTGTGCCCCTCAACACGGCGGAGATGTGCGGCGCTAACGCCCTTTTCCGCGTGCTGAGTGGCTACCGCGGCAGCACGCCGCGGTGGTCGCACGCAGGCGAGATGACGAGCCCGCTGAACTCGGCACGATTTGTCCTTCCCGGTGGCGCGAGTGGGGCGGGCACGACGCAGAATCTTCCCGTGGGGATGAGCAGCTGGCATCACGAGCCGCTGCCGCCCTTCCGTCCGCCACGCCGCGATCCTTCTTTGTCGGGCGGCGACCCCGGCATTCCGGGGACGACTACGCCCTTCACCGCCGCCGCCGGCGGCACACACGCGGGTGACTTGAAGATGCCCCCGAACACGTCCAGTTGGCTTCAGGGACCGCAACCGTTGGACGTGCACTCCGCCACGCCCGCCGCCACATCAGCAACAACAGCTTCTGCGGCCTCCACCACACCGCCCTCCGTCGCGGTGCTTCCGCCGCCGCCGCTGTCCTCTCCGTCCTCCTCGGCTACTCCACGCGGAGCGAGTCGACTGCCGATCTCACACCCCTGCAGCGCCGGGTCCGAACCGCGACTGAAGCTGACGGGTGGCCACCCCTATTCCTCGTCTGTCACGACGACATCGCCTCAGCTGCCGTCACTGGCGCTGGACACGTTACTGCCCTCGAGGTACCGCCCAACACCGCTGAATGAGCCACCAACCGTCACGCAGACGGTCACCCCATCGCTCGTGACAACACCGCAGCAGCTTACCACGCAGCCGAGGTTTGCTTTGCGCTTCGATGCACTGCTTCCCAATACCTCCAACTTTTCTCCGCAGCAGTCGCCAGCACCTCTTCCTTCGACCGACGTGACCACGACGGCGAAGTTGAAGGCGTCGCAGCGCGCCGCTCTGCCGATGGCTGGACGCACATCGCACAATGTATCAGCTGACGCGTGCGACTCCTCCTCAGTGGAGCAGGGAGCTCCCGGAAAGCATCCGCGGCCACACTCTCATCATCCGTCTATTAAACGAGGAGACACGAAGCGAGGCGACACGCCGGCGAAGAAGCACCGGCCACAGACGCACGCTGCCACACCCCAAGACGAAATGGACGAAGCGGACGCCGCGTGTGTTGTGGGCGACGTTGACGACGACGACTACAACGAGGTCTCGGCGCAGCAGGAACGCGCGCAGCGCCTCAAGGCGGCGCAGCCGGAGGTGACCGAGGTGCTGCCTTTCCTCTTCGTAGGCGGCGAGACGGCCGCGCGCGATCGGGCGCAGCTGCTGCGCAAAGGCATCACCCATATCGTGAACACTGTCAGCTGGTGCCTCGACAACTTTCACCCGGATGCTTTTCGCTACTTCACGCTGAGCCTGAGCGACGCCGCGGATGAGCCGGTGTTTTCGCTCTTCGCCGTGGTGAACGCGTTCGTGGAGAAGGCGCGTGGCACGAGCCACAACACCGGCCGTGTCTTCATCCACTGCCAACAGGGCGTCTCCCGCTCGTGCACGTTTGTCATCGCGTACGTGATGTGGAAGTTAGGACTGTGCTACGACCGCGCCTACGAGCTGGTGCGTGCGCGGCGCAACGTGTGCAGCCCTAATACCGGCTTCTTGATGAACCTGCGCATGTGGGAGGCGCACCTGACTACCCCGCAGCTAAACAAGATATACAGCTTTGCCCCTTACACCGCAGAGTCGCTGACACCCTTTGTGTATCAGCTGGCTTCCTACTACACCTGCAGCACCGTGTCGACACAAGACACGGCAGAGGTGTCGCAGGAGGCGAAAGAAGCCTACTATCAGTTATGCGCTGATGTGCTGCGCCGTGCCGTGGACCATCGAAGCAGCGTATCGGTCGACAACATCGCGCTTGACCCGCGGATGTGCCACGCATTTCTCTGCGCACCACGTCGCACGTGTTTGATGGGGCCGACTGCTGAGGGCGCTGGCAACACCGCAGGAGCGCCAGATGAGGCGGGAAAGGTGGACAACGACGAGGAGTGTCAGGTAGAGGCGTGCTTCCTTGTTGGCGCCACGAGTGCACAGAAGGAGCACGTCGAACGGGCTTTTGCCGCCTTCCACGACCTGCTGCACTGCGGTTTTTACCACGGCCACGCCCACACGAGTACCGACAACGCCGGTCGGGTGGTCCGCTTCACACCACTACGAAGGGTCCGCCTGATTCCCCCCGCTGCGGCAACGTCAAGCGCATCATCGTACACCCCGGCGGCAGCTGCGTCAGTCGACGAGGCACAGGCGCTCTTTGCACGACATGTTGCCGGTCGCTGCTGTATCACCTACGCACCGCAGCCACAGTGGGAGGCACTGCTCTCCCTACCTGGTCTCTCAGACAAGCTGACGCAATACATCGCAGAGGACGCGTCCGCCGACGCTGGCGAGGCGGCCCGGCGCAGCGTACGCGCGGTGGAGCTCGCAACGTTGGCCCATGGAAACGATCAACGGGCAGCCAGCAGGTCAGCAGAGCACGTAAACGGCGCTGCACCCTCCAACACCGCGTTGTCTGCGTCGGCACCGCCACCGTCGTTGCGCCCAAGCCGGCACACACCGCGTGCGTTGCGGCAGCCGAAGACTGCCGTGGGCAGTCGCGGTGTTGTGCAGCGGCCCAGCGAGGCGGAGAGGCCTTCCTCTTCCCTCGCTCCCCAGCCACCATCAGCGGTGTCACCGCCACATCGCACCGCTTGGCCCACCGACAGTCCCAGCCTTGACAGCCAGAGCAACTCCTCCCACCCGTCCACGAGCAACGCACGCACCGGCACTTCTGGCTTTGCTCTTTCCGCGTTGCCGACAGCTGCGATGACGCCAGATGAAACGAGAAGAAGAACGCCACGAGAGTCTGACAGGACTTCGGACCCGCCCTCGGCTGACGGAGCTGCGGGGGACAGCACGAGACACTCTGCTGCTGCTGCTTCTGCTTCTGCATCAACGTCGCAGCCGCCCCTGCTCGACGACAGTAGCGTTGAGACTAATCCGCTGTCGCGCAGGGCCCCGGCGAAGGCGATCAGCACGAGTCAGAGCCCCGCACAAGTGTCGCACGTGACGCTCCCTGGCGGCGATAGCTTTGCCTACACCTACCCCTTCAAAGCAGCCTCGAAGGCGATGCTGGCGGACTTGGATGACTTGGAGGCGGATACGTGCTACGTGGTGGGCTTCCAGCAGCGGAGCGGCATTTCAGTGTACCTCTGGCGTGGCGCGGAGTCGCCGCTGGAGGTCCAGCAGGTGGTGGATGCGTTTGTAGATCAAATGCTGGAGTCGCCGCGCGACGCGGCACAGCTCGCGTCGCTCAAACAATCGTTGGAGCGTAAATCGTGGACGGCGTGTACCCTGTTCTTGCCGTGCAGCGATGCCTGTGACGATGCAGATTCGGGCGAGCACGGCGTCGTGCTGTCGAACGTGCGCGTTTTGTTTGTAGAGCAGGGGGAAGAGCCGGAGGAGTTTCTGACGCTGCTGTGACGGTGATGCGAGCTGGGCAACAACAATGCAGCGTGAGAGAGAGAGAGCGGGGATGCTGAGGTGCATGTTGCTGCGCTGGCAGCGCACCTGTGTAGTGATCGCTTTCTTCCCTCGCTTTCATATATATATATATACATGTTTGTTTAGTTCATCGTTAGCCGTGTCCATTACGGGATCTTTGTATTCTTCCCCTCCGTCTTTTTCTTTTGGTTCTTTCTTTTGTTCCCGCCCGGCCGTCTCTTTTCGTTTTATCCCTTCTTCACCGCTAACTCCGCCCGATATCACGCGCGCACCCGCCCAAATTGAGCTGCCCGTCGTCGTGCGTTTCTTTCTTCTCTGTTGTTTCCACGACTTCCTTTTTTTTTTCAATGTTCACAACAACGACGAAGCATTTGCAAAGCAACAACGACTTTTCTGATTCTGTTTTCTTCGTTTTTCTTTCTTTTACTCTCCTCTGTCTTTTCCTTCTACCCACCCCCTCTTTTTTTAATTCCCTTTCTACTGTTGCTGTTATTATTTGGTTCGCACTTATTTTCGCTCTCTCTCTCCCTCACACACACACACACATACGCTTTGTACCGTAATTAACACTCCTCAATCTCTCTTGCCAACCCTGTGCGCGGTCTTTTCGCATTTTGTACTACTACGTATGCCCCTCTTCTTTTTTGCTGTGTGCTGGATGGAGTTTTTCCTTCGCCGGTTTCGTGTGCGTGTGCGTGCGTGTACTTCGTTCTTTTCATTCTTCTACTTGCTTCCATTCTTTTTCTTCTTTGTTTACGTGGCGGTGAATTCGTGGAGTTAAATGTACCTCTCCTCCAAAAATAGAGACAATGGAGAGTGTGGGAGAGCGGGAGAGCGGCAGAGTGAGCGTTATGCAATTGAGGTTGTTTACTTTATCGTTTCTATTTATAATTATTACCGTTCTATTTATTATTATTATTACATATTTATCTGGACGTTCGTGAGTTTCGACACCTCGTGCAGGGGATCCGTGGGTGTACGGGTTTTTGTTCTGTTTTGCTTTGTTATGCGCACGCTTCAAGGGAAAACAATGGTTATCAAATCAAAAAGGCGAAAGAAGCTGCGACAGAGTTTTATTGTTGTTGCTGTGCTCTTTCTGTCAAACGCCTTGAAATGAAAAGGAATGCTAGCAAATGTGCTCCTTCAGTGAAAGCAGCAGACGCACGAGGATGTTGTCCGACTCTGCGCGTTCCGCACCGCTGATGCAGTAGCGGAAGAAACCAGCTCTCGTCGATATATTTGGTTTTATTTGCAAAAGAAGAAGCGTCTTGTCTTTTCTCTATCAACTCTCTTCTTTCTCCTTTCGTATTCCTCTCTTGTCAAATACTCGCACAAGTGGGTTACAGAGACTACCCCTCCCCCCCCCCCCAACCCACAAACACTCGCCTGCAGCTGAAGAAAAGTGCGACAAAGGCTCCATTCGAAAACGGCGCTGTCCTGTGCGTAGTCGTCATGCTCCGACGCAGCTGCTGGCTTTGGAGACGTCGTGCTGCCGGTATTGTGGGCTTGCCCAACGTGGGGAAGTCGACCCTCTTCAACGCACTCACCTGCAGTCAACTCGCCAAGACCGGCAACTTCCCCTTCTGCACCATCGACGCAAACACGTCAAAGGTCCCCGTCATCGACCCACGTCTGCGGCAACTCGCCCAATTCACGGGAGCGGCGAAGATCGTGGACGTCGAGGTGGACCTAACCGATGTGGCGGGTCTGATCGCTGGCGCATCGAAAGGGGCCGGGCTCGGCAATAAATTTCTTAATGACATCCGCACCTGCACCGTCATTCTGCACACTGTACGCTGCTTTGAAAGCGCCAAGGAGGGCTTCGACACGCCGCACCCAATCGACGACATTCACGTCATTGTGAGCGAGCTGGTGCTGTCGGACCTGGAGGTGGTGGAGAGGAAGGTTCACAGGGTGCACAAGACAAAGAAACCGAACGACGCAGAGTACAACTTTCTGAAGCGGCTGCAGCAGTGGCTGGAGGACGGGACTGCTGCTGCGGAAATGCCGAGGAAGGCGAAGCTGTCTGCTGCCGAGCTAACATTTCTGCAGAGCTACGACTTGCTCTCGAACAAGCCCATGATGTTTGTGCTGAACGTCGATGAGCACTCGGTGAAGGAAGGCAACGCTTTCTCACGCGAGGTGGAGGCGGCGTTTGGGCCGCAGCGCACCTGCCGTGTGTCCGCGGCGGTCGAGGAGCAGACCGCGCAACTTCCTTCACGAGAGGAGCGGCTGATGTTTCTGGAAGAGTACGGCATCGATGTCCCGCGAGGGGAGGTCTTGATGCAGCAAGTGTACGACCTGCTGAAGCTGCAGTCCTTCTTCACGGTGGGGCCCAAGATGGCGCATGGTTGGACGGTGACGCGGGGGTCCACAGCGCGGCACGCGGCAGGCGAAATCCACTCTGACTTTGAAAAGAACTTTCTGCGAGCGAAGGTGATGGCGTGGAGTGAGCTCATCCAAAAGCCGAACCTGGAGTCGGCGGAGATGCAGATGCGCACGGTGGACGAGGCGTACGAGATGAAGGATGGTGACGTCATGATTGTAGAACACAACACATCGCGTGGCTGAGGCTTTTCACCATCACCGAGCTCGAGAGAGAGAGCGAGCCGGTGGGAGAGAGAGGATTATGGGGACAGGTTTGGTTGGATGAGGAAGTCGAAAAGTTTGATTGCAGCTTCGCAGAAAGACGGCTGAAGAGAAGTGTAAGAGTAAAATGCGTCCCGCCGTCTCTTTTTGCGGCTGCAACGGCGGCTGTCGTCGTTGCTATCATCGTCATCATCATTATCATCACACAAGGAACATATTAAATGATCGAAGGAGGAGCAACAAAGAACTTACACGATGATCTGCCTTTTTCAAACAACTGGTTCATCGTTTGAAAGAAGAGATGCCACGTGAATGTGCGATGCTGACTTCTTCCGTGATAATGACGTGCGGCCGATACAGTTCTTGCTTGTCTAGGAAGTTGGCGCGCTGTGGAAACGGGTAATTCATGACGCTCGTAAACGCACTCGGACGACGCGGCTTTTTGCATACACGCGCACGCTTTTGCAGACGTGTTCCATAGTTGCTGCATGAAGAAGCGCAACGGCACACGCTTTAATTATCGTGAAGCGTTTCCCAGCATTCGCTCCACAATGAGAATGGAAAGGATTTCTCCTTACCCCCCCCCCCTTTCCGTCTATCTGCGACACACGGTTTCCTTCTCCTTATAACTGAACTGTCAAAGAAGTTCATAGTTGTTCTAAACGCGTTTCTGCAGCGCAGCGCGTGCCACTAACCAGAGGTTTATAGAGGACGGACTTTTTGTGCTGCTGCGTGACGAAGGAGAGCGCGGTGGCGGTCTGTGGTGTCAATTGTCAGCAATAAGAGAAACCATCTCTCCTTCATTATACTCTAGTAACAAAAAAATATGTATTTGCACCGAGATAAATAGCAGTTTCAAACGAGTTCTTTCTCTCTCTCTCTCACACAAACACACAGACAAACGCGGCCTCGCATAGAAAGCAAAAGGCGAGTCCAAGAAAAGAGCGTGGTGTGCCGACGGGTCCAACAATCAGACTTCGAGTGTGAGCGTTTTTGCGGCGCACGTCAGCAGCAGAGCCACAGCAGCACACGTCATTTCGCACAAGCGAGAAAGAAGAAGCCCGAAAGTTACCTTGTGCGTCCGCTCTCGTCCTTTATTTATTTATTCATTTGTTTCGGAGATGTGGAACTCAGACTACTACACTGCGCCACCACACCGCGTTGGTGGCACGACCGCCTCGTCGTCCGTCTCAGCGCACTCCTCTCATCCACCACCACCACCGCCAGCTGGGGTGCTGTCGCCGGATCTCGCGCGGCCGATCAGTGTGCGTGATTTGGCACAGACGCGTGCACTGGCAGGGCCCCCGCCTCGTGCCTCCGCCGCCACCTCCGCGCCGTCCTTCGGCAGTGGTCGTGATGGGAGCCGCAGTGACTACCCCGTGCCGCTCCCCCGCACCTCCGGCGGCGGCTTCGCCGGCTTTGGTGTGCCCAAGGCGCCTGTGGTGTACGCCGCGACGAGCGGGTTGCTGCCAAGCTGGTCGTCGACGCAGCACGCAGACAGCAGCGGCGGGGCATCGGAGCTGTCTACGCACGGCGAGGCGAGCGATCTGACCTCTCTGGCGGAGCGCAACATCGATCACTTGAGCAACGACGACCTTTACAACTACGCGTCGCATCTGCAGGACACGGCGAAGCGCTACAGCCACCACCTCGCCGAGGCGCACGCGAAGCGCGACATGTACCGCAACCTGGTTGCGGTGCAGAAGCGCGAGCTGCAGGAGAAGTATGTGCAGATTGACCGCCAGCGCCACGAGCAGGAAACGGCGACGGCGGCGCTGCGGCGGCTGCGCGAGGACAACACCCAGCTGCGGGAACAGGTGGCGACGGCGGAGGGCAAGGTGCGCAACATTGCCGCGAAATTGTCGCTGCAAAACGGGGCTGACCCATCTGTTGCCATACGTGCCTATCAGGCGCAGCTGGCCAGCAAGGAGGCGCAGGTGCGGGATTTGATGGAGCGTGTTGTGCACGCGTCGGCGGAGCGGCAGAGCGCGGAAGAGGCCTCGCAGCGCCGCAGCAGCGAGGGCGGCGCGAACCCTCGACAGTCCGACACCCTCGGTGCGGCAGGGACGCGGGACCACGATCAGCAACAGCAACGGCTACATCAGTGGCCCGAGGAAGAACACCCATGCACTATCGACGAGCGCGTACGCAGAGAGCTGGCAGAGGCGAATGCAGCGGCAGCCGCCTCCGAGATGGCGAAGTTGCAAGCCGAACTGAATGCCCTGCATCAACGCAACGCCGCTCTTCAGGAGCAGCTAGCAGCGCAGGACAAGACGCACGCCGAGGCGCTCGCCTCTATGACGGCCGAGCACACGGAGCTGAAGGAGACAATAGCGCAGTTGAAGCAAGGGCATGCAGAGATGCAAGAGAACGAAGACGCCCTGGTGGCCGCCCTGACGCAGCGGGCGCCGGTATCGAAGACGGATTTCGAGGCATTCCAGGCCACCTACGCCGAGATGCAGGCTGCGCTGACAAAGACGGAAGCCACTGTGGCAACGCTGCAGGCGCAGCAGAACGCGTCCGCGGTGCAGGACGGCTACATTGAAGTCCTCCAGCAGTCGCTCGCCACCAGCCAGGCAGAGCGCCAGGAGCTGACGGAGAAGAACCGCCAGCTGCAGGCCCTCAGCGAGAACCTGCAGCGCGAGGTGCAGCTAGCGGATACGGCAAATCGACTGCGGCAGCAACAGCTGGAAACTGCCGTCGCGGGCGGCGAGCAGCTCGCTCAGGAGGTGCAGCGCACACAGGAGGCACGACACACGGAGGTGCATGCGGAGATCGTGGCACTGCGGGCGCGGTGTGCGGCGGCGGACGCGGAGCTGCAGCGCCTGCGTGCCGAAAACGAAGAGCTGAGCCGACAGATGCAAGACGCACGCACGCAGTCCGAAACCAACCACCACGAAACACAGGAGGTATCTGCGGACAACACGCGAGAAAGGTCAGCGTTGGAGGCGGAGCTGGAGACGCTGCGGAACGCCCGTGATAACCTCGTCGTGAGCCGTGACTCGCTGCTGGGCGAATTGCGCGAGCTTGAGGAGCGGCGACAGACTGCGGAGCGTGACGCGCCCCAGCAGTCCACCAATGCTCAACATGCGTCAGAAACTCACACTACTGTTGCTGCTGCTGCGGCGGCGTCTTCAGTGCAGCACGACCGAGACACCGCAGAGGACACGGCGATGCTGCAAGCAGCGCAGCAGTGCATTGAAGCTCTGGAACGCGACCTCGAGACTACAAACTCCGCCCACGCCCGTATGGAGGTGGACATGCAGGTGCAGCTGCGTGCGCTGGAAACGAAGATGGCAGAGCAGGCAGATGCCCTCCGTAGTGCCCAGGAGCAACAGAAGCGTGATGCGGAGGCCTACCACAACCGCACGATTGCCGCTGCCGCCGAGCAGAAGCACCTGGAGGAGGTCATCCAGGCCCTGAAAGAGGAGTTAGAGTTTACGCAGACCCAGAATCGCGAGCTACGCCAGTCGGAAAGCGCGTCTAGGGGGCTGTACACATCCCAACTGCGGCAGGCGGAGCAGCTGCGAGAGCGCGTGGTGGAACTGGAAAGGCGCGCGAGCGACGTGCGAGGACACGAGCTGACACCGCCCTCCACGCAGCCGGCGTCGGTGGGCACTTGTGGCAGCACCACCGCGGATGCGCCGGACGCCAAGATGAACCCATCAACGATGTCGGTGGCGATTGACCGGCTCGCGCAGCAGCTCGCCGAGGCGCAGGACCGTGTGCACACTCTTGAGACTGAGAGGCATCGACAGGCAGAGGCGTTACAGCGGGTACAGCGCGTTGCGGCGACGCTGGAAGACCGCTCTGTTTCAGAGGAGCACAGCAGCAAGGCTGCCGGCAGTAGTGCGACATCCACACGCCCATCTGCTCAAAAGGGTACGTGCCGATACGCCAACGGAGTGAAAGAGGGGATCGTGGCGGATCAGGTGGCGACTCTCATAGCGCAGCAGGACGCCGCCGCTCATCAAACAGCGCAACTACGCGACACACTGGAGGCAGCCGAGGCGCGCACCTCTGCCGTTGCCACAGAACGCGACGCGGCGCAGCAGCGTGCGGCTGCCGCCGAGGAGGAAGTGCGCGTCGCCCGAGCCGCGCTAGAAAAGATGGCCGCCGAGCTGTCCGACTCTGCACACCGCGTGGATGAGCTCTCGGCCGATATCGGAGAACTGGCGACCGTGAAGGCGCAGCTTGCTGCGGTGCAGCGGCGTGCAAGCGTGGCTGAGGACGAGCTTTCAGCAGCAAAGGCGGTGCTTGACCGATTCACGAAGGAAGTTTCAGGTGTGACCCGCTGCGCCAACAACGTCGATGCCGTCATGGCTGCAGTCGAAGCTCAATGGGACGCCGTGCAGCAGCGCGAGGATGCCTCTGAGGCGGAGCTCCGCACCGCCAAAGCTGCACTGGAACGTGTGGTGGAAGAGGCGTCGGCCTCTGCTCAGCACGCCAGCAGTCTCGCGGCGGCGACCTCTCAGCTGGAGGCAGACAAGACGCGTCTGACATCGGAGCGCGACGCGATGCAGCAGCGTGCAGCTGCCGCCGAGGAGGAAGTGCGCGTCGCCCGAGCCGCGCTAGAAAAGATGGCCGCCGAGCTGTCCGACTCTGCACACCGCGTGGATGAGCTCTCGGCCGATATCGGAGAACTGGCGACCGTGAAGGCGCAGCTTGCTGCGGTGCAGCGGCGTGCAAGCGTGGCTGAGGACGAGCTTTCAGCAGCAAAGGCGGTGCTTGACCGATTCACGAAGGAAGTTTCAGGTGTGACCCGCTGCGCCAACAACGTCGATGCCGTCATGGCTGCAGTCGAAGCTCAATGGGACGCCGTGCAGCAGCGCGAGGATGCCTCTGAGGCGGAGCTCCGCACCGCCAAAGCTGCACTGGAACGTGTGGTGGAAGAGGCGTCGGCCTCTGCTCAGCACGCCAGCAGTCTCGCGGCGGCGACCTCTCAGCTGGAGGCAGACAAGACGCGTCTGACATCGGAGCGCGACGCGATGCAGCAGCGTGCAGCTGCCGCCGAGGAGGAAGTGCGCGTCGCCCGAGCCGCGCTAGAAAAGATGGCCGCCGAGCTGTCCGATTCTGCACACCGCGTGGATGAGCTCTCGGCGGCCAAGGCGTGCTGGGAGAGTGAGAAGAGGCAGCGGGATGCGGAACTAGCCCGCCTGGAGTCCACCGCTGCGGAGTGGGAGACACGCACGGCCGACGTAGAGCGCCGCAGTGCGGAAGCTGCCGCTGCATCCGAGAAGCGCATTGCAACCCTCGCCGCAGAAGCCGCCGCACTGGAGAAGGAAACCGTTCGACTGAAAGCGCGGCTGTCCGCGGCGCGCGGTGCTGTCAGCTCACTGGCGGAAGACTGCACGGACGTGAACACCCAAACGGGCGACCTGACGCGGCACGTCGAGCGAGAGGTAGAGCAGCGCAAGTCAGCGGAGGCGATGCTGTCGGCTCTGAAGAGGGAACTGGTCACTGCGCAGGCGGCTGTCGTGCAGTTGACGGAAGACCTGGAGATGCGTGCGGACAACGATGCGGCTATGCGAGCAACCTTGAAAGCTGAGGAAGAGGCGTTTGCCTTGCTGAAGTCGGAGCGCGACGCGGCGCAGCAGCGTGCGGCTGCCGCCGAGGAGGAAGTGCGCGTCGCCCGAGCCGCGCTAGAAAAGATGGCCGCCGAGCTGTCCGATTCTGCACACCGCGTGGATGAGCTCTCGGCGGCCAAGGCGTGCTGGGAGAGTGAGAAGAGGCAGCGGGATGCGGAACTAGCCCGCCTGGAGTCCACCGCTGCGGAGTGGGAGACACGCACGGCCGACGTAGAGCGCCGCAGTGCGGAAGCTGCCGCTGCATCCGAGAAGCGCATTGCAACCCTCGCCGCAGAAGCCGCCGCACTGGAGAAGGAAACCGTTCGACTGAAAGCGCGGCTGTCCGCGGCGCGCGGTGCTGTCAGCTCACTGGCGGAAGACTGCACGGACGTGAACACCCAAACGGGCGACCTGACGCGGCACGTCGAGCGAGAGGTAGAGCAGCGCAAGTCAGCGGAGGCGATGCTGTCGGCTCTGAAGAGGGAACTGGTCACTGCGCAGGCGGCTGTCGTGCAGTTGACGGAAGACCTGGAGATGCGTGCGGACAACGATGCGGCTATGCGAGCAACCTTGAAAGCTGAGGAAGAGGCGTTTGCCTTGCTGAAGTCGGAGCGCGACGCGGCGCAGCAGCGTGCGGCTGCCGCCGAGGAGGAAGTGCGCGTCGCCCGAGCCGCGCTAGAAAAGATGGCCGCCGAGCTGTCCGATTCTGCACACCGCGTGGATGAGCTCTCGGCGGCCAAGGCGTGCTGGGAGAGTGAGAAGAGGCAGCGGGATGCGGAACTAGCCCGCCTGGAGTCCACCGCTGCGGAGTGGGAGACACGCACGGCCGACGTAGAGCGCCGCAGTGCGGAAGCTGCCGCTGCATCCGAGAAGCGCATTGCAACCCTCGCCGCAGAAGCCGCCGCACTGGAGAAGGAAACCGTTCGACTGAAAGCGCGGCTGTCCGCGGCGCGCGGTGCTGTCAGCTCACTGGCGGAAGACTGCACGGACGTGAACACCCAAACGGGCGACCTGACGCGGCACGTCGAGCGAGAGGTAGAGCAGCGCAAGTCAGCGGAGGCGATGCTGTCGGCTCTGAAGAGGGAACTGGTCACTGCGCAGGCGGCTGTCGTGCAGTTGACGGAAGACCTGGAGATGCGTGCGGACAACGATGCGGCTATGCGAGCAACCTTGAAAGCTGAGGAAGAGGCGTTTGCCTTGTTGAAGTCACAGCACGACGATGACCGCGCCGAGCTTTCAGAGGTGCGACGACGCGGCGAGGAGCTGCAAAGACTGCTGGACACCACGTTGGATCGTCTTGCGCAGGAAGAAGAGCTCGTGAAGGGTCTCAACGACAACGCGGCGGATCTGCACGCCGAACGCGCTGCGCTGACGGAGGAGGTGGTGACGGTGCGATTGGCCTTGGAAACGGTTGTGTTGGAGCGTCAGGACATACAGGAGCGGCTCGATGCGGCGAAGCTGGGCTTGGAGCAGACGGCGGAGCTCTATAATGAGCGCATTCTCGAGGATGATCGTCTGCAGGATGAGCTGGACGCGGTCACGCAGGCGTTCTCAGCGCAAACGATGCAGGTGAAGCAGGGCATGCGCCACATGCTGCAGATGTCAGCGGGCTTTCATGATGCGCTGGAGGCTGTGATGGCGCTGGCAGCTGCGACGGTGAAAGCCGCCGCCGACTTGGCGGCATCGTGCACTGCCGCCTCGACGAAGACGATGACACACGGCAGCACGGAAAGAAAGCCCGCGCAGGCGACGCAAGACAAGTTTCGTGCGGTGACGGCCATCAACGCCGCGTTGACACCGTGGTCTGCGGCGCTGGAGTGGGTGGCAACCATGCAACGGCGCGTGCATGCGCTGGAGGGCAGTAGTGCAGACTCAACGGAAAGCCCCGACCGCATTTCCGCTGCGCTCTCCGACGGTGCAAACGACCCATCACACATGCCATTGTCGGTTTCTTTGGCGGCTGCGTCGACCGTCGCGGATGCGGCCAAGGCTCGAGGAGCGTTGACGGACTTTGTGGAGTTGCAAGAGGCGTTGTTGACGCATCTGCGCAGGCTAGGACACGCGCTCGATGAACGCGACTACGAACTGCGCTTGCTGCGCTCCGCCGTGGATGAGATGGCCAATAGCAACGTAGCCGAGAAGGAGCGGGCGGATCACCTTCTGGAAGCAATTCAAGACGCCAAAAACCACGTCTCGCTGGCGGAGAAGGAATTTGACGATCAACTGCAGCTGCGGTCGGAGGCGGTCGCGGCAGAGCTCGTCGTCGCGCGTCGCGCGGAGGAGCGCGCCACCGACGCCCGCCTGCGTGCCGAGTCGCAGCTCGCCGCGGTGGGGGCGGAGCTGACGGATGCGCTGGCGGCGTTGCACAAGACGGAAGAGGAGAGGCGGAAGATGTCGCGGGAGGTGGAGCGGCTGTCGCGCTTCTCGGCGCGTTTGGCGGACCCCGGCGCCCGCGTTCACAGCGGCGGCACCGTCGGCAGCGTTACACCACCGTCCTCCGGCCTCTTCGCCGAGGGCGTGTCGAACCACTACACCATGACTGCCTCCGCAGTGGAGGCACTGGAGCAAGCCCACCTCTTACAGGTGTCCAGCCTGCAGCAGGAACTCTTGCTGAGTCGTCGGCAGATACGCGAGCTGGAGAGGCAGGAAGTCATTCTGCGCCAAGCGAACGTGACGCTTGAGCAGCAGGTGAGCGATCTACGCGCTGACGCCGAGGAGGCGGTCGATCTGCGCGAGGAAGTGGCCCGATTGCGGGCTGAAAATGCCGATTTAGAGGAGAAGATAGAACAGCTGGAGCGCATACTGGCGGCATCGGGCGGTGGCGTAGCACACGAGGTAAAGCAACTCCGTCAGCAGCTCAAATTGCGCGAGGCGGAGCTGGAGGAGGAGAAGGCGCGGATGCAAGGCCTTTTGGTCAGCAAAACCGCACCCGAGTTTGCGGCAGCGCGGCGACAAGCGGCGCTGCGGGAAAGCCTGAGCGGCATCACCACGCAGCTCGCGGCTACGCAGGCGCAGTACAGCAGTGGCCGCTCCCCCCGCGGCAGCCTCTCAGCCGCGTTAAGCTCAAATTCGGCTGCAACGTCGGCCTCACCACTCGACGTGCTGAGCAAACGCATTGATCATCTGCAGTCCGCCATGAAGGAGCGCGACGCGTTGATCGAAAAGATGAAGGCTGCACAGCTGCAGTCGCACGTCACTGTCGACGGCTTGGAGGAAAGGCTCTCCGAGAAGGCCGCCGCACTAGAGCGGGCGAATGCTCTCGTGACGCACTACGCCGAAGCGCTGGACGGGTTGCGCGCGGCGAGGGTGTCCGCGGCAGCCCGGACGCTGCCGTCGCGAGGCAACACCCACAGCTCCTCTGCCGCTCAATCGCCGCCGCCCGCTGCGAGGGCGCCACCCACACCGCTTGCCCTGCAAACGTCGGTGGACAGCAACGTGAAGGGAGGGGTCGGGGACTCGCCGCAACACATGACGGCACCGGTGCCGTCGCCTGCTCCACGCATGCCGCATCTCGCCGCGGTGGAGGCGGAGGCGGAGGTGGAGGGCTCTCTCACCCCCCCGGCCACGTCGCGCCGCCGCACCGGCGCAACGGGGGAGAGTAGCAGTCGTGATGGACGCCGTTCGCGCGGAACGCGGAGCACGTCCTCCAGCGACGCCTCATCGGCTCATCGATCGCCTCCCGCTTCGTCGGGCACGAGAGAGGGAGCTTCTCACCGGAAGCGCACTCGTTGATGTCTACAGGAGAACTTGAACGCCGCCCGTTCTGACAATTCTTTCTTTTTTACAATAGAAAGCAAGAGGCTCTCGCTCTCTCTTAATATTTGTCTCTTGTGATAATTAATGGTATTGGTAGTGGAAATGCGTTTATCGCTTTTCCCCTGGTCGTCTGCTTCGTTTCAGCCGAGCGGCGTTGACGGGTTCATTCACACACGGTCACCAATGGTGTTATTCTTGCCGTTTTGCCGGTTTGCTGCGGTTGCCGTCAACTGCACCCGTGTTGTCATAATCTGCCTTTTTCTCCTTCCTTTATTTTTGCTGTTTAGAGGGCTGCGTTTTAATTGTTTTCGTGTGCTGATTGAAGCGAGAAAGAAAGTTTTTTCTTCTTATATTTACATTCATGGGATGTACTTTAGAAAAAGAGTGTAATGTTTGCGTTAGGGTGCTTGATGAGGAGTCGTTATCTACGTTGTTATTCCTGTTGTTGGCAGTAGTGCCTTCTTTTTTTTCTCGCCTGTTTGGTGTGCCGTTTGGTGCCACATCGCGTTGTAAGCTGTTCGATTTACATACATGCTCTTTCTGTCTTGTGGCTTTGTCATCCAGAGACAGAGCGCAAGAGCGATGAAGGCGTTTAACGCAGTGAATTGCACCCTCACACAGCTGTTCTTTTCGTTTGTTGTTGTTGCTTAGACATCTGCCACCGCCGCTGTTGCAGTGCTCCGTGTTCACGGAGTGTACTCGAACTCCGGCAGGACACGCGCCAACAACTCAGGATCATCGCTGTTTGTCTCTCGTTGATACTGATGCGGAAACAGTTTTATTGTAGTGTATTTCCTCGTTAAAAGAAATAATAGATCAACTTTACGGAAGGACAGCAGTAAAAGCGACGTAAACAGAAAACTCATCAATAACCTAAACACCGTAACAAGCAAGAAAAACAAAACAAGCGAAGTCTCAATGCTCGCGCTAAACACCAACTCACCGATTTCGGAAGAAACGGGGTGCGGGGTGGGAGGAGGAGCGGGGCGCCGTAGGCGAGCGAGTGCTATTGTGCACCAAGCGACTGTCCCCGTTGAGGCGAAACCGATGGCCTCTTCATCTCTGGGTGTCTTTGCTCAAGAGCACAGATCTTCGCGATTTCTACGCTCCGTTCCCGATCCTCTGTGTTGCCACGCCAGGGCTGAAAAAGGGCGGGAGGGGAGGGGAAGAAACGAACGCTGTGCCGTAGTTGCACTAACAAATGACAAGAGACACAACACAACAATAAATGTTTGCGTGCTGTGCCACACGCGACAGCTTCTCGACATGGTGGTGCAGTAGAATGCCTCCTTTATTGTTTTCTCCAACACACACCCACAAACTTAACCACACCGCTTCTTTTTGGCCAGCGCGGCTGCTTTTCACTGCATTCAAAACTTAGCTTCACCTTCGCCTTCTATCATAACGACTACTCTTCTTCTTTTCCCTCGCCGGTTGTCCGAACCTCTCTTCCCCACCGATCCCTCCATGTTCATCCGCCTCCGACTGTGCGGCTTCGTTGCGCGGAACACGTACTTCTCATCCCCGCGCACTATCAGATTCTTCGCCACTTCTCTTATACATCCACAAAAGACCAACGACATCACAACTATACAGACCTCAAGTCTATTTAACGCATATAACAAGATGGCCCCGATTATGCACCGCAACCTGACGGCACCGGAGCTGGTGGAGTGGGCGCTGAAGCTGGAGAAGGACTCCATGCTGAGCGCCCGCGGCGCGCTGTGCGTGCTGTCGTACGCGAAGACCGGCCGCTCGCCGGCGGACAAGCGCGTGGTGGACACGGCGGACGTGCACGATAACGTGGACTGGGGCAGCGTGAACATGAAGCTGAGCGAGGACTCGTTCGCGAAGGCGAAGAAGCGCGCGATGGAGTTCCTGAACTCGCGCGAGCACCTGTTCATCGTGGACTGCTTCGCCGGCCACGACGAGCGCTACCGCCTCAAGGTGCGCGTGATCACGACGCGCCCGTACCACGCGCTGTTCATGCGGTGCATGCTGATCCGCCCGACGCCCGAGGAGCTTGCGAACTTCGGCGAGCCGGAGTACACGATCTACAACGCCGGCCAGTGCCCCGCCGACCCGTCCGTGCCCGGCATCACGTCGAAGACGTCCGTGTCGCTGAACTTCAAGACGCGCGAGGAGGTGATCCTCGGCACGGAGTACGCGGGCGAGATGAAGAAGGGCATGCTGACGGTGATGTTCGAGCTGATGCCGCGCCAGAACCACCTGTGCATGCACGCGTCGGCGAACGTCGGCAAGACGGGCGACGTGACTGTGTTCTTCGGCCTGAGCGGCACCGGCAAGACGACGCTGTCCGCTGACCCGCGCCGCATGCTGATCGGCGACGACGAGCACGTGTGGACGGACCGCGGCGTGTTCAACATCGAGGGCGGCTGCTACGCGAAGGCGATCGCGCTGAACCCGAAGACGGAGGAGGAGATCTACAACGCGGTGAAGTTCGGCGCTGTGGCGGAGAACTGCGTGCTGGACAAGGTGACGCACGAGATCGACTTCTACGACGAGTCGATCTGCAAGAACACGCGCGTTGCGTACCCGCTGGAGCACATCCCCGGCGCGCTGAAGCACGCCGTTGCCGGGCACCCGCGCAACGTGATCTTCCTGACGAACGACGCCTTCGGCGTGATGCCGCCCGTTGCGCGCCTGACGCCGGAGCAGGCGATGTTCTGGTTCATCATGGGCTACACGGCGAACGTGCCGGGCGTGGAGGCTGGCAGCCAGCCGGTGGCGAAGCCCGTGTTCTCATCGTGCTTCGGCGCTGCGTTCCTCGTGCGCCACGGCACGTTCTACGGCGAGCAGCTTGCGAACAAGATGCGGCAGCACAACGCGAGGGCGTGGCTGCTGAACACCGGCTACGCTGGCGGGCGTGCGGACCGCGGTGCGAAGCGCATGCCGCTGAAGGTGACGCGCGCCGTGATCGACGCGATCCACGACGGAAGCCTGGACAAGGAGGAGTACGACGTGTACCCGGGCTGGGGCCTGCACATCCCGAAGAGGTGCGCGCGCGTGCCGTCGCACCTGCTGGACCCCCGCAAGGCGTGGAAGGACGTGAAGGCCTTCAACGAGACGACGAAGGAGCTGGTGGGCATGTTCCAGGCGAGCTTCCAGAAGCGCTTTGCGGCGAAGGCGAGCGACGCGCTGAAGTCCGCCGTGCCCAAGTACGTGGAGACGGCGCACCTGTAGTGCGCAGGAGCTGCGTGGCGCGTGCCGGGTGCTGCGTGGCCCGTTTGCGCATCCCCGCGGAGGCCTCGACCTCTGCGTGCGAGCGCTGCGGCTGCCGGCTGCCCCGGCTGGGCGAATGTGCGTGTGCGCGCGAGCCTGCGACGGCGCGGCGATGGCCTGCCAGGGGTGGGCGGTCTGCGCTGTGGCGTCAGGTCGATGCGCCAGCGCTCGCGCGGCTCGTCGGGCCTTGTGCTTTCCTTTCTGACGCGTTAATCCATCCCACAATGGTCTTCTCTTTTCGCTTCTTTTTCTCGTTGTTAAACATAACTGACTTTGCTGTAAAACGTCGACGCGGGGTGCTGCGCTGCGCTGCGCGACGGTGTGCGTGTGCGTGTGTGACGCGGCACCCCCTGTCCCTGTGCGATGTAACGGCCTTTCCGCCGGCGACCAGCGAGGAGCGTGGTGCCGGAGTCCGGGAGGACATCAAAATATTCGAATCTCGTGCGCGTGACCAGCTACGTTGCTGGCGTGTCTCCTTAAATATTTCGGCGGCTGCCGGCGACGGTAGCGACAGGCCTGACAAAACGAAGACAAAACAACCAAGCGCACCGTCAAACGGAGTGAGGTGACGACCGGGCTGTTGCTGCCCCTGTGAAGCGCAGCGTGGCGGAGCGGAGTAGCGGCGCTGCTGCGGCGCTGCTGTGGTGCCTGCGACGTCCTTCCGTGTGCGCGCATCTGCCGCTGCTGCTGGTGCGTTTGCTGCACCAGCCACCGTTTGTGTGGAGGCCGCGCCTCTTCCCACACGCCTTCCCGTCCTTGCTATCGCCCTCCCACCCCCTCTCCCCCACGCTCTCTCTTTGCGGCCCTGCGTGTACACCCGCACCGCCGCACACCGCCGCAGAATTCTGTTCACGGATCCCTAACACCTCTCAAGCAAAACCAAGCTGCGTCGCAACGGCTTGCCGACTCAAAATACACCGACCTGTTTTTTTTTCTTCCACCATCAAAACCACCCCTAACTACCCGTTTCTTCACCCCCACCCCCGTGAAGTAGCAACCATGGCCCCGATTATGCACCGCAACCTGACGGCACCGGAGCTGGTGGAGTGGGCGCTGAAGCTGGAGAAGGACTCCATGCTGAGCGCCCGCGGCGCGCTGTGCGTGCTGTCGTACGCGAAGACCGGCCGCTCGCCGGCGGACAAGCGCGTGGTGGACACGGCGGACGTGCACGATAACGTGGACTGGGGCAGCGTGAACATGAAGCTGAGCGAGGACTCGTTCGCGAAGGCGAAGAAGCGCGCGATGGAGTTCCTGAACTCGCGCGAGCACCTGTTCATCGTGGACTGCTTCGCCGGCCACGACGAGCGCTACCGCCTCAAGGTGCGCGTGATCACGACGCGCCCGTACCACGCGCTGTTCATGCGGTGCATGCTGATCCGCCCGACGCCCGAGGAGCTTGCGAACTTCGGCGAGCCGGAGTACACGATCTACAACGCCGGCCAGTGCCCCGCCGACCCGTCCGTGCCCGGCATCACGTCGAAGACGTCCGTGTCGCTGAACTTCAAGACGCGCGAGGAGGTGATCCTCGGCACGGAGTACGCGGGCGAGATGAAGAAGGGCATGCTGACGGTGATGTTCGAGCTGATGCCGCGCCAGAACCACCTGTGCATGCACGCGTCGGCGAACGTCGGCAAGACGGGCGACGTGACTGTGTTCTTCGGCCTGAGCGGCACCGGCAAGACGACGCTGTCCGCTGACCCGCGCCGCATGCTGATCGGCGACGACGAGCACGTGTGGACGGACCGCGGCGTGTTCAACATCGAGGGCGGCTGCTACGCGAAGGCGATCGCGCTGAACCCGAAGACGGAGGAGGAGATCTACAACGCGGTGAAGTTCGGCGCTGTGGCGGAGAACTGCGTGCTGGACAAGGTGACGCACGAGATCGACTTCTACGACGAGTCGATCTGCAAGAACACGCGCGTTGCGTACCCGCTGGAGCACATCCCCGGCGCGCTGAAGCACGCCGTTGCCGGGCACCCGCGCAACGTGATCTTCCTGACGAACGACGCCTTCGGCGTGATGCCGCCCGTTGCGCGCCTGACGCCGGAGCAGGCGATGTTCTGGTTCATCATGGGCTACACGGCGAACGTGCCGGGCGTGGAGGCTGGCAGCCAGCCGGTGGCGAAGCCCGTGTTCTCATCGTGCTTCGGCGCTGCGTTCCTCGTGCGCCACGGCACGTTCTACGGCGAGCAGCTTGCGAACAAGATGCGGCAGCACAACGCGAGGGCGTGGCTGCTGAACACCGGCTACGCTGGCGGGCGTGCGGACCGCGGTGCGAAGCGCATGCCGCTGAAGGTGACGCGCGCCGTGATCGACGCGATCCACGACGGAAGCCTGGACAAGGAGGAGTACGACGTGTACCCGGGCTGGGGCCTGCACATCCCGAAGAGGTGCGCGCGCGTGCCGTCGCACCTGCTGGACCCCCGCAAGGCGTGGAAGGACGTGAAGGCCTTCAACGAGACGACGAAGGAGCTGGTGGGCATGTTCCAGGCGAGCTTCCAGAAGCGCTTTGCGGCGAAGGCGAGCGACGCGCTGAAGTCCGCCGTGCCCAAGTACGTGGAGACGGCGCACCTGTAGTGCGCAGGAGCTGCGTGGCGCGTGCCGGGTGCTGCGTGGCCCGTTTGCGCATCCCCGCGGAGGCCTCGACCTCTGCGTGCGAGCGCTGCGGCTGCCGGCTGCCCCGGCTGGGCGAATGTGCGTGTGCGCGCGAGCCTGCGACGGCGCGGCGATGGCCTGCCAGGGGTGGGCGGTCTGCGCTGTGGCGTCAGGTCGATGCGCCAGCGCTCGCGCGGCTCGTCGGGCCTTGTGCTTTCCTTTCTGACGCGTTAATCCATCCCACAATGGTCTTCTCTTTTCGCTTCTTTTTCTCGTTGTTAAACATAACTGACTTTGCTGTAAAACGTCGACGCGGGGTGCTGCGCTGCGCTGCGCGACGGTGTGCGTGTGCGTGTGTGACGCGGCACCCCCTGTCCCTGTGCGATGTAACGGCCTTTCCGCCGGCGACCAGCGAGGAGCGTGGTGCCGGAGTCCGGGAGGACATCAAAATATTCGAATCTCGTGCGCGTGACCAGCTACGTTGCTGGCGTGTCTCCTTAAATATTTCGGCGGCTGCCGGCGACGGTAGCGACAGGCCTGACAAAACGAAGACAAAACAACCAAGCGCACCGTCAAACGGAGTGAGGTGACGACCGGGCTGTTGCTGCCCCTGTGAAGCGCAGCGTGGCGGAGCGGAGTAGCGGCGCTGCTGCGGCGCTGCTGTGGTGCCTGCGACGTCCTTCCGTGTGCGCGCATCTGCCGCTGCTGCTGGTGCGTTTGCTGCACCAGCCACCGTTTGTGTGGAGGCCGCGCCTCTTCCCACACGCCTTCCCGTCCTTGCTATCGCCCTCCCACCCCCTCTCCCCCACGCTCTCTCTTTGCGGCCCTGCGTGTACACCCGCACCGCCGCACACCGCCGCAGAATTCTGTTCACGGATCCCTAACACCTCTCAAGCAAAACCAAGCTGCGTCGCAACGGCTTGCCGACTCAAAATACACCGACCTGTTTTTTTTTCTTCCACCATCAAAACCACCCCTAACTACCCGTTTCTTCACCCCCACCCCCGTGAAGTAGCAACCATGGCCCCGATTATGCACCGCAACCTGACGGCACCGGAGCTGGTGGAGTGGGCGCTGAAGCTGGAGAAGGACTCCATGCTGAGCGCCCGCGGCGCGCTGTGCGTGCTGTCGTACGCGAAGACCGGCCGCTCGCCGGCGGACAAGCGCGTGGTGGACACGGCGGACGTGCACGATAACGTGGACTGGGGCAGCGTGAACATGAAGCTGAGCGAGGACTCGTTCGCGAAGGCGAAGAAGCGCGCGATGGAGTTCCTGAACTCGCGCGAGCACCTGTTCATCGTGGACTGCTTCGCCGGCCACGACGAGCGCTACCGCCTCAAGGTGCGCGTGATCACGACGCGCCCGTACCACGCGCTGTTCATGCGGTGCATGCTGATCCGCCCGACGCCCGAGGAGCTTGCGAACTTCGGCGAGCCGGAGTACACGATCTACAACGCCGGCCAGTGCCCCGCCGACCCGTCCGTGCCCGGCATCACGTCGAAGACGTCCGTGTCGCTGAACTTCAAGACGCGCGAGGAGGTGATCCTCGGCACGGAGTACGCGGGCGAGATGAAGAAGGGCATGCTGACGGTGATGTTCGAGCTGATGCCGCGCCAGAACCACCTGTGCATGCACGCGTCGGCGAACGTCGGCAAGACGGGCGACGTGACTGTGTTCTTCGGCCTGAGCGGCACCGGCAAGACGACGCTGTCCGCTGACCCGCGCCGCATGCTGATCGGCGACGACGAGCACGTGTGGACGGACCGCGGCGTGTTCAACATCGAGGGCGGCTGCTACGCGAAGGCGATCGCGCTGAACCCGAAGACGGAGGAGGAGATCTACAACGCGGTGAAGTTCGGCGCTGTGGCGGAGAACTGCGTGCTGGACAAGGTGACGCACGAGATCGACTTCTACGACGAGTCGATCTGCAAGAACACGCGCGTTGCGTACCCGCTGGAGCACATCCCCGGCGCGCTGAAGCACGCCGTTGCCGGGCACCCGCGCAACGTGATCTTCCTGACGAACGACGCCTTCGGCGTGATGCCGCCCGTTGCGCGCCTGACGCCGGAGCAGGCGATGTTCTGGTTCATCATGGGCTACACGGCGAACGTGCCGGGCGTGGAGGCTGGCAGCCAGCCGGTGGCGAAGCCCGTGTTCTCATCGTGCTTCGGCGCTGCGTTCCTCGTGCGCCACGGCACGTTCTACGGCGAGCAGCTTGCGAACAAGATGCGGCAGCACAACGCGAGGGCGTGGCTGCTGAACACCGGCTACGCTGGCGGGCGTGCGGACCGCGGTGCGAAGCGCATGCCGCTGAAGGTGACGCGCGCCGTGATCGACGCGATCCACGACGGAAGCCTGGACAAGGA